CTATCGTCTTGAATTCACTGAGATAACTTGAGTATACGATCTTCTATCGATCAGGATATTCTATCTTGTTTTAAGACTTCATTTGTTTCTTTACAACTTTCGTATACCAGAAGCCTATTAACTTCGCCCGTTAATAGCTATCCTAGCTATACTCGACGGTAAATAACCGAAGTTTCCGACATTATTCTACTTGGTAGAAGAGAATTTTTAGTAGATTATAAGAAGGGAAAACAAGTTAATAGGTCTAAAAAAGTTAGATTAGGCCTTAGTAAGCTTATAAATTAAGATATCTTAATATACTAAAAATCTATAAGAGTGTTTATGATATTAATAAATTTTAAAATTGTTAAAGGATTTTATATAGAAATGAAATTAGATTATATAGTTTTATATATATATAGACTAATCCATAAATGGATTAGCTTCTGCTATAAGTAAGCTATGTAGGCATTGTTTTGTTTTTTATAGCATTATCATATTTCAATACATTACAAATTTTGGCAAGGTTGTACGAATAGGCTGCCGTAGACGGAACAACTAGATCGCCGCTGAGTATTGTCTCCGTGCGCCTCGAGAGCCTCCTCGCTGATGAACGATGGCGTTACTACTACATTCTCATGTGCTTGAAAGAACTTCCACTGATGCTTTTTCTGATATATCTGCGAGCGTCATGATTCAAATGAGGATCGCCGAAAAGCTACAAGTTTAATGGAATATGTCCCCCTAGGCCAGTAAACATCTAGATACATCCAAGTCCCGTTTTTGTTCTTCCTTTTGACCGATTCTAGGTAATTGAAGGTTTCAATCGACTTTTAGGTTTAGAATTCCATGGCATCACCTATCAAGCTTCTTATCAACATAATAACCCAATTTGCAAAGGATATGATATCCTCATCTACTATCGACGTGCAGGCTCGTAAAAGGAATTGGAACTTCATCCTAGAGATGAAATTCTAGATTATATCCCCGATTCGGCAATAATCCATCTGTCACGTCAAACAGCTCATTGGTCATGAAGTTGAAGTCTAGGAATGAAAGATTCGGGTCAACAACTTCCTTGTCTGCGACGGAGTTATCGTTGTGATTATCAAGATGATTGTGTTTCGGTATCGATAAATAGTCTGTGTCATGGGCAGTGGGTTGAGGCTGTTTGCATGATTCTATTTAATTATGAGAATGGTCAGCTAAAATTCCTTTATGTTGAGCATATGAGAAAGAGATACCCTACCGATTAGATCCAGTACTTCTGCTAGTCTTTGCAAGCACCGACAGCATTTGTCAATTGTCCGATTGCCCTCGTCCAGTCGTCGGAGTGGCTCGATACAGGATATAAATGTTTGCTTCAGCGAATCAAAGGTATATGGCGGGGAAAGATTGACAAAATCGGATCGCTTTACGAGCAAGTATATAGTGAAAATGACCAAGGCAGCGTCAAACACTGTGGCAAATGAGTCGGAAATCAGTAGAATAATATGACAGATGATACATACTGTAATAAAGAGAAAACCACCACGGACATAACAGTGCTCGGCGCACCCCTGCAGATTCGACGAAAGTACGGACGATATTGATGATCTCAGTTGCAGATTCGAGGGCAATATGCACGGTGCTCCAAGATATGTCTCGCAGGCACAAGCTATCATGACCTTGTGCGTCTAAATCATCGAGGCAGTCACAAAGTCGAACAAGAACCACGCGGTGAACGAGCAATTTGATATTGTGATACTGGAGGGTCAAAATGGTGCGAGATCGATCGATAGACGGATCTCTACCCAGCTGCGCGAGGCAGTTCTGTGATTGGATAAGCCTCATGTGTGTGGGTAGCTGTTCAACCCATGCCTCTAAAGAATGCCGCATACGTAGAACGCTCGTGATCAACTCATAGTTAGGAATCTTGTCATCGACGCCTAAATTGCTGTCATATAGGCACTCAATGGCCTTTCCCATGATGGAATACAGTCGACTGCGAAACTGGAAGTCACTAGAAGTCCTTGAATCTTTTCGTGTGTTGCTCATTCCCTTTCGAGCAGGCAAGCACTCACATCGTAGCGTTGAAGAAATCAGTACTATACCGACATCGCCGTCGTGCTTCAATTTGTCTCTCACGCGGCTCAATGGAATCAAAATAGATGGGCAGTTCAAGGCGAGAGTAGCAGTCAGGTATCGAGGCAGGGCGACCAAAGGTCATGCTCAGACTCCTAGTAACGAGTACGGCTTAGTTTTGATCTTAAAACTTTTAGCATGCAAACGTACCGGTCGAGAACAATGCAACAAAACCATGTTCTTTTTCGAATCTCACGCTCGACAGGAGGAAACCGCTTTGAGGTTTCGCTAGAGTGCAGGCCGAGCTGCAAAGCTACTTTGACAGCGAGGCCGTGCGTTGCCCATGTTTGAATGGACGATCGTGTTCCTTGCATATACTGACTTACTAAAAGTAAATACTGAACTATTTACGATCAAAAACATTAGAATACAAAACTTCCGTGGGGAATAGCGGATAGAAACTGACCAATTTCTAGACTTGCTCCATTCATGACATACTCCGCACATAGGCTGTCAGCACGACGGTAGAATGCTTCAGACCTTATTTGACGTTTTTCAGACTCGCCCACTGGCAAAACTGTGGTGTGAGTGGCCATAGCGAGCACCATGTTCAATACGCCCAGCCAAGTGCGGCGGGTTGCAGCATGATTCTGCTTTAGTTTCTTATACGACTCGCGAAAGGTCTCCTCATGAAGATAGGGAAATAATAAGCCCGTGTTAGAAAAGTATTGATCAATAAGTGCCGATGTTTCCTCGTCGGGAGGTAGATAGAAAATTGATGAGACTGGTGTGTCATCTTGGTGTCCACTTGCTGTGGATGGAACCGCGTCAGGTAGAGGTGAGCTCGGTCGCGAGACTCGTGCGATATGAAAGTCGGGCAATCTCTGTATGCTTCCGGGAGAATATTCGCCGCGGGAGCGCGATAGACGTTTCAACGCTCGCGACAAGTCCGACGTGAAGGCGATGTTTGATGATGGTCCTGTAGGGTTCGTTAATGTCTCGTAACAGCATAAAGAGCAAGAGCAAATACCAAAGTAAGCACGATGTTCCTCATCAGCGAAAACAAAGTGTCCCATTCCATCCGTGGGATCATCAGATCCAGTCGAGCCAGTAACAGGGCCATCGCTCGTAGCTATGACGTTGGGAGTTACAGAATCACGTTTGTCCTGCTCCGGCGTGTCTATGTGCTCCCACGATCTCTTAGTGCTACTGCGATTGGCAGGCCCGTTTCCGAGTAGCGATTCGAGATGATTCAACCGGTTTTCTATCGCTTGAAAATGTCTAGAAGGGCATGCATCCATCAGCAGGATACCAATCTCAGGATTGATGGTGGTCTGTTTTACTCTTTTCCTACGACGACGGTTTCATTGGCTTGTCCCGACGAGACATATTGACACGTTAGCCCTAGCTCATTGCACGTGCCACATTTTGGTCGTTGGCCACCGCACTATGTTTTTGTTTGTTGTCACTGGTCAGCATGGCGAAAGAGAAGGGCAGTAAGGCGAAGGGGCCATACCCGGGATTTTCGTGTCCGGCAAGAGATGCAAGCCACAGTAACCCGCCGTCGCTTCGGCTGCTGGTCACCAGTAGTCATCGGGACATGAGGAAACATTGCTTCTAGAGGGTATCTTAGACCCAGCCTAGACAGAGTTAGTTGTGTGAAGACCAGAAATCCCGCGGGGAAAAGCCGACGGCTTCGGGAACGAGCCGGCCCGGCCGTACGAGCTACACGGCGCGTGATAGCCCTAGCCCTAAGTTAGCATCTTGGTCATGATTAACGAAACCATAACAGTATCAATGGGGAATCTCTTGTGTTAAGGTTTTTAGCCATGACTATTACTCAGTTCACATTTTTTGAATAACATCCTACATTTTATTTGAGAACCAAACATGGAGGTGTATATCACGATGACCGATTGAGTGCATCGATTTTTCGGGGAAATCTCAGAAATGTCTGTGCCGGCATTCAAGATTATATGAAAAGAAAAGAAAGAGAAAAAAGAAAAAGAAAAAGAAAAAATAAGCTGTAAATTCAAATGTGAAGGACCTTCAGACACTGGGAAATAAACATAGTGTTGTCAAATATACTGATTCACAATATCGTTCTGACAACAATCCCGCCGATTTAGAAACATGGCGCCAATTTGTTGCATTGTGCCAGATCATGTACTTAGGATAATTGTCGAGAAAAACCAGGTACCTGGTGACCTGATTGAGGCCTGTTGCACAACCAGTTCTTTGATTAGCAACCTCCAGATTACTTGGCATTAACATGAAGAAAGCATCATCGGGGCTCTGCGTGAGCCTCGGCACGGGCCACCGTCTCCAGCACAGGCTATCATTCCACCTTACATCTACGAGGAACTCACTCAGCATGCACCGACGCAACAGATGGAAGCAGCACGTCATATTTTTTATAATGATACTAAGCGTCGCTCACTTGAAACAAGTATACGTCAGTTGAAACGCAACGTCTACGACGCGGAACATAGTTATCTATCATATGGTAGGGGCATGTAAATTCCGAGGCTTGAAACTCGACGGCTTCGTGCACTATGATTCAAAATCATACTTCAACGCCTTTTGGCACGGAGACGGAACACTCTTCAATGGGTTCACTGATTAATTAATTGTGATCGCTCATGAGCTTACAGTGTTTTCAAATATACAAGTCCACTAGAGTATGATGTCCAGGGCGGTTCACTCGACGACTCAATAGCTGCTGTTTTCGGCATTATAGTCAAACAGTGAGGTGAAAAGCCAGGCGACCGCAGGGCCGCAGAGGACGCCAACTGCCTAATTGATGAAGGCATATGCGTGAGCGAGGCTGATCCCAAAGCCCGAGCTCTACGAAACATTGCCAACCCTAAAAAACGGGTATACCAGGGCAAGAGAATTGGAAAAGGCTCTCAGCCGGGCCGCTGGAAGGATTTTAAAAAAGAAATCCCTACAGCGATGATTCTGGGAGTATACCCATCAACTCGGGTATCCCGAATCGAGCATTTACAACCAAAATCAGAGGATACTCATAGTAGGGAGCAGGGCAAATCTTGTATAATGCTTTGAAAAGCAGGAAGCTCAGTCGGCACGCTTCATTCAATAAATTTCCTGATCTGACAATTGAAGTTTCTGGTCCCCGTGTGAATAAGGTCCGCAGTGCCTGGCAGCTTGTAGGATATCCATTCAATGAGTGAGCATCCCAAGACGTCGGGAATTAACACTTGAGGGACAGAATGCTCCGTACCCCTAGCACTAATCCTCTTATACAAGCAACGACTATTGGGATGGCTTCTGTCCCTCTCTTATGTCTAGCTAATGCATCTATGACAAAGACAGCATATATCATCAACTGCCGACGAACATCAAATGTTCTACAGAACATTTGTAGATCTCGCGTTGATATATATAATCTTCTATAAAGAAAGTACGATCTAGAAAATGAGAAAGCATTACAATGCATTATCATAAACTCTTGTTCAATTTTGCTAATCAAAAATCCGAAAACTATGCACCCGCTTCCTAAGTCCATGGAGGAGACTAATTCCAAATCTTTCCCCTAGATACCAATGAAGATGAGCACAATTTATTGTACTCCGTGTCAAAAGTGCTCATTCATTAGTGTTTGGTTTATCCAAAACACGCAGCCAGTATTCCAAGAAAACAGGTGTGTTTCTTCCCTCATAGACACTGCTTCCACCATCAGATCCCTCCTCGTTCGGCACCAAGTCTAGGTCAAGGTTCCCGACAATCATGATGTGCAACCTTCCAGGCAAGAATTTGTGCTGACCTAGGTGGAGGGTCTCGTCGTCCAATGTTCCAAATTCAGCCCGTGGCTCTTTCTCGGGCATATCATCGGATTTGAATATCACGCACATTTTATGATGGGTTCCTGGAGAATACACAAGTTTGTAGTTGGTTGAGATTCCTGCATCCTGAATTTTCAGGTGGTGTGCTGGGTATTTGTAGGGAAAGTTATCAACTTCAATTTTCAGCATTAGATCGTAAGTCCCTTCAATAATCAGAAGCGGATTTCCTGGCTCGTTGCCATTATTCAGTGTAGACCTTTCATCGGTATCGCCGAGGACTTCCAACATGAAGCAAGGCTGTGGTTGGGGATCAGTCATTACTATGTCATCCATATTGATAATTTTGTGTCTTTTGAACCAGTTGAGGTCGAAATTGGGACGGTTGTGTAGAGTAAGAATCGTCACCCGGAATGTCAGTGAGAAGAGCTAATATCTCATGTTGTGATGAAACATTTCTAGTGGTTTGAAGGGGACATCTCTGTATAAATACTTTTTTTTTAAAAAAAAAGTGTGCCTGGCTTTCATAATCAGACGCAGTTTGGTTTCATATTATTTGAATTCAGCAACTGCAATTCAAAAACCACACATCCATGGCAATGGCTAATCATTGCATCTCAATAGAGACAATCCTGTGATGAAAACAATCTATTCTTGACTAAGCATTAACACCATGTGAAGCATTGTATATTGCCTCAATGAGCATAAGATGTTTTCTCTGATTGTACCCTTTGACACTTGTCATTGATCCAGTCATCTCGTTGTCTATAAACATATTGTCAATGAAATTGGAATCAATAAGTTACCCTTAATGTTCTTTCTTTCGCTTGGAGAACGTTCGTCCATTGTGACCGAGACACTGAAAGCGCTGAGTATGTCAGACCAAGCTATGTACATCATACGTCTACGTGATATCGTGGCCTTCGGCGGAAGCCATGTGACACATTGTACCTGGCTTTATGACTGCTGTGTATCCTATTGTCATGCTGCTATTGTCTAGGTCTATTCAAAAGGAAAGGGACTGACTTGTTTCCAGTGAAAGGTATTTAGGCGGCCGTCTTCGATTAACAAAAGAAAATCGGTGGCACACATGTATTGATTAGACTGTAAAGAATAAATTGAAAACTACCTCTTGTGAATGACAGCAATTTACTTACTAGTCAACACCTTTGGGTGGAAAAGACCGCTTACCTTTGCCCTCTTGGAGCCAACTATCAAGAAGAATCAGGGGTAAAGTTGAAACCCTCCATTTCCTCCTCCTTGCTACCAGAAAAATAACCGCATGGTTTTGACACTGTTAATTTACTTAGCACTTGTAGTCTTCAGTGAAAACGTGATTGTTGTACGACTTTCTATTGTCTCATACAGTATCTAGCATATATCTTTAAGGCCTTCATCGCAGAGATCTGATCCTTGACCCAGTTTCCACGGTTGGCAAACTGCAAATAATGTCTTCCAAGTGCCCTTGAAGCTCCTAAATTTCTTCTCTTAGTAGGTCTCGTTTCCACCATCGTGCACCTAGATGGCACTCCGCACAATATTTTAGGTTATCGTGCGACTTGTCCTCCGTGTGACAGATATTCAGAGACGCTTTAGCAATATTTAAGGAACTGTAAGTCATATTCTAGAAGCTAATTTTGATAACCACATCATCCAGGTAGAAGTCTTCTCGAGTAGATAAGTGAAACAACGACTCGATGGAATAATGATTCACATGCTCCGTCCGCCTTGATTTGTTTTGGAGCCAGCTCACTACGCAGTACTGAGGTTTTAACGGGGTGAGTACATGGGACATAAGACGAGAACGTAGACAATTCGGACAGAGCACGTAGGTTTCTTTCTTTTTTCTCTTTTCTTTTTCTATTGTTACATACATACTGCGTTCTTGTGACACATTATCCATTTGCTAGCTTGCATAATTTCCCGAAAACTTGCATAAAATTAAGGACTATGTGTGGCAATGATGGTAAATTTGTCTCTTTAGCATAGGAAATCCAAATCTCAGCTGGTGTCTATTCCAAGATAACTTAGCAGGTGGTATGGGAATAACGAAAACTCGGGTATAGCAATGTACAATTGGTGAAACCTTCGATGCCGATGCTCAGGGATCTTGCACGATGGTGCTGGGAAAAGCAAGGAATGTTTTCAATAGTATGTAATATGTACGTATCGAACTTGCATATCTAGATTCTTACGTGTCATTAAATACCCTTGCATTCCAGGACAAAGAGCCAGCCCAAGGATGACTAAGGCATACCCCTCATCAACTGATCGACCGCCCAGGAATTATAAATTGTCTCTTCTCTTCTCTGCATGATTGAAACTTGTTTTTCATCGATGTTGACTTCCTTGCGAAACGAATTCAATTCAAGGAAATGGCTACTCTTACCACTACAAGACTCGGCGGTAAACTTGCCGGTAAAAATGTCCTGCTCATCGGAGGCACAGCAGGCATAGGACTCGCCGTTGCTAGGGGAGCTCTTCAAGAAGGTGCTCATATCACGATAAGCTCGTCATCATCTGACAAGGTCACCAAATCAGTCGAACAGCTCCGCGCTGATTTTCCGTCAGACAACGTCAATCATATTCGTGGTTATAAGGCAGATCTTTCCATTAAAGCACAGATTGAGAGCGCAGTTGACGGACTTCTCAGTTACGCCGCCAATGGCTCTACCATCGACCATATCGTCTTTACTGCGGGCAATTCGCTATCCATGAAACCTCTTTCCGAATGCACCGTGGATGATTTGGAAGCATTACTTGTTGTCCGCTTCTATGGCGCCGTTGCCGTTGCCAAATACGCCGAAAAATATATGAAAAAGGAAAAGACATCTTCCATTACCTTGACCACAGGTGCACAATCATACAAGCCCTCGATTTGGGCTGCGCCGGCGATTGGCTCTGCCGTGGAAGGTCTCATGCGAGGCCTGGCTGTGACTTTAGCGCCCATTCGCGTGAATACAGTGTCTCCAGGATTTGTCAAAACAGATCTTTCATCAGGAATGCCACAGGCAGCTATTGATAAATGGGTTGCCGGTACGTTGGTCAAAGATTGTGGACATCCCGAAGAGGTTGCGGAGGCATACTTGTACTTCATGAAGGATAACTTTGTCACTGGCACGGAGCTCGCCACGAACGGGGGCGCTTACTTGGCCTAGGTCTTTCTTTCCAGGATCTTCTATCATTCCAGTATAAGAGCAAATCGTTATACGTGTTGAACCTTATAAAGAAAGATTGGTTGGTGTTTTCCAGATCTCATACATGTACTTGGGTATAGAGCAATGCCGACAACAATTCAAAGAGCATCATTTGGCCAGTAATAAATGCACAATCACTACATAGCTATCATTTTAATATAGATTTTACGTATTAAAAGGTTTCCTTCAGATGTAGGGTTTAGCATCCCTTGAATGAGAAACCCTAATTGGGTCAAGATGCTAATACCAGCAAATACGCATGTTTCACGCAAGGTTCGGAAAAGTAAGCCTTTTCCGACCAGGTCGTAATATTTTATACAATATCATTGGTCGTTTTATAGTAATTCATATCCACTTGCCGAATAGCGTCGTAACAGAGTTACAGCTTTTTGGTTATGATGGTAAACATCGTCGTCCTCATCTGAGACTAGCGCAAAGCGCACTTGGATGGATATCAAACTTCGCGCACGTCGATTTGCGACATCATTTACAACTAGCGTTATCACTTATCGTTCTCGTTCGCTTTGACTTTGCGAACAGATTGCTCAAGATGGAGAGGCCCTGTTCCGATCGCGCCTACAATGTAAATTCCGGATTGAATCAAGACGTGGAAGATTCTCTTTGTAACGTGAATCCCTCGATCATTCTATAATATTTACTTATTAGGCAACTGATCTTTCACTTCCCAGGGTATTGGAATTTGAATAAGATGCAGCTTACGCACTATTCCCACAATAGGAGCCAATATCCGTCGTCTCTGCCCCTTTCGTTTGCAGATAAGATCCTTCTATATCGTGCGCGCTAATGCCTAGAAACTTGCTACAGCATTGGAGATCTATCCACCTGACACTGGTTCATAATAGGCTTTGAAATAATGACGCCTCGTACGCCTCGCACGGGGGATACCAATAATCCCTACATTGAATCATGGTTTCCGCTCTCGTTGACCGATGAATCGGTGTTTTTGGCTTTGACCGTATCAGCGTTGACTCACAGACGCACCTTAGCGTTACTATCGGTAAAGTTCATAGTGTCCTTCAGGTCATAGGAGCAAAAGCTCTTGGAAAAGTACTATATAGACTTGGTCAGGGCATTGAACAAAATACTGAAAGATCCCGCCACGGCTGAGACAGACGCAACCATTCTAGCCGTGTTCATGATGATCGAGATGCCTGTTCTATCGGTTGGCAAGGACTGGACAAAGGAGCCACCGTTCCACACACCACTTCAAGGATTGCAATGGCAGAATATCCACGGAGCCAGGGAACCTCACATGGCCCATCAAAGGGGTCTTAGGAGGACTTCATAATATCGGCGTACCAGGACTTGCAACAGCAATATCATAGTATGTTTTCACCTGCCCATGCGTTCTCAAATCTCTTCGGGTATTATATCTTCAATCGTCAACCGCTGAGACACTCTTAAACAGTCGAATGCTTGTTAATGCCACATTGACATTATCCACTCCAAGTCTTCCCTTTTTTCCATTGTCTAGAAGTCTCGATCTTGACCTCCAGGGATATAATTTCTTCTGACCCCAACTGTTTGCAAATTCAGTTATCAAATCTCTACCTGGCTGGAGGAACACACGATCTTGTCCAAGTGTTTCAAGCAACAGCTGGTTATACATCTACGCTTCGAAGATATCTCTCTGGGGAAATACTACGACTAGATAACCAGGCAATGTGTGACTGGCACAATCTTCTTCAGCATAGAATCCTTAGTCTGCCATCAGTGCAAGAATTAATGGAAGCCGGTGGACTTTATAAGATATGCCGTATATCGGTTTTGATTTATAGCCGAAGTGCCTTTTCCTTTGCCTGGCGTTGGGGCGCTTTTTTGCCTCTCCTAATCAAGCTCAAAGCGCAACTTCAAATTCTCAACTTTTGTGGCATTTTGTCTACGGTCCCAGAAAGTAGCACCATTCTTCTGTGGGTGCTAACAATGGGGTGTATTGCGGCGACGGACTCGGCCGAGCGGCCCTGGTTTGTCAGTATTTTAACTAAATACACGGCCTTCGCTCATATCTTTGAATGGAGTCAGTGCAAGCAACCAACAACTCGAAAAGGTTGTGGGCTTGGAAGTGCCTATTATATGGCAGGGAAATTAGTGTGGAGAGAAATGCAGATGCTTAAAGAGCTCGGAGAATCGGTTGCTCTTAGTCAGTCATCAAAATATCTCTGAACTTATATCATAAATGTTTCGCCTTGTGGACATTGCAGGGTGAGAAAGATAAAGTATGATAAAAGGCTTCCTTGTCAAAATTGCACCAAGGGAGGCTACGCTTGTACTTCGTCCGTTGCAACGGAAGATTTGAATCTGCCTCGAGTTCACCTCTATTCGACTCGGAAGAAGCCCTGCGATCTGTGCAGGCAGAGGAAGGACAGATGCGACAAATAGGGGCCGTGCCAAAAATGCATCAAAGAAAGTTTCACTTGTTCGTATACATGACTGCATCGGTGCTGTCTTAATGACCATCTTTAATCCCTCTTCATTAATAATTAATAGTAAGTTACACTCAACTTGTGGAGCCATGAGCCAGTAGAGTCTGACATAACTTGAATTGACCATAATTATAGTACCTGTACCAACACGAGAAATGAATGCTATCTCGAGCGTTTCTGGGCACTCCAAGAAATATGCCGAGGATCTGAGTGTGGAAGTACAAGAATGGGTCAAAGTCTGAGTTCAAATATGGGAGCAGGTTATGTGTGAAAAGCCTCCATAGCAAAGAGACACGTGATTGAATGTAAATACCCAGGTGCACATATGAGTATGAAATCCAACCGAGTCCATTGTGCAAGGGCAGTTACGTCGACAGAGATAATTCCATGCTCCAATTGTAATTCCAACCAGGGCCACGGTTATTTTACGTATTCTCCGATTGTGGCCCGATCGATGGCTGGCTATGTCGGACGAGCCCTTTGCCCAAAGGACAGTGCATAAACAGATACCAAGTAGAAACTATCTAGATATGGCCTTCATGCTAGTAGCCATAGGCTGACAAAAATATGCAGGGGAGCCCCTCTTGCAGGTAATCTTTTCCCATTTTCCCGAATATCCCGAAGCAAGACGATGCAATCGCCGGGAGATCTGAGTTTTAGATGAAAGGAAGAACAGCACATTTACTAAATAATTTGGTTTAGTTCATGTCATCTAAATGGAACTGAGCTATCTCGTGGCGAATCCTTTATTGATAACTGAGAACGAACTGGACTGAATAAAATGAGCAACTCCGATTAATTCTAAAGAGCGAGGCGGGGACTATGCTGAGTGATATAGCGGTGAATTCAATGTTCCCAACTACGTTGAGATTGTTTCCTAGTAAATTTGACTGCATGACCCCTACGAGCAATGTTTGCTCTTTAGGTAGTTTTATCAACACCTCGGTTTTCAGGACTAACGAACACTTAGAAGAATGCCCCAGGGGCAAACTAATGCCAGCCTGTTATACAATTCTAGATGGGATTTTAAAGCTCGACGTTTACATAATCATTGGCTATTAGTTAAATTTGTGCATTTTTACCTAAAGCACATTGCAAAAGGTAAACGTGTGAACGGTTTTGATTTGACTCAGTACGACTGTCGTCACAAAATATATGTCACTACGATACTTAGGTATGCAGTAGTTACACAACATGATCGCTGATTAAATCCTCTTAAACATCTATACTTCATACATCGGACAAATTTATATAACTATAGCTCCATGTGGCTGGCTACCTTCGGTATTGCCATACACAGACAACCTGTGTGATTCATGTTGCCTTCCGGCATAGTTAGTTGATACGACGTGTTTGTATGGAGTAGAAGCCTCCACAGCAATTCTTTTTTGCTTTTTTTTTGTCCGGAAGTCATGAAGGGATTCGCCATTCTTATACCCAGTGCCCACCGAGTCTTACGTACGCTTTGACAGGCTTTCGATATACCCACGTTTCGAATTCAATCAAGGGACGTTCACATGTATCGTACTCCGTATTAATGTAATCAAGCTTCCAAGCCTGGCGAAACATTTCCCCATGCAGTGTAGCATGGAGTAAGTACTATGTACAACACTGCTACATACTTCTGTCGCTATCCAAGTGTTCTCCTGTGGTATTTCTTGACCCCTAACCGAGCAAATGCAGATCTCCGACTAACTATTAACTCCATGACTCGCTAGTGGAGCTATCAAATCTGCGCCGAGTTAGTTGCATCAATTGAATGCTCATGTGCGTCATCTATAAATTCAGCCATGCCGACCGAAGGCTTCTATATGCCCGAGTGCTTGATTCAACCACAATCACGTCCATAATTCAAATTGTGACCGTTTACACAAGATATACTACGCTTCTAAACACTTGCTTTCAGGTTGAATTCTCGAAGAAAGCTGTTAAGCTGACTCCTTACCAACCATGTCTCGTCTCTCAATGCTAGTCCTATCTCTCCTAGCTGTCGTTACTGCTTCCCCATGGCAGTCTGTGGAATCCAAGCAGGTCGTTAAACGTCAGCTTCCTCAGTGTGCAGGCTACGGATCTGTTTGTCGGCTTGACTTTACAAATCAGGTCAATGTCACCAAAGATGAATTTGTATGCAAATCTTGCATCCATGTGGGAGTTACGTATCACCAATAGTTGATCTGTGACCATAGTACACCGAAGATGGAGATTTCTGTACTTGTCCCGTGAGTAAACTTCCAATACAAATGATATGCCGAGATCTAATAACGTACAACTGACATGATTCGAAAATAATTAGGTTGGCACTGTGAGTCTGCCAGAACCCTACAGTCTCCTAGATTTCGAACTAACACACGGTGATCAGTGCAGTACAGTGTTCATAGATGATGGAAATGAGGTAAGTGCACTATATGGTGACAGGAAACTACCCGATGTTCCTTCAATGAAATTATATAATGACACTGGCTTACGATTGATAATAGAAGTTCGATGTAAGGATACACTTCGTTAACACTCTGCTACCGAGATTGCAGTCATACACTAAACACAGCATGTTATCATAAGCTCTACTTATCGGTCGCCACCGGAGGAACTTCTGGAATATATGTAAGTCAGAATTCTCAAATCCTTGACATTACAAGCAAGACTGACAGCATCAAATTCGAACCAAAGATTTGTCGTGAATAGTCTCTTCAAGTTGGATATAAAGGAGCATTCGCACAAGCCTCAATGGCCCTCCGCGAAACATTTCCTGGTGATTCCTACATATGAATTAGTGATGGGTTGTTTCGATTGTCCGGTGGTCCTTCCTGTTTATTTCAGGGTTTGATTTTGTAAATATTTGGCGAGCGCGTTATAATAGATGGTTGGTATTGGTAGTCATCGTCTCAATAAATACATCTACTACCGGATTAATGGCATTAAACATGCTCTCAGGAGAATTCCTCAAGCAAAATTGATCTCTGATGGCATTAGGAAATAACTCTCCATTCAATTTCATCAATAAGCCAAGAAGAACCTCTGTATAGTATCACTAGAAAGAGAATAGTAACTTAGACAGGCCCTAATGCCTGAAAGCATACAACCATCTATACATGATTTCTTTGCACCTTACTCATGAATCCTCGTACTGTATGCGGACAAAGACCCATATCCAGATATTGCAGGAATAACGCCTAGAGTTATCAATGTAAAACCACATAAACCCAATGGCAGTAGTTTCAACAAGCGACAAATCTATCAAAGCTTAGATGCCCACTCCAACGCAACCTGGGGCTCCAATCGTTTAGTATAAGCAGGATCAATGAAAGTATTTCGCACGACGCCGTCTTTGTTGACGAGAATAGTAGCCGGAATTGGAACTTCAAGGCTGTCATCGCCATAGCTTCTTTTCCAGTCAATTTGGAAACCTTCGAAAATGGGACGGAAAGCCTCAGGTTGAGACCATACTATCCCGAGCTGTGATGCAAGCCTGTTGCCCACGTCTGACAAGACGGAAAACTCAAGTCTATTTTTCTCAGCAGTTGACAGCGACTCGTCTGCTAGCTGAGGTGAAATAGCAACAAGTGATACGCCCTTTGCTTTGAATTCTGGAAGGTGCTTTTGCAAGGCACGCAGTTCGAGATTGCAGAATGGACACCATTCGCCACGATAGAAAGAAACAAGCAGGGCCCCTTCTTTTAACAGAGAGTCTCGGGTCACAAATTTCCCAGTTGCATCCTGTAGCTCAAAATCTGGAAATTCCTGGCCAATTTGAATTACTTTGCTGGGGTCAAAAGCGTCACTTAGTGCCTGTACACCAGAGCCAAACGTGTCGAGAACCGGTTGCGGTGCATTCTTCTGAAACTCGGCGTAAGTGTTTTCGAGTTCTTTGGTCAGCGACATGGTGGTTGAACAGAAAGTTGAGATAGGTGGGCCTTGTTTTGGGTTTGATATTGATTCTTCTAAAAGATGGCTTGAATATGATTGACTTTGTAAATGGAGAAATGTATGTAGTAGCCATCGCTTGGAGACGGAAATATTAAGGGTTTTATAGCCACGACGAATTGATGTCTGATTGCACCTACTCAGAAATCGATGAAATCATTTGCGCTCAGCTAAGCATTCTTCCACGCTGACAAATATAGTACACAAGAACTTGTTGCATTGGTGCTCTTCTCCATGGCTTTATTGCGCTCCTGATTGCACTCACTTTCCTAATTAGTTAGACCTTGTGTGCTCACTAGCTCCCGACAACCCACCAAACATACAATAGTATTCGTCACAGTAATACTGTTACATGATTTCAGCCCCTAAACGCGTCGCATCAAACAACCAAGTGACAAACTCGAGCACAAATGAGTACATTTTTCATGCTATTACTAATGTTGATAATGTTTTAGCATGGACTACCATTGCTGAGATTGATTTTAGTTTCGCCGAGCTGACAAATACGTTGGAGTCTTAATCTAGTTCAACTCGACGGTGCTTATCAAGTCTTTTGGAAGCTCTAGACATATGTTCATGATGTAATGGCTTGTAATTGGTGCTGGGGGTTATGCTTGATAGGCGTGTTTATTAAAGTATTTGAGCAGAAACACTTGTTAGGAAACATATATAAGTATAGCACTTGCCGATGACTGTCCAACTTTCCAACGCTCTTCACTCGCACTGTCAAACAGAATAACAAAATAATCGTTCTACAAAGAATACATCATGGATACAGAAAAGTTAATTATCGTCATTGGAATTACCGGTGTTCAGGTGAATAGTTTGATATACCGTCTCACACTCTGTCGCTGATTTGTATTTGAGGGGGGCTCCGTTGCAAACACTTTTCTCCAGCTACCTGGATGGAATGTCCGCGGAACGACCCGTTATCCCTCTTCTGACAAGGTCGAAGCCTGGAAGGCCAAAGGCGCTGAGATAGTTTCGGCAGACCTCGACAACCAATCGAGCCTGGAGCTTGCGTTTCAGGGAGCCAATGTCATCTTTGGGGTTACTGATTTTTGGACTATCTTCCAAGATCCCACAAGCATGGCGAAGAAGAAGCCAGTACAGGACATTACACAGTATTGTTATGAAGTTGAAGTGAAACAAGGCAAAAACCTTGCCAATGCAGCAGCAGCAACGAAAACCCTTGATCGTTTTGTTTTCAGCTCCATGGCAATGGCAAGCAAATGGAGCAATGGAAAGTTCACTCAACTCTATCATATGGATTCCAAGGCAGTTGTGGCAGAATACGCCAAAGCCCTGCCGAGTTTGAAAGACAAATTCTCTCAGATTCAAGCCCCGATATATTTTAATCTGCTATGGCAGTGGGGTCTACCAACGACACCCAAAAAGGTGAGTGACCTCTTTTCTAATGCGTTTTGTCATCTTTTATTCTGTGGAAGATATCACTTGATGAAGTGGCCTTGGGTTAACAAGTCTGATTTAGCAAGCTGATGGGACCTACCGAATCCGTGGTGTTGGACCAGGTAACATTCCAATTCCATTTGGCGATGTGCAGGGTGATTTTGGGAAATGTGTAAAGGTAGTTGTGCAAGAAAAACCAGGGCTCAATCTCCTTGCTGTGGGTGAGATGTTGTCCTGGGACTCGTATATTGAGACCTGGTCCAAGTCTCAGGGTGTTCAGTCTGGTGGTTACGAAGAACATACAATCGAGTCATTCATGAAGCTTCTTCCCGGTGGATTAGGCCGGGAGTTTGGCGAAAATGTCTTGTTTGGGCAACAGTTTGGATACGATGGGTCAGACCCAACTGTAGTGCGACCTTCAGACGTAAGTGATCTCGGTATTACAATCTACTAAAGTGACATAACATGGCTAACAAACGGATAGTTTGGTATCCCTATGAGTTCTTTCAAGGAGTACTGTGAGCGGACAGATTTTTCCTCTATTCTATGATGTGAATTCAACTCGGAGTGACAGCGGGGTCTAATGCTTGAATTTCACCTGGAGCCTGGTATAAGTTGCACTATAGAGCAATAATCTTTAGCTTCAATTCCATAACTATTCTCAATATTAATTGTGGTTTCTTAGAATACTGTATTTTTTATTACACAGTGCGTATTGTAACATTCATTACAAGTATTTTGGAGATCTGAACGCTTGCACCACAAGGCGAAGCGTCTCCACCTTCGCCGAGCTCGCCGAACGCGCCGAACGCGCCGAAGCTAGAATTTCCTCAGTGCGTCACTTGTGCGAAGATAACGTCTTTCAAGAGTGAAAAGCACGGGACTTTGAAGAAATTAACTCGGGGAAAAAGTAGATACTGTTCGCCAGGTCGCTTTGACATAGAACCACGTGTGTTAATGCGTATGTATAGGCTATGGAGTTCTGAACACTTAGTTTTTAGAATTTCAGTCATACTTAATCTAGGTACCCATTGCCCCTGCAGTCTAGATTTGAAGCTATGACTTTAGTCATGGAGTGCAAGTCTCTTTTCTCCCCGTAGTGCTCGCCACTTATTAGTGGACTTGATCGCCTCACCGCAACCTTGCAACAAAAACGACCATTTTTTAATAAACTTTTCACTTAGTTCCCATCCAGTCTCAGTCCACGGATCCCCCCAAAGAATCATACCACGACGTTCGATATCGTTATTCCCTTCCTCCAATCCGCCAAGGAAGTCCGAACAAAGTGCATCAGGATCAAACTTATCCTGATACCTAATGACATTGTCACGCATGTTTGCCCAGGGGATCGTATCGATCCAAGTCTCATGTGAAACTTTCTTCTGTAGAGACGTAAATTGCAGTGATGGTGGTGACTCTTCGGGTGGGGTTGGCAGGTCCTCGGTATAAAAGTCATCCCATCCTTGGAAGTCCTGTCCGCTTAGACGGACTAATATTGCCATATTCGTTAACAGTCCTCGCAGAGTGTTGTGTTGTATTAAGACAAAGAGCTCATGATCGAGCGTAAGTGGAAAATCGACTTGGTACTCCGAACCGTGGAGCAAGTATTTCTCGTTTAGAAATAAAAGTGAGTCAAAATCGGAAGCAGCGGCACCGCGTATTGGCTGATCACAGAGAGTTTGTAAAGGTAGACTGTGATATGATTCAGACCGAGGTACATCTGCTATTAACTCCCACTTTCGCCATGCCCTTAGCTCGGCCCAAAAGGCAAATGTGCCCGCTGCATCTCCTAATGTCTCCAAAATTCGCCAGAATGCATCCCAATTCTGGAGTTGCTTCAACGTAACTTGCATACGCTGGCGTCCACTGACATGATCTAAGGCTAACCTTTGAAAACTACTCCGCTCAACAAGCGCTGCCCTCGATGGGGCGGTCTTCAGATTTTCTATCTCGGTGATTTGTTGCAATCGTTGGCGCCGCCCTGTATCACATTGATGACTAAGTATAACGGTTTTTTATAACTACCTACCTTGAGAACACATAAAATAAAACATAGAGAGACTTACGCCAAGCTCTTTGATGTAGGCGGTTTTGCCTCCTGCGGCGTTCAACTGGGTCAAGTGTCCCAGTCCAGTCGTCATCTCGTATACGAGCCTGCGTGCTCCGTCAGTCCCGCAACTGAGTTTCTAGAAATGTCTATGGTAAGGTTTGATGTGAGTCGTACCTCTTTAGGGGGAAACATAGCGTATATTCCAGCTCCAATAATGCGAGTTTCGATGAATACCAGTTGATAGCGGGATGCAGAGTAAGGGAGGAGGAGCATCGCGACCAAAGGATATCGACTCCGCAGTTATCTCCGCTGAGTTAAGCCCGGCTGCGTCAGGCGCTAAATACTTACGGTGCGCTATCTTTCTTATGATTGGCCTATCGCCGTCATAGTCTGCTTATTGTGCATGGGCGTTATTCCATTCATAGCCTAGCGTGTATCTGCAGTGGCCATATACGGCATAGTGCCACAGCTTAGATGCTTACCATGCATATGAACTAAGCTATACTCGGCTAGTGAGATCTGACGTTTTCGTCTCTGTATATCCAATCCTGCCTTACAAACGCATATGCCACATAACTAGCATAGCAGGCAAAGATTGTTTTTGGATGTCTAGGTCAAATAGTACAAATCATCCCTTTATTACTTCGTCATGAAGATGCTAGCTTCGGACGAGAATGTCGGTGATAAGCTGACCCCGAGGGATATCGAAATATAAATACCTTTTGCATATTCTCTTGAAATGGATAGGTGTACAGTGAACAATCTACAAATCTTTGAGACTCTGATTCTTCAAAGTCAAAGAATTTCGTCAAAGATTATCAATCATACGACATCATTCGCAATGCCTAACCTCGAGCAGTTTGTCGACTTCAATCCTGAAAAGGAGATCCCAAACCTACACGGCAAGGTCATATTTATAACGGGGGGTTTGTAGCTCTGCGAATACTCCTGCTTACGGACTCGGCTAATCAGTCTATAATATTCTCTAGGAACATCAGGACTGGGGAGAGCTTCCGTGATAGGTCTTGCGAAGCATGATCCGGCACACATATACTTCAGTGGCCGAAACTCCGAAGCAGCTCAAGAACTGATTCGAGAAGTACAAACGGAACATCCTTTAGTCCAGACGACCTTTATTAAAATGGACATGACATCATTAGCTTCCGTAAAGAAAGCTTGCGGTGAATTCGTGAATGATCGGCTTGATGTCCTCATGTGAGTCGATCTAACCGCAATAACTACGACATGTAGGATTAAGTAGTAACTAACTACTAACTCCGAATTGCTCAAAGGTGCAACGCAGGTGTCATGTTTATTCCTCCTGGCGTGAGCTCGGATGGTTTCGAGCTCCACTTTGCTATCAACCATTTGGGTCATGCAATGATCATTAATGAGCTCCTACCAGTGTTAAGAAAGACTGCCCAATTGCCCAATTCTGATGTACGTGTTATGTCCTTGACATCAACGGCTTGGAAAAGCCACCCGAAGGATGGCGTCACCTTTTCCACGCTTCGTACCCCGCAGAAAGGATTCATGGGAGCATTATTGAGATACGGGTAAGCCGTCCTTGTATTTCTCACCATCTTCCTTTTGGTGGGGTGAACTAATATGGGACTAACTTTACCATAATATAGACAAAGCAAGCTTGCCAATATTGTCTATGCTGCTGAGCTTGCTCGTCGCCACGCAGACTCAGGCATAAAGTTCATATCTGTCCACCCAGGTGCTTCGCACACCCCCTTGACAACGAGACCTCCTTTACATCTAAAGTTACTCGTGATCATCGTTTTATGGTTAATGGGAGCGACCTTTATGGAGGAAGATAAGGGTCGCCTAAGCCAGCTTTGGGCGGCAGCTGGAGCCAAGAAAGAGCAGTTAACGAATGGAGGATTTTACATGCCTGTTGGACGATTGAGTGACGACAGGCTAGATGAGACTGCCAGTAGTCCAGAATTGGCTAAGAACTTGTGGACTTATACTCAGGATGTTTTGAGCAAGTTTTAATCACGCTTTGGATTGTGAGGATTGGCACTATTCTCTTGATTGTTTCTACATTATTTGAGCTTGCTTGTTGCATAGTGGTAGTTCTTGCTATGTTTCATCACTGTTATATTTGTTGTTTTAGACATTTGTCCCGCCTCATATTGAACTACTTCCTATTTATTAGAAAATTTGCAAACCATACTTTTGGGAAAGACAATTGCAACATCACCAAATTTGGCCAACTCGGAGAGAGTTTAGCATATATTATATGGAGAAGGAGCATAGTGTTCAAGGCATCTAGCCACCGAACTGTTTCGTTGTCATGCTGGCACAGTAGTTATGTTTTTATAAATATTCAACTGATGCTGTGTAAACTAGCGTTAAAAAAGCATGCCACCCGAATTAGGTATTAGAGTACTGTTGCAAAGAATGGCAGGCCTGTACAGGAACTTGAAGCTAGAAAGCGCACGAGTATGAGAAGGAAAGACAACCCAAGGATTGACTGGCGTCCGCATCCCTAACAGGATTGTTCCGACTCTACTCAATGGCAATCTACTGAGCAGCGGCGACACCAGAATTGATTGCCTTGAGCTCACTCCAATCAAGGCTGTCTTCGCCCAAGCTCCATGCCATCACGCCGCCTAAGCCTTTCTGGGAAATTATCTCATCAAACTTTTTGGCAATCAAATCCGGGGTGTCCCAGGTCCAAAAAAGCTGTGCATCACTGTCCCAGTAGTATTGCCCACCAGCTTCTTCATCCGTGATGCCGTTACTCTTTGCCTTGCTCCACGATGAGGTGATGGAGGAGCTGGAGACCTCAGGGCTCGTCTCAAATGTGACTGCACCGGACTTTCCGGTGTCTTGCCCACTAGCATCTTCGAGTTCCACTGTGGCACAGCCGATAGGGTTCGTCGAGCAGTCCGAGGAAGGGTCGGTAGTGAAGTACTTCGCATAGAATGCAATGCCGAGGTTCCCCTTGCTCGCGTTCATACCAATATCAAGGAAGTTATTGACAGTCTCCAATGATCCCTGGATACTGGTATGATGTTTGGTGATGTTGTCGCGACGGTTCATCAAATCATAACTCATTATGTTCACCATGTCAACGGTGTCGAAGACAGTTGGGCCATTTTCTGCCGTATACCCTATCATATCTCGCTTTAACCCAGGAACTGCAACTGAGAGTACCTTGTCTTCACCAATAGCTTCACGGATGGCTTGAATGAGAAGCGGGAAGGTGTTCACTTCGTCTGTCTTTTCCGAGTTGGGAGTTTGCTTATAGTCCGCGCCATTCCCTCCTGGATACTCCCAATCGATGTCTGATTGACAAGAAGTGTAAGCAGGGAAGCAAAGAAATGTGAAACATTGATAAGGCTCTTACCAACTCCATCTAGTCCCGTGGACTCTAGCATAGCCGCAACATTGCTCGCATACGTAGAACGGGACGAGTCGCTCACAGCGGCAGTGGAGAAGCCAGCGTTATCACCCCAGCCACCAATCGCAATCATGATCTTGGTAGAGCTGGGAAAGCGAGCTCGGAAGGTATCAACAGACTCAAATGGCGTAAATGAGCTTCCGCTGTTGAAATTCTCCGACGGCGCGAATGCCATGATTGCATGCGTCACAGAAGATACAAGGTCGCTTGACGGCAAACTGGATGTGTGCCACCTTCATGTTTTCATTGAGTATCAGTTCACTACGTACAGCTTAAGAAATCCATAACAAGGGTCTGAGTAATAGCATCACTTACTGGTCAACGTACATGACATTCCTCAATGCGGCCGCATGAGCGGCGAGGAAGCCAGTAAGAGCAAAGCATCTCATGTTGGTAGATTGTTCCGGACGGTCTACTGAGTTAGAGTATAGATGACGATATTCAATCGCTGACTTTTCACGAGTAAATGTCAAGAATAAAGAATCTCTGCATAGGAAGCGAGAGTATCGTGGCTTATATGCATGATTGGAATGAGAAGCGCACGCAACAATAACACCACGTCATCACACAGAGCAGACAGACAGCACATCGATCATTTCCTGCATCTTCGAAGATTCGATCATCTGGCCTAGCCTCAAGTATTTTTCTCTGTTAGTGGTATGCGGGTCTTGGCCAGCGTGGAATAATATGCAGGGCATCTAGCATTTGATCATAGAAGACAACTTGGAATAGCTGACATTTTATAGTTATAAGATCTACATTGCTTCACTGTTGCTCAGTCTCTGCTAACTACCTACTTTCCATAGGGTAGATGTGCCTGACAAGTTAGCACATCATTTTCCTGCGGTGCGTCGCTTTCAATTAGCCCTAACCACCATAATCCGACTTGGAGTAGCAAATTCGCCTGACGAATTTACAGCGCATCGTTTTGTCATTAAAGGTAAATTTAGCCCTGGAAAAATCCATGCTCCGTATTTACGGTTCAATGGCTCTTGTAAAATAATCCTCACCAGGATCAAATACGGTCTAGTTACATTCCTAGCTGAAATTACCCCGCCAACACATTTCTCGTGCCTTGTTCAAGCTCCTTTCTAGATGCTATTCATGGGGTTCTCTTAAATAACGATCGGCATGCTCGTGTTCAACCTTTCGCTACGGAACCAGGTATTTATAGCGGAAGAAAGGATAAGCGTATTCGCAGACTTGCTAAAACCCGCGCACGAGGATCGCTTACCGCAGCATATGCCTAGGCCTTTGCAGATATTTGTCAGACTGTCACTTGGACACCAAGATAAATATTGAGTCATTTATTCTCGCTGGCATCTGTCGCCATCGCTTTCATTCAGAGGCACATGAAGTGGAGTGAAATATATGGAGTATACATTTGACAGCGTGCCTCAACCCGCTACACCATTCATAGTATAGGTTTACGAAACATTAAAGAATCACACCCATGTATGGACATGGACAGTCAATGAGGGAAAGACGGAGCGGCAGAATCCTAGGAGCCTGCACGGCGGGACAGTCTAATAAGCAAGGCTATTTATATGTAGCCAGTGCTATTTTGGCTGCCAACTTTAGCTACTGCTTGTACTCAAAGTACCTTAATAGCAGCGAGGGTCTACCAGCAAACAGGGACTGCAAGAACACATGAATGACGTGGGATGACACCGTCGTAAGAGTGTGTATTGCGTGACGACGTCTAAAACAGTCAGTATATGACTAACAAACCATGGGACTTTGAATATCACTGACTGATTTATTCACCTTGTTCACGCATATGCGAGTTCAACAAACTTCAAAGGCTCCGTGCATGGGATCAATGCTGTGCGTCTTTGAATTTCATCTCGAAAGCGTGTGACAAATCAAATTGTCCAAGTACCAGACATGTCCTGGCATAACCCTTGAATAATTGCTGCGAGGTGACTTGACTACCACAGAGGAACACTTCGTCGATCGTGGTGTTGTTGTCCGCTATTTAAGCCCTACATCGTCTTGCCATATCCATTGCTTCCGAATCATCGAGAATATCATGGACCGCAGCAACAATATGCCTCCCACAGTTTGCGGCCCACCATTTATCCTTTATTTGAAACGCACATATACCATAATGCCCTAGTATCAACAAGGCCATGGTATCTTTAGCTCGCAGAAGTTCGATAAATCGACGGTCAACAAGCACCAACCACATAAAAATCATTGCTGGTTGTTCAGGGTTTTGAGTCAAAGCGTTGAATGTGAATCGAAGAAGTTGAGTAGCTTGGATGTACTGGTCCTTATTTTTTCTAGATTCAGGAAGCGAATGTACTAAATTCTCGATATGTTTTATTGCCCGATCTATGCTGTCTGGAAGTGGCTGCGGAGAATCCCAAGGGCGGTATTCACGCATGAGTTGCGAGCTTTTAATTTTATGTCTCATTGCCCCCTCTAGCCGAACAGCAAGGACACCTTTTCCCAGCTCAGAGAGCGCCGCGATGTCGTAGGGAAGTCGAGCGGAGTTGGATGAGTTGAGACGTCCGATGTTAAACAGAAAAGTGAGCATGGCGCTTGCATACAGAGCGTCGAAATTTCCAGTAGTAACGACGGTCACGTTTGGAATAAGAAGAGATAACGCCTGATGATAGTTGTGCGCAGCCAGATCCACATAGGATCTTTCGTCGGAATAATCTCTGGCTTTTGTTGTTTGCGCGAGATGTAGCGCAGATATCGCCAACATACTGTGCATGAGGTGCGGGTGATCCTGGCCATCTCGCGGGACGTGTAAGGACCAGACCGTCTGGTAATCGGTTCGATCTGATAACGTGAAACTAACGTTCGACACGAAGTTGTAAAGCAGCAATTCTTCTCCGTTCAACAGACTCTTGTGGATAGGGCACTGGAAACAATTGAAATTTCGGCAACGGAAGCGGGTGTAGGATTGGGATTGCTGCGGTTCATCGTTTGGTAGTCGGCATTGTTCCTTTCTTCGAGAACAGTGACCGCACACGGGTCTCTGGAGGTCGCACTGGCATATTGTGTTAATGCCAGGTCATCTCACCGAGAAACGAGTTCATTGCTGATTGGCCAATGATGGATAAGGCGGCGCACTTACCTTGACTCTCCTAGACTTACATGACAAGCAGCCATGGCGAGACTTGGCATGTTGACGCCGGGAAGGCATGATGGCGATTATATAGGAAGGGTATGAAAAGAGGATGCGAAGCGGAGACCGGATGGAAGAATACACAACGCGCTGTGTACCCTCTTAATCTGTGATGGTGACATGATAGGAAGGCGATGGCAGAATCCGCCATGGCATTTGGGGATGTCTTCACCGATCAAGCTACGATAGCTTGATCGGTGCTAGTCCAAACGAGGGAAGAAGTACGAACTCGTGTTGTGACTGGCTGTAACTAGCCTTGAGGCCCACCATGCAAAACCAATAGTAGCGTGCGATTGTCTAGGGCAATTATGTAATCCCGAGCGTCGCTGCCGATTGGACAGATTTCCGGGCAGCTATAATTTTAAATTGTCTTCTCGTCAAGATCCTCTTGGTTGCAGCCAACGACCTGGTATATATCATTTCTCCATCTTTCAATGCAATAGAAGTATCATGAATTACTACTGAGAGGGCTTTCCAGCTTGCTGCAACATGATCAAGTCTTGTAGGCTAGACGGTTTGTTATACTAGACCGAATATCTATATTGACAACATCATCTGTATATATCCATGTTTTGAGCAATTTCTGTTTCGCTCTTTGTGTTTGGCATTTCTATTACCCCGGTGCGGTCTGACAATCTTGCCGATGGCTGGTGAGAGCCATCCTTGCATACTAAAGCATACTAAATACTCTAATTGGCTACAACAGCAAGGCACATTCTAGTACCTGACTCAGGAATGCACGTGGCTTGCGACTTGCATGCCACGAGAGCCGGTATCCACCAACCGCTCTGAAATATGCTGGAATAGGTGAGGTTCACGCAAGCCGGGCACCGATGTAAGACATTCATGGTTGAATTCCGCACGGTGGTTGATGCAACACCCCAGCCACTTGCGTGTCTGCAACAACTGATGGAAACAGGCTTTCCCTTGAGCAAGCGAGAAAAGTAGAGCACCAACGTAAACACTTCATAGACTCATTATTCTCCTGTATACGAAGTGAATGATAGATTAAATGACTTCGAGTGCTAATTTGACTTCGAGTATTACACGACCTATAGATATCAATTAAATACGGGTAACTTCTCAAAGTGTATGGATGGAATATAAAGAAAAAAAAAAACATAACGCATAAAGAGTTAGGCATATGACAGAATTTACCGGTTCAATTATAATTGAGCATTACTAGCCGGGTATGCGGCATGAACAAAAAGCTCTGATAGACTAAACACACCTAGAGAGCCAAATGTGTGTGTAGCTCCTAGAGCTTTTTGCATTATTCAACAAATAGGCAAAATTAAGGTTCTCAATACATTGTTCTCGGTTACTTTAATCAAGCATAATGTCTGTACCGCTATCGCAAGCAGCTAATCTAGGGGCATCTACAGAATTGCCTAATGCGGAAACTGTCCGGCACTATCTAAGTTTTCGTTTTCGAAGAAATCAAAATAAAAACTGCAAGCTGTCAGATGTAGATCATTCTACACTATGAAAGAGACACATATCCGCAATCGACTATACAATAGGATGCAGTACCAAGTAAAAAGTATATAAGTCTGTCCGTACCTATCTCACAAAAGTTACCTAGGTATCATCCACAACGTCAAACAAAGCAGTATCATATATATTGTCTCCAAGGGTGCAATACAAGATATACCAGGAGAAAGAAAATATAATCAAAATGGTTCATTCAAAGCTTCCCTTGCTAGCGCTTGCTAGTTCAGCTCTTGCTGGTGTGGTCCAACGAGAGGAGTCTGCTGGAGATTCTGAATTTACTTCGACTCCAGCCTGGGCTGCCTCAACGCCTGGACCAATAGAGAAAGACAGCTCTGCCTCTATACCTCTTCCGCATGGATTTTCAGGCCGCCCACAAGGGCCACACTCGACATATGTCCCATCTGCGCCATCTATGCATTTTCCAGCACCAACGAACGGACCTCCTCCATTCGTGACAGGGTTTCCGGGACAGGGGGAGTTTGCTCACACCTGGGACTTGGCTAGACCCTCATCTATTCCCCTGGAGTACAACCACCCAGGACCACACCATTCAATACCGCCGCATGTATTCAGTGAGCCAAAACCATCGGAAATTCACACCCCACCGCCTACCTTTAATTCTGACGGCGGGGCGCCTCTTTACTCATCATCTGCGCAACCGCCAATCCCATCTGCTCATCCAGAGTCTCCACAGGCTTCATCCAGCAGCAAGCCACAGCCATGCTTTTCCTTTCCTGCGACACCCTCGCAACCTTCGGAGGATATTCACCCCGTCGGACCATCTGGACAGCCAGAACGCCCTCCTTGGTTTTACGGCCTTCTCCCTCCGTTTGACTTGGTTTCAGGGGAGGAGCCGGAGAGTCCTCATGAAGGCACACCACCGCCGCAACCGTCTCAGTCTATTCCAGGCGAGCCACCTAAGCCTCAGGGCAGCTCACCATCGGAGTCGCACCCATTTCCTCCTCCGCCGCCGGCAGGAGATGAGCAAGGTCATGATCCAGTACCTGTTGCTGATGCTTATCCCACTGAACCTGTCACAAACATTGGCGGGCCTTCGCCGCCTTATGGAGCTGCTCCTTCAGTGCCATGCCCCTACTCGACGGCGGGAGAACATCCTTCAGGACCGCACCCTATCCCTGAAGAGAAACCAACTCCACACGCTGAAAGCTACCTCCCAAGGCCACTTGTTAACCCCACCGGTCCTGATAAGGGGGAACACAGTGATATCCCACCTCCTCCACAGGGAGCCTTGGAATCCGAGGCGCCGAGCCCAACGGAACCTGCAGAATATCCACCTCGACCCTCGCAGCCGGGACCTGAGATTACAGAGCCCACTGCAACCCCCGAGGCAGAGCTTCCTGGTATGTCTTTCCACACTCATTTCCAATCTGACTATCAGGTGAAGAACCTTGACTAATCCGGAAACAATAGCAACGTCATCAACAACAACATGTACCTACGCGAAGTCCAAGTCTCTTCATCCTATTCCTCCGCCGTCAGTTACCGAGACGCAGCCCACTAAGTCACATCGCATCTATGGTACCCCCCCAAGCAATCCTCCCGTGCCAACGGAGAATGCTGCAGAGAAGACACCTAGTTCACAGTCTATCCCAGAACCACCATCTAATACTGATATTACTGGTGCTGAACCGTCTGATGTTCGTTTATCAAGTTTTGCACCAGCTTCACTCAAGACATCGATCCCTGTTGGTGTGCTTGTAGGGGCATTGAGTGTCTTGGCGTTTTCTCTAGGTCTATAAATCTCTTGTTGGGCTGGGGAGTTTATATCGTTGGGTGACTATCACAAATTGCAAGGGCATACATATATTACGATGTCAAGAGCAAGTGTGACCAGGTTGAATTTCTTTTTGGCGTGTCTTATTATTAGTATCCTTTATGAATAAGTAATGTTAATATTGCCCCTTCCAAGTGATTGTAAAATTGACCAATATTTTATATCATGCTAGTTAATGATTGAATCTAACTTTAAACAATTGGCCTAATCTATGTAACTAACTATGTGGAGCGCTTGAGGCCATTATTAATCCACCACCTACAACGAACTCTTTTCTTACAATCAACAATCCGGAAGAACACAAACTTGAGATGTAACACCGCGCTGCTAACAGAATGGAGAACCTTTCACAAATCGACATCAAATCACACCTTCACCCTTTCACCCCCATCTCTGAAGACCGCACCCCAGGCCGCATCGTCGACCATGCCGAGGGTATAAGAATCCGTGACCAACATGGTCGGACCTATGTAGATGCCATATCTGGTCTGTGGTGCGTCAACGTTGGTTATGGCAACCGACAAATCGCCGATGCCATCCAGCAGGCCTCTCGCACCGTGTCCTTTGCGCCCACAATGTTCGGCGCCTCGAACGAATACGCGACTCGACTCGCAGATCGACTTCTCCGACTATGTTCCGGGGCCAGCGGCATGCGCAAGGTGTTCTTTGGCCACTCTGGCTCTGATGCAAACGAGACGGCCTTGAAGCTTGCACGACTATATTTTCTGGCTTCGGGACAGCCAATGCGTACCAAATTCATCTCTTGCTGGGACAGCTACCACGGCACAACGCTTGCAACGGCTAGTTTGTCAGGTCTTCCAGGGCACCATCGCAATTTTGCTTTACCAGACCCTTCTTTTCTGCATGTCTCGGCACCTGATGTGTTTGACGCTTTAACTCGGCGAGGATTCTCCTCGGAGGATGATTACGTTGACTTCTTGGTTAAAGAGATGGAAGATACAATCATCGCCGCCGGAGGAGGTGATAAAGTCGCTGCATTCTTCGTCGAGCCGCTCATGGCTGTTGGCGGTATCCTGCCTCCACCGTCAAATTACTTCCCCAGGATCAAAGAGGTTCTCGACAGACATGACATCTTGCTCGTTATTGACGACGTGGTCTGCGCCTTTGGACGGCTCGGGCATTGGTTTGGCTGGGAGACTACCGGGGTACAGCCAGACATGGTATCACTAGCCAAGGGGCTCACAAGCGGGTGTGTGCCTATGTCGGCTACCCTAGTCGGCGAGCGTGTCTGGTCGGTACTTGAACAGCATCAGGATCAGATTGGCGTATTTGGTCATGGCTTCACCATGTCTGGGCATCCGGTGGCAGCTGCAGCGGCGTTGGCTAATATCGAAGTGATTGAAAGGGAGAATCTCTTGTCCAAAGGCAAGGACACGGGAAACGTTCTTCTGTATACAGTCAGGAATGCTACTCGATACATCCCCACAGTGGTTAATGTAAGGGGACGCGGTCTCTTGGTGGGCATAGAGCTGGCAGGCGTTCAGGCTAGCGAAGTGGCTCAGAAATGTCTTGACCTGGGACTGATAGTTCGTGCGATTGTTGGTCGGAACACCATTGCTTTGGCTCCTCCTTTAATAACTAGCGAGGATGATATCCTGAAGATTGTTGGCACGATTCGGAAGGTGCTGGTAGAAAGCAATATATAGAAAGTGGATGCTCTTTGAATTCTCACTTAGTGTTACATCGATAACTAGGTAGAAAGTTTTCCATATGAATTGTGTTTTTTTTTTGTTAAAACCTAGTATATAAATGCCAACTCAGCCAAGAAAGCAAGAAGAAACCGGTAATGTAGTAGTACAAAAAGACATGTCACTGGGTAGGCTGTATACCTAGTCGGCAGAAACAGGATGCTTTTATGGGAACATCAGCAACCGCAACAGCCAAATCAAGCTGTTTACTGAGCATTTTCGCCTCGTCATGCCTTCCCACCGCAGTTAAACATTCATACAGACCGTGAAGTGACCACACATTATTTGGATGCTGCATTGCCCGCGGCAGAACGTCATTGAGGCCAAGGTCTGTCAGATAAACGTCGAGAGCCTCGTCAACTCGGCCTTGCTCAACTAGCAACGCCCCATATGCGTGTCTAGGAGGCTGCATCCATCCCCACGGCTCGTCATAAGGCAGTGCTTGGTCTGCTTCGATGGCCTCACGTAGATACACAAAGGCTTTGTCAATGTTGTTTTTGCGGTACTCAATCTCTCCGTTAAGCATCGCTTCCGCGACTCGCAGAATACGAAGGCAGGTATTATTAAATATGGTTCGTGACGGCTGAACGCACTTCAGCGCATGTTTGAACAAATCCCGTTCGTTTTCCGCAGTCTGTATTCGTCCCAGCGCAGCATTCGCCACGCCCTTGGCATAGTGCAGCATGGTCGTGGTAACGGAGTAGAGCGTTTGATCGTCTGGGAGTTTCAGAGCAAGAATGTCCTCCCAGCGTCCGAACCTGATCAACGCATGAACACGCATGCCCAGAAATCCCTCTAGCCAGTCCGCCATTGGCGGCGACTGGACTCGCAATAATTGCTCGGGGATGCTGTCTTCTAATTCCTTGACCGTATCAAGCGCCACGCGAGATTGTCCTGCAAACATAGCAGCATACAAGCGAAAGTGGTAGTTATGCGCTCTATACAAGGTGTAAAAGCGAATTGGTCCAGCGTTGGCGAAGTATTTTTCGTCGGCATGGATAGCCTGCGTATTCCACATTATTGCTTGCCGATAGTCACCGCACAGTATGTCCAGGTGTGTTGGCATGTGGTTTAAATGACCAGCATCGGGGACAAGGCCACGAAGATGGTCTGCTACACGCAGCGCCCTCTCTGGTGTTTTCGACATTTCCATGAGATGGATATAAAAATGCAGGATGCCTGGGTGTTGTAGACCTCCGTCTTGGGCGATAGCCCTATCAAGGATCTGCTTCACTTCGAGCGTGCGTGATGCCGGGCTGGGACGTCCACTTTTCAAATCCCATAACTTCCAAGGCGTTAGGTTCATCAGTGCGTCTGCATATAAAGCTGCAATATCGAGATCGTCTGAGTATTTGCCATACGCAATCCCCATTTGTTCCGCATATTTGGTATTCCATGCTGCGAATAATTCCTCTTCCGATTTACGTCCATGGTCTGTTATGATTGTTGGCGACGGATAACGAAACTGAATAGCCTCGATCAGTGCCCTCTCAACCGGCGTTGCTCGATCAATGGGTACATCTTGGGCACGCTTTGCGGCCTGGTGTGCCTCTTTCAGGCTTGCATGGAGATCCCGCCCATCAAAGCTATCCCAGGGCTTATTGTAGTTGGGTCCAATGGCATATGCCAAACCCCAGTATGCGGGTGCGCACTCGGGATCATCTCGTACAGCCCTTTTGAAGCAGTTCACTGCCTCCTCGTGGTTGAAGGCAAATGTCCAGATCAAGCCGCGATCAAACCATACCTGGGCCGTGGGTGATACTGTTGAGATGGGCCGATGGTAAGAACCTAGGTTGAAGTAGCTGCCAGTTTCTGTCGCAGGCGGACTCATTGTATCTCGCCATTACAATCGCACTTTGAGAAGAGGATGAGTGACATGTTGTGAGCTTGGTTGTGGCTTAAGTTACGTATGTGGGGCGTTGGACCCCTCCTTTTTCAGGCAAGAATTATTTTAATAAGTCCTAGAAAAAAGACGAATATTCTGTGCGATATACCAGTCATTATCTCTATGGCTGACCAAAGCCCTAGCCTTACCTAGGTATCGAGACAAAAAGACACACTCAGTGTTGGGTATATATAATAAGAAAGTGAAGAAATCCCCCTGCCATGGCATATACTAACGACGGGTATACATTGAAAGAAAGAATCATACTTGGATGCAAACATATTACTTCCCACGGGGTGGTGTCAACAGTCCGACAACGACAAAGACTATTGTAGCCAGCATGGGGGGCAGCAAGTTCATGCACACGTCGGCAGCGACATTGGTTGAAAAGGAAGATGTTTCCATGGACGTGCCCGACCCGAAGAGATTGATGGCGCCATAGATGGTTCGCAGAAGGGTCATGGGCAAGGAGAAGAGAACCGCGTTGAGCAGCTATATCCTGGAGGTCAGCAGGCTGTCGGGACTTGCATGGTTTTCAGTGCATGTGGACACATACCAGAGTACCATTTCGAAATGAATCATCATTCCCCGCCAAACTGGTGTATGAAGCCGGGCGAAGGAGAGAAAACAAAGTTGCAAGCACGAGAACTGCCCAGGCGACAAAGATTATGGCAAAACCTCCTTTGAGGATGCCCATATCTGAGCTGGACGGGTCAGAGCTAGCGAGGTTCGCGACCGAGGCTGCGATCAGGGCTAGGGCGGTGCTGACGAGGATATGATATTGCAAGACGACCGCCCATTCGAGTTTGCTGTTTTTGATAGCATTGCGGGCGTGGCGACTAGGCAGAGATGTTCCGAGTGTTAGTTTGCAAAGCTGAAGCGGACGGGGGCAGTTAGGGTTTGTGACGTACGCCTCATGAAGAATGCCAGCAGCACTAAGAAGGAGTGGTGACAGACCGATGTTGTCGACAATAAGGGCGCCTGAGAAGATGGTATGGTCGCGATCACTCTTCAGCTTGAGGCCAGCAGCCACCAGACGAATTGTGCAGTAGATAATAATGTAGAGCCAGCCCAGTAAGCCCTGTACCCCGTGCCGGAACAGACAGTAAAGGGCAGGCGGAGTGAGAATGGCATAGATGGCGAGCTCTGCAACATCAATCGCCTTGTCGGTGTCGGTCGGTAGCATGCTGTGTTGGAGTTTTTGGCAGGTAGAAGCTTTCCAACAGTATTGATTGTACGGAGAAGACTGCGGAATAACAATGGAGTGTTTGGCTAAATTGAGGCGGCCACAGTCTGCAGAGCATACTTTATATAGGGGCATACAGCGACACAGCCCCAAGATTGACTTTGACCGGGGCCACAGCTGGCTGGTTGGGCCTCTGTTTGAGGGTTCGAACAGCCTTCCTGAACGGGAAAGAGTGAAGCCGCATAGTGTCGGCGTGGGCCAATCACAGCGGCGCAGGGCGCCAAGACCGGAGCCAGCCGCAGATACTTTTTGAGGAATTTAAACGAGGAACGAGCAGATCGGCAGGCAATTTTCTCATTCTTATATTTTTTTAATCAATTTTTTTTATACTTGGTGCTCCTTGATCGCGCGAAACAGGATGTAAAGTTTCCGTGTACTGACTGCTGCTTGGACAATCTCCGGCGGATAGGATAGAGCATCTACTGCTAGACGTAGAGAGGAGATACATGAATTATGGCTATCTCTGCTACTTCTACTCCCTTTTACTCCTCCGACTAAGAATAGCAATACAATAACAACAACCAACAATAGAAATCAAATGATGATAAAAGATGCTGAGCAGAAATATCCCCCGTGGCAATATCCCGGCGCCGGCGCGACGTTGTTCCGGCGTCGGGTGCCTCGCTTTCCCACACAAACCCGCCCGAATTAATCGAGCGCCGAAATTAACTCCTTCCCTCCAGCGACACTTTTCATCGACAAGACCGCCTTCATCACGCTGTTTCCATCCTCATTCTCTCACCATGGGTAAAGTTCACGTAAGTAGCGCCCTGCCGCATCTCCTGGATTTCCCTGCGAGTCTCGTGTTGGCCTGGTCGTCCTCGAAAAACCCTGCCGCCGCCGTTATCGCTTGACCACGCCCACAAGAGTTTTTCACGTACGTCGGTTTTGCACACGGTCGCGCTCGCGTTAAGACGGAGAAAGAACAAATTTCTAGCCTCGATTCTCGATTGCACAACCGCGTCATGATGAACAACGGACGATATCTCGGTCAAGGCCTTTGCAAAGTATTTTATCATCGCCGAGTCGCCCGAATACTATCGACAGTCATCGACTCGCGCCACCCTCGAAATCGCTGTAGTCGGTCGCGGGGTTGGCAGTCGCTTAGAAGATGCAGACCAATACGAGACCTTTAATGGAAATCCGGACACGTTAATGGCGCAGCGCTAACTGTCGTGAACAGGGAAGTTTGGCTCGTGCCGGTAAGGTCAAGACCGCCACACCAAAGGTCGACAAGCAAGAGAAGGTAAATTTTTTTTTTTCGTGTTGCATGTCTCGTGCTCGACTCGTTGCTAACAGTATCAAACAGCCCAAGCAGCCCAAGGGCCGTGCCCGCAAGCGATTGGTCTACACCCGCCGTTTCGTCAACGTCACCTTGACCGGTGGCAAGCGCAAGGTACGCGATACTCCCATCTAACAGTGCTGGTGCGCGGAAGATGCTAATCCACCCAATAGATGAACCCTAGCCCCAGCTCATAGACGACCAAAAAATCAAAAAACTATCGAACGAAAGTGATGATGAGTGAAAAGGTCTAGCGAACCTAGATTGCAAGTCAGTGGGTGAAGCGAGTCGGACTGGGTTTTGTGACAGATGGCTTGGAAATAGGCATTTTCACGTTTCCTGTGTCTGCTTCTTATTTTTTTGTTGCTCTTATGCAATCGGTGTTTTCATAAATAGGATGGATTGTTCTTTTCTTTACCAGAGACCTGGCGATGACTCGGGTCTTGACAGAAAATGCTACATGAGCAGGTTGGGACAAGCTCCTTGACTTTTCCAATCAACTTTCGCCGATTTTTCCTTGATATTACGTAGTGTATTGTGCAATGAGGAAGAAGAGCAGATAAAACAAAAATCCTCCTACACGGGATCTAAATATTCTCTTTTTATTCAAAAATCGTATTTCCTCCGCGTCCACTGGCAGATAATGACATATTTATGTGGCTATGTAAAATTGTTTCGTTACACCAGATAAATAATACCTAACTTGATGCTTCTACGCGCCATCCTCATGCAGCTCGCTGAGCTCTGAAGGGCCCAACAACCCCAAGGCTTGACGTCTCGTCGGCGAGTTGGGATCAAAGAATGGCTTCTCTGCCAGAGACGTCACTCGAGTGCCATGCCTTGGCTCGAGGCCTTCATAGTCCCAGCTCGCGTTGTGGATTGTGATCCTATTGCGGTCAGTTTCTTTCGTTCTTTCTTCGCTTTTCTCGATGGTCATAAGGAAGCATACCGGTTATCCCACAGCGCGCTCGTCCTTGGAGACCACTTGAACCGCACCTGGATATCAGGATTGCGCTCGTACACATCATACAAATACCCCAGAATCAAATCGCTCTCGGCCTTGTCCAAGCCAACAATTCTCAGTGTCATGGCGCGGTTCACCCACAACGCCTTCCAACCCGTCACTGGATGCGTGCGCACCAGCGGATGTTCTCGCTCGATGTACTGGGGTCCGGCCTCGGGGTTTTTGCGGTCGAGGTAGGGATGGGCTGAACGGTATATTGCCGTCTTGCCATCGATGATCTTGCGGAATGCAGGGGACAGCTTTTCGTAGGCTGAATAGCCGCTGGCCCAGAGCGTGTCTCCGCCAACGCTTGGGATGGTGTCGTTGTGGAGATGCGTGATGCCAGCGGGTTGACGCTCATGCACCAGATCAGTATGCCATGCCGAAGACCCTCCGGTGCGCCGGAAGTTGGGCTTGCGCTCTACTGCTTGCAGCGCCGGCCAGAGTACAGTCACGCCGGGGACGCCGGGCACTTGTCCTACTTGTGGCTTTATTATGGCGGTTAGACATATAACCGTACTTATCCCACAAAGCTGTATGAACTTACGTGGACTTCGACTTCGCCAAAGTACTCGCCTAGCTCCTTTTGCTTCTGCGGCGAAAGATCCTGGTCCCGGAAAAAGACCACGCTGCGCTCCGCAATCAGGAGAGCAAGTTCGTCGCGCTGCTGGTTGGTCAGGTCCTTGAGCTGCAAGCCAACAATCTCGGTTCCAATGTGGCGGGTCAGGTTGATGACTTCTTTGGCGGCGCCTAGGAGCGCTTTCTTGTCTGGGTCGGCACGGCTTCCGGCATCGACGTATTCCCGCGGCTCGTTCCGGATGTTGTATACGTCGTCGAGGTAGAGCGGTTTGGCGGGATTGTAGGGGTAGCCTTGCGAGATGTCGATGCCGGCTTTGGCGAGGCGCTCTCGTGCCGGCTGAGGGATATCGAGCCCGTGGTTGTCTTGCTTCGTTTGGATGACGAAGTCGGTAATGGAGGATGAAATTGGAGCGGGGGCCATGATGATTCTTGGGAATGCTGCAGTGTAGTAGCTTTTGAACGTAGAGTTAAGTTATGCTTGTATCTGGCCAGGGATGATGGATGAGCGACCCAAGTGCAGTATTTATACACGAATCTCATATCACACCAGTTTACTCTACATGATCAGTCTATTGGCGACGATTAATAATGCCTCGCCATCACCAGCCCGCAACTGCTTCTGCTTCTGCTGGTTGGCGCGCGGACGTGGGGGAAGCCCTAAAGATGCCATCATCGAGCACTGCAATTGCACAATTAGCAATGATCCCTGCAGCATCGTGATTCTTGGCTGGAATGAAACCATATCTGCATCGTGTTATCTTGGGTGAAAATAGTCTGATCCCGCTGATAACAGCGTGTACTAAAGGTAATGCACGGAAAAAGAAGAAAAAGTGCTGGTTTAGATTAGCTAACTTGTATATCATTTTGCTTAGATTGATGCATTGTCACAGCTAATAGAGGGCGAGCTAGTGGATTCTCGCTTCAACAACGCAGTCTGCAATACATCAAACACAATGTAGCCGGCATCCTGCGGCCCCTTGTTGTTTTGGGACTTCTGGAAGGAAGATTCGCATCGATGGAATCGGTCCTTGACTCTCTCGTTTAATCCGACAAACCTGAGCTCTGCGCCTGGTCCCGCCCACTCCTCTAATGTCGCCCGGATATCTGCCAGCGCCTGCATGCCGGTGGCATCAACGTGCGTCACTCGAGTCATGTCAATAACCACAGTGTCCACATGAGGCAGGAAGCTTTCCTCCGAGGTGCTGGTGCCGGCCTCCTTCCGTAGATTGTGGATATGTCTAGTCTTGGTGTCGTTCCACAGTCTGTTCGGGGAACCTGGAGTCTGTTCTGGCCCAGTCGCCGGATTCTCATGCGCGCCAGAGCTGTACGTATGTATATAGTCTGTAATGCGACGTGTTATGCGAGCAGCATTGGGATAGAGCACTGAATCTTGCAGCATGAAGACCAACGTGCCTTCAGGCACGGGTTGGTATCCCGGTCCAGACGGGGGAGTGGGATACAACTTGGAGAAATTGTCGGGAGTTACCACCGTCACACGGGCAAAGGCCAGCTGGAGGAGCACGTAGACCAGGCTATAGCCAACCGCTGAAGCAATGCCTATCTCTACGCTGACGAAGAGCGTGACCCAGAAGGAGACCATGCTTCCAACAAAGTCTGCGAATGAAGTCTTCCAATAATGCCAAAAGACCCGCGGAGGCAAGATGATCTGCCACACAGCGACGACGATAATGGCCGAAAGCGTTGCAGACGGAATCCAATAAAAGGCATCGGTCAGCTTGTACATGCTGACGAGCACGCAAGCAGTGGTAGCTAGCCCGCTAAGAGGGCTTTTGACCCCGGACTCGGAGTTGACCGCGGTACGCGAGAACCCCCCAGTAATAGGCATGCACGAGAAAAAGCTGCCAAACAGGTTGACAAGGCCGATGTAATTGAGCTCCTGGTCTTGCTGGATGATATATCCGTGGCGGCGAGCAAACGCCTTCCCAATAGCAAGGTGTTCCAACGCAGCAGCGAGGAAACACGCTGCGCTACGACCCGCAGTCTTGACGAGCAGAGCCGTGTCTGGCGTCTTTGGGGGGATGATTCCTGTGCCGATGACTTCGGAAATGCCAAATAGAGGGTCGTCCTTGCGCAGTTTGTTCACCCCCCAGCTGATGAGGGTAAAGAGAACAAGCACAAGCGCGTTGCGGGCTACGGACAGATACCACAAAGCACGGTGTTTCTTGCCCCATGCGCGGCCAACCCATTGGAGGCCCACGAGCATCACAATTCCTGAGAATCCCACCAAGAACGCCCGCCAATTTGTATCGGGGAGGCGCTGGAAAAACACCCGAATGACGCCGGCAGTGTTACTGGCAGATTTGCCCTCTCCGAACAGAGCCTTGAGCTGCTGCAGGACAATGGTGAGCGCTGCACCGGACACATACCCGGAAAGCACTGGAAGGGGGATGAAATCGAGAAGAAAACCGAGACGGAAGAGTCCGAGGACCAGTGAATATATCCCAACCCAGAATGCCGCCGCGCTGGCAATGGCGCTGGGTCCGTATCCTTCGGCAACGAGGTCGTTTACAATCTCGCCCGTTAAGAGGCCCATAATTGCTGTTGGGCCGGCAGTGACATCTACTTGCATGGTCAGTCATATTCCTAGATATCTCTCTCTCTTTCTCTCTCTCTCTCTCTCTATATATGCGTGGACTGATACCTTTCGAAGTCCCCATAATAGCATAAAACAGACTCGGAAGCCAGCTCGAGACAAGTCCATATCTGGCAGGGATATTGGCTTCTTTGGCGTAAGCAAGACTCTGCGGGACAAGGAGGATTCCAATGGTGAGGCCTTTTTCCAGGGCAAAACCAGTCAGTCGCTGTACACTCGAGGCTAGGGTAGGAGAACTTACCGGCCACCAGGTCATCCCATAACCACGACAGCGCATACCGTGGGATCCATTGCACAATCGGCGCCTTGTCGGCCAGATACTTTGCCGAACCTCTAGGGAGCTTAGGCAGCTGTGTACTGGCAAGGTCGAGCAAGGCACTGATATTCGGATCGTGGCGAATGGCTGTTTTCAGGCCGTGGAAACGACTCGTGGTCATATCGCCGAGTCAAGTACGGGAGAATATTCAGAATACAAACAATTGGCCAATGTTTAGAGAGGAAATCCGGCCATGACAGTCGCAATATAAAGAGAAGATTTATTTTTATATTTAGAGTTACGAATTCGTCTTCTCGCGTGGCGATGGCGCAACTTGGGCTGCAGCTTTATCTGCACTTGCAAAATCAAAAAATCCAACCGCAATTCTTTGTGCAAAATCAATACCAAACCCCACTTGGATCAAACTTGGCTTATATTCTGCTAGCAACGCGAAATACCGCAGGGCGATGTCGCAATTCCAAGTTCCACTTTGGTTGCTTCAGGAGCCCCCACCAGAGATAAATGGGAAGAACTTGAAGACTGGACTGGATGGTGGACAGAGTCAACCATCGAAGCCATGAAGCTCCTCACGGCCGAACAGCGCAGCCAAATAGCAGGCGACTATTTCGCGCCGGACGGCCTGTATGAATATACGAAGAAACTGCCTTTCACCGGCCGCGTGAAAAGCAACGTGACTTCGCTCGTGGCTGGCGAATGGACGGAAATCACCCTTGATTATGAGGTGGGAGCATCGGGGCTTGCAGACGGTGCCTGGATCAAGGGGACCTTCAAGTTTTACTCGGTGTGTGTTCTTGCTTTCCTCCTTGGGCTCCATCATCAATGCTGACAGTCGATCAGGATTGGGCTCTTTTCCAGACCTCGGATCCCCAGGCGGACAACTACATCAGTGCAGAATATGTGCCGAACGGACTAGTCCCCGGACAGACACCGGCGACGGTCCAGTCCCTGGGAATTCGCTTCGACCAAAAGGGCCACGAGAGGCCCTTTCAAAAGGCCGTCATCGTTGACATCCAAGATGGCTATCTGAACCCAGGTGACCGCATTGTGATCCGCCTGGGGGATCGCCGGTTTGGGGGCAGAGGGACACGGGTGCAAACATTCATTGAAAAAGACTTTCGCTGGCGATTCTATATTGACCCCGTGGGCACTTCGTGAGTACAATGACAAAGACACTCGTGGGAGAAGTAGAAGAAGAAGAAAAAAAAAAGGTCGCTTACCTAACATATCTGTTGACAGCCGATTTGCACCAATCCAACCTGATCTCTCTTGGGAGATTACTGCCGGCCCTATCCATCATCTTCAGGTCGTTTCACCAAGACTGGTTCAGCAATCCATTCCCTTCACAGTCCGTGCGCATGCAGAGGATGTCTGGGGCAACGTGACTCAGAACCTGGCAGGTCTATCCTCCACGCTGAAGCTGTCGAGCACAACCCCCGAGACTGCCCTAGAGAAAACCTTGGCCATTCCAGCTTCTGGATGGACAAACGCTGTCTTCCCAAACCTGCTATTAGACATCCCAGATGACTATACTATCGACATAGCTGTAAAAGCTGCTGACGGGGCAATCGTTGCATCTAAGCGTGCCTATATCACGGTATCTTCTGCCACGTCTCTTCCTCCAAAGATCTTGTTCGGTGATCTACATGTACATTCCGATGACACTGTAGGTACTGAATCATCAACCTATAACTTCTCTTACGGCCGAGACATTGCTGGGCTGGATGTTCTCGGGTATACCGCAAACGACTTCCAAATCACCAAAGCCCGCTGGGATGCCACCGTAGATCTGATTCGATCTCTCAACCAACCGGGGGAATTTGTCCTCTTCCCCGGCACTGAGTGGTGTGGGAACTCTGCTGCTGGAGGGGACCATAATGTCGTGTTCTTGAATGATCAGTCTCCGCCCGAGTTTCCCTTTGATCGCCACGGGAATGTCGCGCGTTCATTTGAGTGGTCCGAAGACGGCCCTAAAGATCTTGTGCCGGGAGCTTGGCCTCTCGATGAGGTGTATCTCACGTATGCCGGGGATGCAGAGAACCACCTTCTGATCCCCCACGTTGGAGGCCGTCGATGCAATCTTGCATGGCATCACCCTAAGCTTGAGCGTCTTGTAGAGATTGGAAGTGCATGGGGTCAGTTTGAGTGGCTTCTCCAAGATGCCATCCGCCGTGGATGGAGGCTCGGCGTCACTGCTAATTCTGACGAGCATCGCGGCCGTTGTGGCGGTGGTGTTCCAGGTACAGCAGTGTTCGGCACCCGTGGGGGCTTGACTGGGATCTTGGCTCCTCGACTCGAACGTCAAGACGTTGCTAGGGCTCTTCGTGCGCGCCATACCTTTGCAACTACGGGCCAACGGCTGGTCGGGCTTTTGTACACTGGATCTGCAATCCAGGGCGATGAGATCCAACATAGCGCTCAAGAACCGCTAGAACTAGACTATCACTTCCTTGGCGAGAGGGGTTTCTCTTCTATCGAAGCTTTCGACGCCTCGGGCCTGATATGGCGTCACCATTTCTGGTCTGAGTCGAAATCACCAGCAAGGATTCTACGGGTGACTTGGGGAGGCGCGCGATTGTACGATCGATACCGCGAGGCCGTCTGGAATGGTAAAATTGGGGTCTCCAATGTGCAGGGTGTGCAGCCGTTTGGCGGCCTGGAAGACAATATCGAGGATTATGCACGGCCCGCCGATGCTAATACCATTACATTCTCTAGCAAGACAAGCGGCGATCTGGATGGCGTCCACATCACCTTCGAAGACGATCAGACTCCGCGAAGCATCACTGTGTCGGGCACCCTCGGCGGATATGTCAAGGTCGGAGATGCCCTCGCTGGCAACCCGCATAAAGCCCAGCCCACCTTCCACCTCGAAGTATCCTGGGAGGAAGCGCAGGAACCGGATGGGAAAGCCATTGAGATCAATGGTGGTGCTGGGCTGTTCGTCCGGGTCGAAGCGATCCCCGAGGTGGTGCTTCCACGACGAGCATCGGGGCGGGTGTCTTTCCACGGTCACAACGAGAAGAAACGGGCCATCTACTTTGTTGGCCGCGAGTGGAGCGGGGAAAAAGTTGTGACCAGCCCTATTTTTGTTGACTACCATGATGGGAGCTCATAAACTCGATTATCGTAGCGGAATGTAGAATCAAGTGTGGTTGGGCGGACGTGGGGGAAGCCCTAACTTTAGGATCTAAGTATGATGCCACCATCAAGCGCTACGATTGCACAATTTCACATCCCTGCAGCATCGTAATTCTTGGCTTGAATGGAGCCATTTCGTGTCATCTTCATGTGCGCTATCTGCTACCACTCTTATTCTTTCTGAGGCATTAATCTAAAACCGGCCCGAGCTAGTCTCTGTTGTATTTGTACCGAGAGATGGCAGTTCTTTCTTTTTGCATTTCTTCGTAAAACATAGATATTCAATAGTCTCATCAAAAGCGACATATAAAACTACACAATGACGAAGCCCTCAATTAACAACGTCGCTGTTATCGGCGCAGGCATCAGTGGTGTCGTGACCGCCGCACATCTCCTATCGGCAGGGCTAGAGGTCACTGTCTTTGAAAGAAACAGGGAAGCCGGCGGTGTGTGGTATGCTCGGTCTTTGTATTCCTGTCTTGCAGATAATAGAAGCTGACTGCCGTAAAAAGGCTGTATGATGATAGGCGCCCTGTTGAGCCCATATATCCGTCCACCAAAGCTTCCCAGGGAGAGCAGCCGGGAGACTATGAGGATCTCCAGGAGTCTGAACGCATTCACCTTGAGCATGCACCGCCTGGGTACTGTGCACTAATACCTAGGTCATCTGAATCGCTGGCTAATAAGAATATACAGAGCGTGTTATGTCGGCCTTCAGAACAACGTCTCGACGCCACTCATGAAAGTCACTCTGAATTCATGGCCGGACGAAACACCGGATTTTGTTTCCCATCGAGTCATGAATGAATATATCCAGGATACGTCACGTAAAACCGGGGTAGACGATATAACGAAATATGGTGTTAAAGTGGTCGATGTCCAGAAGGTGAACTCGCAGTCGAAGTGGCGCGTGACCTGGACGAAGATATACGAAGATGGAGTTTCAGGAAGGCTGCGAGAACAGCAAGAGGATGCAGTGAGTATACGCAATGTAATTCTTCGAGGGGTTTTTAATGACTAATCTAGCAATATTGTTGATTTAACTAGCTCTTTGACGCCGTCGTCGTTGCATCCGGGCATTATCATGCTCCACGCGTGCCGGATTTGCCAGGACTTAGCGAAATCAAGAGATTGTGGCCACAGAAAGTTCTACATTCCAAGGCTTACCGGAAACCAGAAGATTTTGCAAACAAGGCATGTGCATTTAGTGTTATCATTATGTAGTTGATATTGATCTAACCTGGCATAGAACGTTTTTCTTATCGGTGGCGGCGTATCATCCACCGACATTGCGCGTGAACTGGGACCAGTGGCCAAATCCATTTACCAGAGTACAAGAAATGGACCTTTTGATCTGGCGGCGAGTCTTTTGCCCGAAAATGGAGTGCGAGTAGACGAAGTTGCGTCTTTTGAATTGAGTGATGTTTCGTCGACTGCTGGGAACTCAACGGAAGAACGCAGCCTGCCAGTTACAGTGCATCTAAAGTCCGCGAATGGACATTATTCCATCACGGACATTGATTATATCATAATCTGCACTGGGTATCATATCACTCTGCCTTTTCTGGGCGCGCTTCACGAAGATGAAACCATCCCCACCGAGGCCAGTGACACCGTCCTCGTCACCGACGGCAGACAAATACATAATCTGCATAAGGACATATTTTACATCACCGACCCTACTTTATCCTTTATTGGAGTGCCATTCTATACGGCTACATTCTCTCTGTTTGACTTCCAAGCCATCACCCTGGCAGCTGTTTACTCGGGGGTTGCGCAGCTGCCCCCGGAGTCAAATATGAGGGAGGAGTATCTAGCCAAGGTTGAAAAGAAGGGCATTGGTCGTCATTTCCACTCCTTGAAGGATCAAGAGGAGATCTATGTCAAGGATCTACTGGATTGGGTTAATTCGTTCAGGGGCAAGTACGGATTGCCTTTGATTGAGGGGCATACGGAGACCTGGCTTAGGGCCAAGGAGGAGCAACGGAAGAGGATGCAGAAGCTTTTTGCCACTTATGAGTAGAAATTTGGGAGTGGATTAGTTTATACTTTGAGCTATACATTTGGCACATTATTTTCATATACTTTTAATGTAGTATTCTTAACTTTTTGCATTGAGCACGGATTAGATAAGAGAGCTTACTACTAACTAGATAAATCTTGATCATGATATATGAATATAAACGGTAAGTACTACTATTGTATTGGATAGAGCGTGACTTCGGCATGTAGGAAGATTAGGATCTGGGGGAATTTTCCTTTACAAATTTGTACGGGCATCTGTATGGAGATGTGCACACCCCAATGTCAACGTATATCGTTGCGGTTGTTGTCAGCGAACTGGCCGTCATTCAGACAGACATCTACCGCATTCCTATTCGACTTTTTGCTGTTGCAGGGACAGCAATCGACCGACTGGGAAAAGTTCTCGTTGGACCTTACAGCGCGGACGCTCGCTTTTTACGATGAGCAATTCGACGCTCCTTTTCCATTGTCGCAGTACCGGACTTTGTCGGCGCAATGGAGAATTGGGGTCTGTTAATTTTCCTGAGAGAGATTTGTTGGTCGATGTTTCGCAACTCCCAATCCTGTCATTGCAGCGCATTGTCAAGCTTGTCCAGCACGAGTTAGCACACCAGTGGCTCAGAAACCTGGTCACCATGGAGTACTGGGATGGTATGGTATTTCTGGTTTTAGGATTGTGGGTAACTGATGCTAGTTCCTTTTCAGATCTGTGGCTTAATGAGGGTTTCGCGACCTGGATGGCCTGGTATGATTGCAACGCCTTCTATCCTGAATAGGGAATCTGGCAGATTTATACCTCAGAGAACCTACAGCACGGGCCGATATTGGACGGGATGCGTAACTCACATCCGGTTCAAATTCGTATTCGGAGCGATAATGAGATTGGAGACATATTTGACGACATATCTTATGCCAAAGGGGCCTGCTTGCTTCAGATGATCGCCGCTGATCTCGGTCAGGAAGTCTTTCTGCAAGGCATAGGAGCATATATCCGCAAGTACCAATTTCGGATTGCCAGGACTGAGGATCTAGACAAGTGGACGAGATGTTGGGCAACTGATGCACACCTGGACGCAAAAAGTAGGATTTCCCATGCTACTAGTAAACGAGGACATGTCCAACAATACAATTACTATCCGGCAAACTCTAGTACTGATTACAGCAAAGCTTTTGCCTGGAGATGATGAGACAATTTACCCCCTTTTTCTGGGTTTGCGGACCACAGCTGGTGTCGACATGCTCGGGAAGCCACATTCCCTGTAGCAAATCTAGTCTTCTTCAAGATCAATGCGAACCATACTGGTATCTATCGCACGGCATATTCATCCGAGCGGCTAAAAAGGCTAGGCGAAGCTGCCGTCAATGGACTTCTGACTATTGAAGATCGGACTGGTCTCGTTGCGGACGCTTCTTCTCTGGCGGCTGTAGGACACCAACGGACCTCTAGCATATTTTCATTATTTGCCATGCTCAATATGGAATCCGAGTACATTGTCTGGAGTGTAATGATTGATAGCCTTTCTGCTATCAGCGCTGCTTGGATGCATGTTCCGGAAACAAAAGACGCCCTGCAGGAGTTTAAACGCCAGCTTATCGGTCCCAAGGCGTATAAGCAAGGCTGGATATTGAACAAACGGGAAAGCTACGATACAGGAAAATTAAGATCTCTGCTACTTAGTAAATTCGCACTCGTTGGGGATATAGAAACCCCAAAAGCGGCGTTGGAGATGTTCACGCAATATCGTGCTGGTGATAAAACCGCAATCCATCCTGATTTACGCACCGCAGCCTTTGCCTCTGTAGTGTGCTCAGGCTCCGAAATAGAGTATAATGCTGTGCTAGACGTGTATCGCACAACAAATGACAGCACTGAACGTATTGCAGCGCTTGCAGCGCTAGGTTACGCACGCAATCCAACGCTCGTCGAACGCACGATTTCAATGTTGCTAAGTAATGAGGTACGCTTGCAGGACAATCAAGCGCCGATGTCCAGGTTGGGATCTCATGGAACTGGGATTGCCGCTGTGTGGAATTGGATCACGCATGACTGGCCAACTGTCAGGGAGCGATTATCGTCAGGCCTTGCAATTCTCCCTTTGGTCATCAATTTGTGTACGAAGGGACTTACAACAGAAGGACAGCTGCGCCAGGTTGACAACTTTTTCAAAGATATTGTCACAAGGGGGTTCGAAATGGCTTTACAGGAGAGTCTGGATGAAATAAAAATGAATATACGGTGGGTAGAGAGGGACGCTGAGGATGTGCAGAAATGGCTTGAGAATTTCTTGGGCGAAACACGGCCTCTAGATGAGAAGGGTCTCAGAACAGAGTTCTGATTAGAGGCGCGTGTGATTTTTGTTGGCCTTGCATCTTACTTTCTATCTGTCGCTTGTTATACAAGATACAATATGGTGGACAAAAGAAATCTTCAATAGGGCTATTTGCCACTAATGTACGCGATGTTCGACCATTCTCTTCAGGCAGTCGTACAGAACTGCGTGAATACATGTTATGGTAGATAGAATGCAATTGACCTATTTAAACTTAGTCTTTCAACGCATCATGACCCCAGTTCTTCAAACTTTTATAGCTCTTGCTCTGAGTGTTTCGTTTGGCCGTTTCTTCCTGGGCCAAATGCCGCTTGCAGTAAGCGACCACTTTTCGCATATGCTGGATATCGTCCGTTTCGTACTGACTCGGATCTTTCTCCGGGTTGTGCTCTAGTATTGATACGATTTTACGGCCACTTTCACGTTTTTTGTTTGTAAGTTCCTGAGATGGGCCGGGAAACGAAACGAAAGTGAATAACGAGTGATGAAGACTAACCTCTCATGACCGATAGTCTCAGTGTCACTCGAGTCGGATTTGTGCCAGCCCGACGATTGGGATTGGCCGCCCTGCAGCCAGTCACGCAGTTCGGGGGCGGACATGTTGACAAGAGAATTGAATTCCCTATAGATTTATGCAGTTAGCAGGCGTGAAAGATGTGACAGCGTAACATAGATAGACTGGATTGACAGACTCGATCACGGTATTATCGTCTTTTACCATTTTGTCTTCAATAAATGCTCGTTATTGGGCAATCAATCGGGTCAATTGAGGCTTTGTTGTTCGTTCCTTGCTAAAAGACAACACAACCAGTCACTCGATTGGTACTGCACATTGTTATTTAGATGGACAAACACTGCAATACATCATTTGCACATAATTAGGAGTCTTCTCATTTCATGCGGCGGTGAAACGAGATCTTTATCCATGCGTGACATCATTTCCGCCACTTCATCTTCATTTCCGCTTTCGGTAATATTTAGGTCTTAAAATTTGCTATGTAGCACTCGGCTTGTGGTAATTAAGAGACTCGTTGAGTTTATCATGCTTTTCGAAATGCCTGAATAACTCAGGCTATAACCTAATATCTCGAAATGAGATAGTTCCTCCTCTCCACGTCCGTCCAGCTCTTGACCTGCTCAATCTCCCCTCTTTTAACAGCGACATATGGCTTGACGATCGCCTCTCCGATAGAATCACAGATCACGGCGTCAGCAATCAGCTGATCCAAACTTTCGGATAGCGACTTCGGCAGCAATTTGGTGATTCCGAGCCTTTTTCTTTCCTCGGGGCTTAACAGATTGGCACCCACGGGCGAGGGGCCACCAGACAAGCTTATACCTCTTCGCAGACCATCAATACCCGCCGCGAATATCGCGCACAACGCGAGGTATGGATTTGCTAGTCCGTCCATCAACTTCAATTCGAACCTATTTTCTTCTATTCGACGGAGAGGAGTCTCTTTGTTCTCCCATCCCCATGTAGCATACTCGCCGCCACTCCAGATTCCGCTTTGCACACGACTGTAGCTTTCCTGTTGTGACAGAGTGAATGCCAGTACTGCAGGTAAATGCTCCATAATCCCGGCGAAGAAATATTCTTCCTCCTCCGGACTCGATATCTTGGTATTTCCCTTCTGTGGGTTGATGGAGATGTGTACATGCGCGCCGTTCCCGGCGTGTGATTCTGATGGTCGCGGGAACAAAGTTGCGCGGAGTTGATGCTTCGCAGCGGTCTGGGAAATAATGGCCCGGGCTTTTATAAGCTCATCAACGGCTTTAACAGGCTGAGATGGGGGAAGGACAAATTCCCATTGTCCGGGCGCGGCTTCAGCATGGAATTGTTCAATCGATATTCCAGCTGCAAGCAAGGATCTCGCAATTTCCTCTACCATATTAAAATACTCATCGTCTTCTGTGGTCATGCTCTGAAAGGAGTGATCTTTGTTGACAAGCTGGTACTCCACCAACTGGCCTTGTGGATCTGTAATCTTCTTCATAAAAACGACCTCGACCTCGAAGCCCACCAGCGCAAAATACCCTGTTGATTCAATCAAGGTATCGCTTAAGTATTTTAGTCTTGATCTGGGACATTGGGCAACCGCAGTAATTCCATCTGCTCCTACGCCATCTGCCATGATCACTACTCTATTTGGGGACCCAATTTGGCGGTAGATTGTCGACACGTCGGGCTTCAGGTAGAAAACCCCCACCGGAGAGCCCCCTTCGGCTAGATGATCGTGCGGAAGCAGGTAAAAGACGGCTTGAGTGAGCGATAGAAGTTGACCTGTGTTCATCAGGGTCGTGAACCGAGCGATAGGTATGGCGCGGACTAGAATATTCGCATTGTAGCCCATGAACTGTACCAGGACAAATTCTATGCCTGGATTTTCGCGTACGAAATGTTGCCAGGGGCTGATGCCATTCTCCTGAATTGTCATTGCCAATGGATTTGTTTGTTATACTGTGAAATTCTTTCAATTCTGCGTGTTATGATTGTAGAATTTGATCTGGAGATATGCAAGTTTGGTTGGTTTGAGAGAAGAAGACGCGAACAGAACAGAATTGAACGGATCCCAGGAGAACTCTGCATTTCAATTTATTTGAACGATACGTCAAGTCGTAAGTCAATTGCACAGAGTGTATGAGTTAACTACTATTACTATGCTGTGTAACTACCAAATGCATCTGGATGGATCTTCCTTGACTGTCCGTAGATCTCAATGCTGTGATTCGTCGTGAGATCTTGGCCTTTGCAAATACGGGTTACAGATCTAGCCACCGTAGCGGTGAACGAGTCCCAGACTTGAAGTTGTTGAACAAGCTGTCAGCTCTAAAAATCGGAGTCAGCGGCTAGCTAAGAATCTTTTCGACTAAATTGTTGTGTCAAGGATAGTGATCTCGTGCACCCCAAAAATCGACAACCCTCATCAAAAGTAAATTCTGAAGTCTAATCCACAAGAATAAATGATTACATACATCAAGGATGAGTCAAAGCCCAGTCATCCGGTATTCTAAAGTCAGGAGGTATCTTATACTGTCCATAGCAATGTCCATCAGTGCATTTATCGAGGTCGCAAATCCCATAAAGGCGACAATAGCAGTCCGCTGCGTGTGGACATGCTGCCGTATTAAGCTTCTCCAGAGATATAGCGCCGTCATTTTCTATCTCTTGCTTTCTAATGAATAAAATATGCCATATGTAAGACAAAATACGGCCTGCAATACGATCATCGCGCGGTGCTGCATCGGGGCCACTATCCAGAAGCCATTGTCGCAGAGCGGAGTATTCTTCGATCGAGTGTTGCAAGATATTCTTTCGCCCAACGATGAATTGGGCACAGCATTGTGAGCGTATTGTATCGTGTCTACCCAGCACATTGTCGTTATCGTCGCCAAAAAGAATTTTGAAAGCAGCCGGTAGAGCCGAATCGGACACGGAGCGTGCATCCCATGGACTTATCATGGCCTGAAAGGACGTTTCCAGACTGCCCTGTGGCTTCGCCGATGCAGGGCAGGTGCTGACACTCCAATCGCAGCGCAAATTATGATACCCCCAAGGCTCAAGAGCGGCGTGAGTATCCAGAGCAGCCAGGGCGGCAGCATTGTCATAGGTAGGCACGTCGTTATGCCAAGCCCAACGTGATCCGTGCACAAAGACTACCCCCGACTCAGGTATGTGGTAATAGTTGTCGATGATAAATGTTAGATAGACAATTGCCTCGTGGCCCCGATTGGCGGGAACTTGCAGATACTTTGACGACTCATCACTCGGTGCGTCTACGTTGTAGACGCAGGTATGATACTTATCAGCCAGCTTATCGATCCATGAAGTGTCACCGTCTGCTTCGACACGAGCAACCACCAAGGCCGGTTTCTTGCTACCGGCAAGACTGGGACAGATGCCCCGCGAGTCTACCTTCTTTCCATCTTGGGGCTTATAGCGGATCTCATTCCAGTCTAAACGCTTGTCCGCCAAACTCGAACTTTGCGGACGGTTGATATAAAGAATGAGTAAAAAGATGCCAAGGAATATGGCGGATTGAATAGCAAATCTATTCACTCTTCGGGGCATTGGGACCAGTTTATTCCATTATAGTTCCGAATAAACAAAAATTTAATATCACGGAGATTGTGATTCGCTTTTCAGTCTTCTGTCAGGGGGTTCGGCCAAGCGTCAACAGATGAACCGAATTGCGCCAATGGCTGGCTTTTCAGAGAGTGCGGGCGATAGGCTGGACAGTATGGCACTGAGCATATATATATTCAAGTTGTTGGTAGCAAAGCATCTATGCTAATATAGTGTTGTCGCATCCATTGCATCCATTATCGCGATGTTGTCTTTTTTAGCATTTATTTTGCATTTTGCGTTCTTCGGATGAGCTATTACAGGAACGTTCTGATTGGCTGGACATGCATCGTGGTACGTCACCTGCGGCTTGGCGCTGACATAATTACGCTAAGCTTTTCCTAGCATGCACTAGTCTATATTAGTATTAGACTATCGCTGAGCTACAATAACCCTAACCCTGACTTACTGAATAGTCCACGAACTGAAGAGTCATGAGTTCGCTGTATAAGAAGTAATTTATCTCATTCTTTCAACGCATTTTTGCACGTGAAGAAGTAAAAAATCCGAGAATAATGCATTAATATTTCATTCGCTTTACCCCTACTCCCAGTAATAAGAGAACATCTCCATTCCTTTGTAGTCGTCACCATAGAGACCACCCTCAGCAGAGCCCGCAGCGCCTGCCGTTACTATCAATGGCAAAAAATGTTCAGCTCCACCTCGGGGGTGCATGTTATATGCATGGGGGAACTCTCTCCAGTGTTTTAGCTTGGCCAACCGCTCGTCGGGGTCTTTGGTCAAGATAGCTTCATTAAGCACGCTGGACCACTCACTAACGATAGATGAAAACCCTAGAGCTTCAGCTGCTCCACCAAATAAAAGTCGAAGATTGTGGAAAGTTGGGAACCCAGAACCGAAAATAGCAATATTTTCTTTGCGCAGAGCTGCAAGCGCTTGTCCCATTTTGAAATGTTCAGCCGGGTCCTCGCTCTGGAGAACAGACATCTGAACAATCGGTATTGACTCGTCTGGGATGATTGATTTCATGGGAATGAATACACCGTGATCCCATCCTCTCGACTCGTCGAGCTGCGGAGAAAAGCCGGCTTTCTGAAGGTGGCTGTAAACTTCCTTGGCTACGGACGGTGACCCCGAAGCGTTGTATTTGAGCGAGTAAGCCTCTTTGGGAAAGTTGTAGTAGTCGTAATATAGCTCGTGCTTTGAGCCAGCAGAGATTGTCGGGTGTTTCGTAACCCAGTGCGCCGTAACAAGGACGATGGCCTTCGGTGCTGCAGGGGTGCCAAGACGCAGGATTTTTGGAACTCGAGTCTTCCAGGAATTAACTATATTGCGGTGCTCAGGATCACCAAGAATTGGCATAGGGCCTAGTGAAAAAAGAAATAAATCAGTTAGTCAGTACGTTTGATGGATTAGTTATGCCGCAGTAATCCATTGATGCACTGCGGTCTCATTGTATGCGAATGCCTCGAACGTACCACCACCATGACTGACACAGATCACTGGTGCCAATGATCCTTGCTTTTCCGCAGCCATTGTTGTTGAAATGGTTGCAATGCCTCGTCGAAAGAAGAGCGACGTCAAAATGCCCATAAAGCTTAGCACGATAAAGAAGATGCCGGCGGAGGTGGCGGGGGATCTCTGACCGGCCATGCAACCGAATTCACTTATATAGTTTCATAAATAGTTAACTTAGGTAAGTTTGTTAGGACTGAATGACAAAGCCACTGCACCCCAGCTTTGCGATCTGATGCGGGACTAAAAAACGTATACTATTCTTCATTCTGACAGATCGTTATCAATTTATAGCCAATCCGGCGCGAGAGCATATATCCGCCGCCCGGAAAAGCGGATTTACGGATCTGAGCTAGTCCTATATTGGCTTAGTACCATAAAAGGCTCGAAGTCTGCGAAATCTGCGCGCGCGATGGTGCAGTGGATTTATAACTGCTTAGCAATTGATTAGATTGATAATACTGCTGGATTCGCTTGGTTATTGGCCAGTCATGGACTTGGCTGAGTTTAGCTACCGCGGGATTCGTTCCGCGCTCTGCAGTGCTTTCTCCAAGCCAATTGTGTATTAGAAATCAACATTTGTTAGTTAACTAACTACTGCGAGTAATTTATAGGGCAGATCGAGCTCGAAGCAAATCTTGCTCCACAATCTCGTCCCTCTTGCTCAAAAGCTCATCCACGTCCCACTTTGCAGACAAGAATCTTCCATTAAGGACGCGCACGCGATCTTGGTTTTGTGTTAACCACACACAGAACGCTCCCGCAAGATCAGGGGACTCTGTCAAGTCTAAAGACTCGGTTAGTTCTATAGATCAGGGGAATGGAAGGATAAACGCGTACAAGGTAAAACTATGTCAGCTACATGTTTCGTTGAAAATTCACTTTTCACTCCTCCGGGATGCAGAGCCGCAAAGAAAATTCCATCATCATCGCCACCATTCTGCTGTTGCTGCTGCTCTTTGAGCATTTCGATGATACGGGCCTGTGCAAACTTGCTTGCACAGTAGGAAATATGCGCAACCGGTCCATTGATCGTTGGTGCCGCCATCGAGCTAATGCCAATGAACACCCCCTTGTATGATGCCGGGCTCGTCGCTGCTGCATCCCTGATGATTGGAATAAAAGACTGAGCTGCGAACACTGTTCCCAGTGTGTTGACATTGAATGCTTTCTGGAAATCCTCGGCCGTCTCCTGAGTAATGTCGTTGACCAAAGGACCACTATAGCCCGCGTTAACAACTACAGCGCCGACAGTGGCACCGAATTGGGCTCTTGTGGCCTCAGCAACCGCGGCAACATCGGATGGCGATGAGACATCACATTTCAATGTCAGGGTCTGAACCGAGGGATTGATGGTTTTGACTTCATCGGCAACAGCCTGGACTAGTTCTAGACGACGAGCAGCCAGGACAACCCCAGTGGCTCCAGCTCGGGCATATGAACGCGCAAGTCCACCACCTACAGCGCCGCTGCCCCCCAGTATGACGGCAGTGAAAGGCTGCGGGAGCTTGGTGGTAGTGGGATCGATAGCTGCGTACACTTCTGTGTGCAGCGTGGGCACAAACTGCCGCAGGGCAACCACATTGACTTGGCTAGGGGTCTGGGTCGGCGCCATGATCATAGAAGCTTATGGAGAAGTTCAACCCAAGCAACTCTCAAGGCGAGGATATAGGTTGTGATATATATATTCGTCGTGCAGCACTCGTTTCTATTTTAGCCAGCGCGTCGGGGATAAGAGCCGGAGGTAAGCGCCGGAGGTAAGCAATTTTCTAGTTTTGATTAGCATTCTCCTTCCAAAGTTCCTATTGTAGAGACTTCAGTTCCATAATCCTAGAGATCAATTCAAACGTGCTCTCGTGGGGTGTGCTTGGCCGTGGATCGTAGGATCAGATTAATGCTATCTGGTCTCAACGATATCGCTAACGAAGGCGACAACCGCTTAATGTAGGCCCCACAGAGATATAAGCAAGCCCCTCCATCCATGGATAGTCCTAGAAATAATGATTTTTTAATCCCTACCCCGGATTGCAAAATATACATAGGTACCAGACAATATGGCGGAGCTCAATAAACCCCTAACTACTCGCATTATTCCGCATCAGTTTCTCAAGCAACTCTTCTTGGTCGGTCACGTACCACAGAGAGCTCTTACATCTGATCCACGGCTGTCATACTCTCTGTATGTTCCCCAAGAGCACTATCCCAAGAATTCTGAACAGAAACTCCCTCTGCTTGTCCATGTCCATGGGACCAGTCGAGATCTCTCCCCCGTCAGGCGTGAGCTAGTCGCCTTTGCCGACTCTATGCCGTGTGCCATTCTGGCACCTCTATTCCCCGCCAACCTAGAAGGACCAACTGATTTCAATTCCTACAAAGATCTCCGCACAAATAGCCTACGGTCCGATCTGGCTCTAATTTCTATGCTGGACGAAGTTGCCTTTACCTGGCCCGGCATCGAAACAAGCAAAATCCACTTGATGGGGTTTTCTGCTGGTGGTCAATTCGCGCACCGCTTTCTCTATCTTTATCCAGAGCATTTGGCATCCGTTAGTGTGGGATCTCCAGGCCAAGCTACACCATTGGACTATCAGAAAAACTGGCCAAAGGGAGTTGCAGACGTCGAATCTATATTCAACAAGACAGTTCGGGAGGAACTTATCAAAGAAGTCGCCATTCAGCTAGTCATCGGTGCCGACGATGTGATCGGCCACGGTAGTTCGGAGTTCCGACAGTGGGCGCGAAAGATGACGACGGCTCTCGCAGGCAAAGAAGCACCAGCGTCTATTCAGGCGGATGTAAGCGACTCCAGTCTCGAGGTGGGCAACCGAGTAGACACCATCAAGAGATTGCATACATCGTGGAAAGAACTTGAGATTGAGGCAAGGCTGGATATTGTTGACGGTGTGGCTCATAAGTCCGCTGGGGTGCGTGACGTCGTGCTAGCATTTTTTGAACCTATACTTAAAAGGCAGCTCGCGAGTGAGTGAATAAAGATTGATATGGAATTGATTTCATGATAAACAAGATTTTAAACTGGCAGGTACATAGCATCAGCGTCTCTTGCAGAAAGAATTGTGCTGATATCAATAGATTTACAGGCAACGTATAGCTTGGGATTACATCTCAATTAGTCGAAGAACAATCATCTCATTTGACTAACACACATTTGAGAACATCATAAATGGATCAATTCCGACCTCATGCTTACTACTGGAAAAACTCTCAGTCATAGTACTTCTGCGGAACCCCAGCAAAAATATCTCTCTCCGGTTGATTAACAATCCCAGTCCTGAATCGATGATCTTTTGCAATCCTAGCTCGAGCCCATTCTAATACAGACACAAATAATGGTTAGCAGAAATTTTCCTTGGGCGGCTCAGTAACAATATAAGTCTTTGGATTGAAAAGAAAAATAAAGGAATTTACACGTACCTTCAGTTGTCACACCCTCCAATGCCTTCAAATGGTCCTCAGGCACTTGTATGCCCATTCTCTGCAACAATGGGCTCTTGAGAGGCTCCATGCGAATCGCAGCCTCTGGTCTTGCAAAATATATCAACCCCAGTCTTGGCTTCTCTGCTTGGTCAGGAGGCGGGCGTACAACACGGTGAACCGTAGACTTTAAGAACCCGCCGCTCAAAAATTCAAGAGCATCTGCAATGTTGACAATAATGGACCCAGGCTCTGACTTGACATATCTCCATGACGTGCTATCTTCGGGGTTTTGGAGTACTTGCAGACCTGCCACTGGCTGATGGAAGAGGAAGGTCAATGTGTTGTAGTCAGTGTGTCCCTTAGCCCAGAGATTACCTAGCTTGGCATCTTCTTCGACTGACCGCGGATAATACTTCATATATCTCAGATATTCAAGCCCCTTTTCTTCGTACCGATGGATTTGCACAAGAGACTCTTCATCAATTTCTAGCACGAATGCGAAAAGACGAAGTAATGGCAGGAGAATTTTGTTGTGAATGTACAAGGAAAACTCTTTGATTTCCTCGTAATAATCCCATATCAACTGGGGATGCTCTCGCTCATGCTCTTTTGTGAATTTAGGGATATTGTACCGCTCATCGTTATCGCGTGCACTGAGCTCGCCGGTCGAACGCGGCTTGTATCCCCTAAAATCTCCCACTTCGCTGTTGCAGAGGTACTTCAACTTCTCTTCGAGGGGCAGCTCAAAAAGCGCATCGGCAATGGCATATTGGCGGTTGACTTGCTCGTTTGTAAGTCCATGGTTGGTGACATAAAAGAACCCTTTGTAAGCAACGATGTCAGTTTTTTGATCCTCAGTATCCTCTTTCCTGGATACTTTCCCTCCAGTCATATCTACCAAGTACACTGCTTACCATTTGTATTGATGAATTTCAAGACTTGTTTTGCCAACGCTTCTTTGCCGCCTGGCTTATCGAGCAGGGAGATATCGAGGCCCTCAAGATCGGCCCATTGCACTAAATTTCAATGTTAGTCAATACATTGCCAATGCAAAAATAATCATCTGTAGGCTTGGGCATACGTTACATACAGTCTTCCTTAGTTTGTGGCGGCGGGGTGTATGGCTTCAGGCCAAGACTCGTGGTGGTAGTAGAAGACATCTTGATGGTGATCGGGCTATAGGCAGTTATGTAGCTTTTCAAGCAGAGTAGTCAGGAAAAAACTGCAATCAATTGCATAGAATCCTGCTCCCTTAAGTAACTAATTGCCGCTGTAACTCGGAGTTTTCCCCGACGTTTCGAGAGCAGCTGAGAGCAACGCTGTATAGAATTGCTACAGTCAGTTGGGCATCGCATGGCGGCATCGCGAATGCGAATCACACCATTTAGCAGCGCCCTTAGGGCTATTCCCCGATTAGGCAATAATCTGAAGGCCCGTCCGCCCGCTTGTTTTGCTGCCGGTTGGCGGCCCATCTAGAGCATGTTTACTTTCAGAGATAAGCACTTGCAGGTAGCTAAACAGGAGGGTACTGAGTTTAGCTGTGAAGATATTTTTCTCTCAGTGGGTATGGAAAGGCATCACGCCATTATAGAAACATCCGCGTTATCGGAGTGGCATTGGACACGGTTCTGGAGGTAACTATCCACTATATGCATGTGTTGATATAAATACTATGGAGCATACTACAGCATACCTACTGCTTTGATGCGAACATTCTTTGCAAAGTGCCGCATGTCGAATAAGATGGCAGACAGACACCTCGGCGATGTCCCACAGGACAAGGCTGTTGTCGACATTAGTCCTTTACAACCCGCCCAAAGTCCAACACAAGACACATCCGACCTCAGTCATGACCTTTCCTTTCGACGCCGGATAAAGCAAATCGTCTGGGATACACTAGACTATTCACCCGCAGAGAGAAGATTTGTCTCCAAAATTGACTTTTTTATCCTGTAAGAAACAACATCTCGATCTAATCAGCTAGGTCGGCCAAACTTACGGTTGATTGATGAACTTGGAATAGCACATGGGCAAGCCTTTCTTACTTCTCCAAGAACTTGAATTCAAACAATCTCGGTATTTACACCAGCTCATTCAATGCGCGCAGTACTTAAGCTATTGCCATGGTGCGCGATGCATCGTGAAGAATCTCAAACTGACTCATACGGGGATATATTCATATAGCAAATGCATACGTTTCAGGAATGAAACAAGAGATCAACGTTGTGGGAAACGAGTATCAGACGTTCACAACAATGTGGACCATGTATGTTGTTGCAGGCCTGCACTTTTTAACGTCTATAAATACACAGAACTAAATCGTGTCCACAGTGGCTACGTTATCAGTCAAATCCCATCGCAGGTTATATGTACACGGGGTAGGCTACTCTGAGTGGTCCACGGTTCATTTTTCCATATTGCTAACCACGTAACATGGATAGTCCGGCTGTCTCTTTGGTGCCCTTCATGGGAACTCATCTGGGTTATCGCAACGTTCGCCTCGGCTTCTATTAAAACACCACATCAACTCTATGTCTGTCGCTTCTTTGTATGTCATACCCTTGTTGAAACTTTTCTCGTCAATATCTGTTCCATATCAGAGGAGCGTATCTACAGATCCAGGATCGAAAAGCTGATGATGCAAACAGGTAGGCCTTGCTGAAGGAACATTCTACCCGGCTGTACACACAGTCTTGGGTGCATGGTTCACAAAACGTGAATTGGCAAAAAGGGCCTGCATATTCTTTGGCTCGGCCTTCGTTGGATCTATGTTTAGTGGTTACCTTGTATGCAAATCCCCCTTTCCTAAATCTGCCAGAGAGAATGCCAACGTATTTCCCGTCTTATATAGCAAGCAGCCCTATATACAGGTATGAACGGTGTCGGGGGCCTATCTGGATGGCGATGGCTATTCATATTTGATGGAATTATTACATTTCCCATGGCTATCTGGGGCTATGTTGCACTGCCGGATTTGCCCTCTAACACGAGGGTGTTTTGGCTGAAGCCACACGAGAAAGAGCTTGCACGACTTCGCATGAAGAAGGCTGGCAAAGCTTCCGGGGAACCAGTTACGTGGGCTGGGATGAAGAGAGTGTTGGGAAAATGGCATTTCTGGGTTTATACTGCGTACTACACGTGTGTGTGATCTTGGCTAAGTTTTTGCTTTGCACAATTGACAAAACTTACTTTTTATTGTGTAGGTTCTTCATTTGCAGTGAAAATATCGGATCATACATGAATCTTTGGCTGAAGAGTTTGGATAAGTAAGTCTATCCCTTATAATTACCCTTTTCTTTTATGAATTTCTAGGTATTAACGCAAAGGGATCTACGGTTAACCTAAATATGTGCTGAAATCAGATACTCGGTTTCAGAGATAGATACCTACCCAACGGTCATGTACGCAATTACGATTGTCACCAGCTTGCTCTATGGCTGGACGAGCGATTATATTAAGCTTCGAAGTCCGATCGTCTTCTTCTCACTGACCGTTTGCTTTTTTGCGGCCGTCAATTTGGCCGTATGGGATGGAGTGCCTTTTGGTCTGAAATGGGCTTCTTACTACCTTACTGGGTAAGTATACCCAAAACCAACAACTAGAAGAAGAGAAACTATCTTGATACTCAAACAAGTTAAAGCTAATATTCGAGTCTATAGATTCGCGCAGGGATCCGGTCCTGTCTTCTTGGTGTGTATATTGCCTCTGGAAAAGAAAAGAAACAAAAATTATCAAGTACTAATACAAGGGAAAATAATATAGACAATGGTCAATGAGGTCTGTGCTGGTGACAGTCTTGAGAGATTGATTATCCTTGGATCAACCAACTCTGTCGCGTATGGCTGTCCCCGTTTCTCCCTCAAGCTTGTCTCCTAGTTATTACCATTTCTATGTTATGACTTTCCGTCGACCCCGATTAACATGTCTACTCCATAACTAGGTATGCATTCAATGCTTGGATCCCACTCCTGTCATATAACACGGAGTATGCGCCCAGATTTCTGGTGGGAAATTCGATCACAGTTGCATTGATCGTCTGTGCTGCGATTACGCTCGTACTGGCTATATATTTGGAGAAACGGGAAAATATGTATGTATCTCAATTCAATTCACAAAGGCCTATATGCTATGTCATTTTCTCCGTCCATATGTCTGGCTACTTCCTAATCTCTTTTGCTGTGCTGACTTATGTGTCATATAATAGGAGAAACGCGAGTGTCGGGAATACCAGCATCGTTACAAGCGGGGCAGATGAATGGAGTGAAGGGGATAAAGGGGGGGAGGAGGAGCCCCAAGGGGCGGTTAGGGTTTGAACGAATCTTCGCATTGGCAAGTCGTTTCTTAGCGTGAGATTCACACATTTACTTTGTAGATGGGCATTTCGTTGCCCTCTGATAGGCAGTAGAAGAACGGAGGGATGCAAAAGTATCATATCAACGTCAAAGACAATCAATCTATTTGACTGCTCTTTCCTTTCGAGAGTCAAATTACCCTAATCTAAGTGTACATGTGACTCATTTCCTGTAATTGCATCGTATCCAGGCTTGCAACAGGTTATAGGAGTTGAATATCACACGTATGTACATATGTATATCTTTATACATTCACAAAATCTCCGAAAAGTAAGTTTCTAAACATGTGCAGACCTTGCTGCAGTTCCGTTGGGGGAACCCAAGAATATATGTGCACAGTTGTCGTAGACCAGTAGCCATATACTTACTCTCTGAAAATATTGCCGAACAAACATGACGAGAGCGAGTCTCATCCGAATACGCGCCATACACCCAGGCATGATCATACCATATCATAATGCCGTATGTGTAGCCAGCAATACCCGGATGGTGGTAAGCAGCCTCTGTCGTATTTGATAAGAGTTTGCCCGGGCAGCATAGAAGCTGCTGTAGCTGATGGTGAATTGAGTGGGTTGCGCGCTAGCCGAATTGCCAGTGCGTACATGACCGAGCACCGTTCAACAATGGATCATGCCCGCATCTCCTATACAAAGAGTTCATTATGTAGTGCAAATTCGAACGTACGGCAAGGCATGGTCACAGAAGTGGCATATATCCATATATATATCTCGGTGTGTGTCTTATGCATTGAAGTCCACGGCGAGATTCTTCGGCAAGGACTAACTCCGCTTTAGAGGCAAGGCGTAGACTAGAAATCATGCTCGTTCATGGCCAATTTTGCACCTCCGCCCATAATTTCCGCCCACCGTATCCACAAGCAGACTCCATCCAGGCAAATGATCTCATCACCGTCGTAACTTCTTCCCAGTCTTGAAGACCCAGTTTATAACACAAAATGCGAGTTTGTATTACCGTCCACTGACGAAGATCTGTATCTATGTCCTCCGCAGCGATGCCGCCAATGACCATACACCACAGCTGCAGTTTCATGAAAACCGGATGACATTTCAGTGCGTGTCCACATTTGTCCACAAGTTCGCGAAGTGGGAGCACAGTTTTGACGCGAAAACGCCGGCAAGAAGGAACCGGAAATGTAACATGAGTCGTAAATAAGTGCCCAACAAGCCAGCACATCCCATAAACAATGGAGGCAATCTCCATTATTTTCGTGGAAGAAGTGTTCATATCCTTATCTTTTCCATCCGTCGACAGATCGACTATAAGGCGAGGGTCACCCGTCATCAGGGGAAGATTGGAAAACCGATATTGAATTAAATTTCGAGCGTCAGTCAGACGATCTCGTACTACAACATCATCACGATGTGGCATTAACTTGTGCATACTCTCTGCAAGTTGACCAAGCTCAACGAATGTCCGCTGGATCGAATTTCGTATCGAAAACCAATTGAGCTCCAGAAATCCAGTACCTGAAATAGAAGGTAAGCTTGACGGGGATATATGGAGAATTTCCAACGGCGTGAAATTGACCAGTGATTCTCCGCGTTCGTTGCAAACAGGAAATGCCGGTTTCGTGTCTGTATGGGTGGAGTATTTCAAAGCCGTACTTTTAGGCCATTAGTGACAAATCGGAAAAGATTTATATATCTAATTGATTACTCACTAAGAAATTTTCCACTTCGAGCCATACATTCGAAGGCTGTCAAAACCTCCGTGTTGGTCTATCAAAGTTAACAAGCCTTTCCAATGGACAGGATGTATTGGCTCGTATCCGAAGATATTTAGGGCACCCAAAGAGAGCAAGGCATGGCTGAACGGATTGTGGTCCATCGTGTCAACACTGGCAGGGAGATCGCCCACCGGATCGCAAATTGCGAGCATGCATAAACCCACGAGGATAGCGTCAAATCCAACGGTGCCATATTTAGGTTTTATGAGTGCTTTTCGTAGTTCGCGCAAGCAGGTATATCGGTAATGGGATTGTTCAAGTTCTCGTTGACGTCGTTGAGCTTCGACCCCATTCCACAACATAATTTTGTCTAGGTGGATTGAAGAAGTGAGGCAAAGTGTGTGAAATAACAACGGCTCGGGGTTAGCCTGCACATATTCTAAGAACATATTTTGACGCCATTCGTTGGCAACGCGCAGCGCAGGTAATATGACCCGAGTATCTAGAACATCACAGTTAGGCAAGCGGGAATGCCACAGGGTATCGGTAAGCCTTACAGTGTTGAAGCAACACATTGCTATTTGGACTGTCTTGCGTGTTACATGCATAATCGAAGTAACTAGTGAAGGAAGCGACGACTATCTTATTTGGGTCGCCCATAATCCTTTGTTTGTTTTTATCCACATAAAGGTTCTTTGTTCGCATGATATGTTTGGGGGTCTTTTTTCGCGCATTTGCTGGCTTTGGGGGCGATACTTGGTGCATCGCATTATCTGGCTGGGGCACATCTTGCTCGTTGTCATCCGGCGGCGTGGGTAGATTCGAGACAGGCGAGTTCCTCAATACCAGGCCATATTTTTCCTGCAGCGTCTGGCTCACTTCGGTGTCGTATTCTGCTGGTGGACTAACAGTGGTATTCACGAGAGAATGCCCACGGCGACCTGATTTTGGACTTCTCACAGACTCTTCCTCGTTCACATTGGCAAGATCATCCTCACTGGGCGGAGGACTAACTTGATACTTTTTGAAATATACGCGGCGCATCAACTGAGAACGCAACTCACGCCGAGCATCTCGCGGGCCCGCATTGATGATGGTCGGAGCGTTAACGAAAATGAACTTATCGTTGGGCATTGTGTGGTAGTAGTTGTATGTTGCTCGCTGGTGATTGAATAATGCTCTCTCGTTGTCAAGCTCCGGTTCTGATGCCGGACTTGGATTACTGCGGTGTACTCTCTAGCATTGCTGAAACGTGCATTCGACCATCTGGGTGGGGACGAAGACTCGAGTAACGGGGAGGGATGTGTATTCGAAATAGATTTAATGCAAGCTGATGATCGAGGATGTGGATAACCAAGAAGGCATAGACTGGCCACTGGAGGATGGCGTGGTGCGGAGTGTGAAGGTTGAAGCATCTCACCACTTCTTCAGCGGGTAGAATTAGATGCAGCAGAAGGCGCGCTCTGCTGAGAAGGATCCAGCCTAGTGACAAGCGGGGCCGGGGTTAGCCAATAGCTGCCACCTAATCGAGAGGCAGGCACGGCCATTGGTCGATCACAAGGCCAATGGCACGGCTAAAGTCGCACCGGCAACTATAGCTCCGCCTAGCACTACAAACGGACTATTTGGTAGTCCATTGCGGCCAGTTCAGATTTAGACTCTTCAGAGCGAGCCCAACTCTTTCTGCCAGTCTACCTAATGCCAGATAGCCTGACTATCCGTATCCAGGCCCAGCGAATGAGAGCTTTGCGGGGTGCAATGCCAGCGTATTTTGCATTATGTAAGGCGGGGACCCCACATCATCGCCGCCGCCTGCTATCTCTGCCCCACATTATTACAACTGACAGCCAATAGAATCGCGCTTTGTAGGGGTTCGCAGTTTTTAGCTCCCGCCCGTGCCGGACGGGATGCGGATAGATAACTGGATATTAGCATGCCATGACTATGCAGGCACCCAGGCATTCAATAAGTTGACTCGTGATTAAACTTCGTTCAACACAAACCAACGAAGGCGTTGGACGTGTCCTTGCAGGTATATGCTGTGTGACTACCACTTCAGTCACTTACGGGTATCTAGTCTACATCTTTCTACGATTAACGACACCTGGAAAAGGGAAAAAAAAAAGAAAAAAAGAAAAGAAATCCATGAACAAAATTTTCAATTTCTTGGACTAAACTACCTAGGTACTTTGCCAACCCATTTTTTGATAGGCATCTTGAATAGGAATTTCTCTCACCTGAACCAGCATCTACTCCTGCGGGGACGCACAAAAAAACGAGCATGGCTCGTCAGATGCTGCCGAAACATGGAGTAGTCAACGTATTTCTCTCGACAGTTAGCTACTGGACAGAAATGATAGTCACGGGAATCGGCTTCCCCCTCGCTTGTCGACGTTGACCTCAACTCCACGACTGGGTCTGAGAGATGCACTACCGTATTCTGGGATGTTATGTTTTCCTCAACATCCGAGAGACGGTAATAGTTAGCCACGTTGCGCTTGTGAATGCCCTTGTAGTCTCTATGATTGCCCCATGATGAATGAACTAGAGTCTGGTTCCCAATCTGAAGCATTGGTGGGTACTTTTCATTTAGATCTGTGTTTGGCTGGGTACGGTTGAGCAAAATGTGGACATCCTCCTCAGGGGCATCGCCTGAAAACTGAATAAATATTCCACTGGGAGCCGCGCGAGCACTGGCCCTTTCTGGCGACGTGCTAATTGGAAGCTCTTCTATAAAATCATACAAGCGGGCCAATGTCGTAGGCTGACCAAGGGCGAGGGTAAGGAAATCGTCAAGATCTTTAGACACAAATTTCCGAGCCATTCTATATGTACCCTGTTCGGTTTCCTCTAGGGAGTCGAGAACCCAGTCTCCCGTCGGTAACTCCCACAGATCAACGTCAAATGTGCAACGTGGCTCGCACTTTGATGTCTCCAAGCAGAGTCGACCCAACTCTATGTTGATGTGCACTGCCAAGTCGTTGGTAGCAGTACGATCTTCTAAAACTTTATCTGTCTCAAGATTGACAAGGCACCATTCTCCATCCATGGCAAAGCGACAATGATCTAGCTCCCAGGCTTGTGAGGTGGGAAGGACCCAAGCGGGGCACGATCGTATTGGAAAAACCCGCAGATACTTCATGGTCCAGGTTCGCTGGCGTTTTCTCAGAGTTTTTCCAACCACGGAGCTACTATGCTGTTGATACCGATCGTCCACGAAAAATTGTTGTATGAATGCGACAAATGTCTCGACGTCCTTTTTGTTGGACATGCCACCAAGGCTTGCTCGAATGACGCCAGTTGGTTTCCCACCACGGACTTTGAAAGGTTGCCCACATCGAAAGCCCTCACAGTAGTTACGTCTCATCTCCCAGCTGGCTAGATTCAAATGTCCCGCAATACCACCAGGGTTACACACTCCGCCGGTGCGAATTTGAATGTTGCACGCGCTTGCGAGCGTTTCGAAATGGTCATGTTGAACCCACGCACCGTTTGACATGCAGATGTTGAAAGCAACAGTTGGCCCCTGTGTCACACCGTCGCCATAGATAGAATTTTCATCTTTATAGATTTTGCAAGCCGGGCGGCCATTTGCATGCCGTAGCCGCGATAGATCTGTATATAGGATCTGCGCGAGTTGAGAGGCATGCTCTGATATCTCATCCATTGAGTGGAATAGGCGCTTGTGTAGGATAATTCCGGTATTGAGCATAACGAGGCTATGAAATGGAACGGTACCGTCTTCCAAAATTTCGTGTGTATTCTGATATTTCTTTGCGTGGAAGTGATCAAATGCAAGAACCATATCTACCGTGCCGCCTCCAAAATACCGACGCGACGTCAAAATGGCACTGGACTCTTTGCGCACTATCAATGCTCCAAGATCTGGCATGCCGAAAATCTTGTAGAAGCTGACGCTAGTAAAGTCAGGCGCAGCATCGGGATCAGAAAGATCAAGCTGAGCCGAGGAACAATATGCAGCGGCATCCAGGAGAGTGTACAGACGTCCGTGGTTAGAGTGATTTCTCTGCCGCATTTGCTTGGCCCATTGCTTCGGTGTACGGTGACCGGTCATATTCGATTGCGCTGGGTATCCGACCAATTTAATTATTCCTTTGTCTGCTATCCCTCCATGTGTATTGTCTCGATCCACCGGTAGATAGCTGATGCCATCTTCCTGAGACTTGGAAGATCCAATCCATTCGCCCAGCTCTTTGTCTGATCCAAAACAGTGGTACCCTATATCGGCAAGCTCTCTAATACCAACGAGGCTTGTGTGGGCGTCTGTATGATAACCATACCAGAACCCCTTTTCTTGAAAACTGTACGCAACCAGCTTTATTGCTGCCGTGGCATTGGCGACGAAAACCACGTCGAAATACTCAGCGTCCGCACGGAAAAATTCAAGTACGTTTTGTCGAGCCCGGTCTACGTGTTCTGTGGCCCGTAACGAAGATGAAGAGTTGGAATGCGGGTTGCCGTATAGGCCTGACTTCCACAGTTTTGCTGATAGGTTGACGAGTGATTTTGCGTATGGTGTGGCCCCGCCATAGTCGAGGTAGCATGTTTCTAGATTGTAATAAATCAGTTTGATGTCTTTGTTGGGTTTGTGGTTTGACCTACTGTCGAGGTCTGGGTACTCTCTTCTACGTATTCTGTCGATGTCATACATGTTCCTGGTAATCCTTGAAGTTCTTCCTTTGATTAAACCGGTTTTCGGCCTCTGATCGAGAAAACTTTGAGTAGATTGGATGGTGGAAAATTCGCTCTTTATATACCTGTAGCATAGCTCTTTCCAGGTACATCAACATTTCTGCTAGCTAGTCATGGGAGAATGGAGTAGCATCTGCAACCCAACTTCGATTTAATCCATAATTGGTCATCCAATTTTCAGCTCCAAAGGATGGAAAGACTGGGTATTGACAATCCATGGACAATTAAGTTACTACTTCTGGTAGAAAGAAAACAAATTAGTTTACCTACCATGATAGTGATAGATGCAATACCACTTTTTGATTGGTAGTAACGAGTCCGCAACTATCTTGGTCTCATCGCTAAGAAGTCAAAGGTAGTACGGCAGAGTGAGTGGGTCATGATATGTACATACACTACCTGGGTAAACTGACTCGTATACCAATACCTGCATTGTATTTGGGAACCGTTTATCAAGTACGTACTGTGTGTTGTTGGCTAACATGCACTGTCATATGTACATACATTGTTTTTCCGGCCTATGGAACAACAGGGTGTCGTCAGCACGTGGATGACATCCGAGGCGTGTTCCTGACATGGACCTGCACGAGATTCGGCGTGCGGTCCTCATTTAGTAAATTGTACGTCCTTGAGAAACCACTGGGTTTCACTCATAACTTTGATTTGTCAAAAGCCACCTTCGGCTCAGCTATGAGCTGATTTGTATGCGGAATGTCCATGGTACTGGGAAAACCTTCAACATTTGAACTCGGAGTGCATCACTGCATCAGCGAAAAATGTAATCGCCATCCTTGCCAAGCTCGTATTGGTGGTAATGTCAGCTACAGTAGTTAGCTAAGTGTCAGACAGCCTTGCCTACACATGCGCATACCATCCGAAGCATTATGTAATTCCGAATTAGAACCCCGGATGTGGTGAAAATGGTTTAATTTAGCGAGCTTGCGCTGGCACTGGCGTTGCATGACGAAGGAGAGACTCGTTACCTAAATCCCAGCAGCATGGCATAAGCAATATCTGATCCTGAGTGTGTTCTGTGTGACCTGTGTGTAATGCACAGCAGACGTCCAATCATAAAATGTGACAATTCTTTCATAAAGACTGCATTGATTATAAATAGCTATCAACAACTGTGGCGTTTGCCATATTCAGTTTGTGAAGCAAATCGTCGTTTATTTGGAGAATTTCATTGGACGCGTCCGGTAAAATGGCACACTTGCGCTATTTTGCTCTACGAACGATGAATGTATTGTGCCACATTTCTTTCTGTTTGTTTCCCCTTTTTGCAGGCTGTCGACGCACCACTGATCCATATTGGCAAGAGGTCTATGTTAATTATTATCCTATTCTGGCTGGATCAGCAGCGGCGCAGGTGCATCCACGGGCATGTAGGCCATCCGCTACTTGCGATGGCACAGAGGGGGGATGAACCATGCATGCATGAACTAGAGTATAGTAGCACTGACATCAATGCTCGGGCTGTCTTTAACTATCGATAGCAACAGTTTGTCACTTCGACGCTAGATCCCAAGTGATAGGAAAACGTTAAATGATTGGCTTAATATAAGAAACTAAAATAGCGCAAATGGCCTCCTGACACTCAGATTGGTGGTATCCATAATCTAACTAATCGGCTCGGTCCCTGGGCAGTTGCTACGCTTTACGCAGCTAAATAGCTAGAGTCAGCGGTTCGAAATGTGAACCCACTATACTAGAACTCCGTCACGTACATATCAAACGATAGAACTCAGCTGACAATGACCGGGTGGCAATTGGGAATGGAAATCTAGAGGGTTCCAGGGTTCGTTATTGGCGTGGTATCCTTATGTAGTCACCGGTGTCCGATTTTTCTCCACCAACAGAAAGACCTTGCGAGGTGGCGAGTACGTACGGCGGGCGTACGGCGGGCATACGGAATAAAACAGTCAATGAGTGATTCTCGGGGATACTGAAACTTCGTTGTTCAGTTATGACAAGTCCATCACAGGATGGCATGCATCGAAACCATATCGACTCTCGAGACTCGGCTCGAGCTCTAAGGAGCACTCCGAGCTTTTTTCTTTGATTTCATTACCTCTGTAAACAAGATTTATTGTTATCAAGGGCTAATAGCTAACTCGACGATGCAGAATCTATAGTACTCCTTTTTATTGATTGCACCAGATGCACATTTGTGCCTAACTAAGTAGTTGGACTACACATGTAACTATGCCTTCACCTGCATGATGCTTTGAATCGCGTGCCCAGCTCTGATTTGCAGTCTATATGCCCCAGACTAGTTAAGCCTTCTTGAAAGTAACGAATCAAAGATGATGTCGGTGACCTATCAAGTCTTTTAGCCTTGGCTAGAAAGTGATTGTGACCTTATTTGACGTTCTCTATGGATAGACTTACAGTAGTTAAAGTTGCGAATGAACATCTTCCTACTCGTAGATGATGCCCATAGTCACAAATTGGCCTGGAACATTATACTCGATCCAAGTAAAAAATTCTTTACTTAGCTAAAGTAAATATTTGTTAGTCCGTAAATAGAAAATACTCGCTTCCGCTTGTGACTCGGTTAGATAAGATCAGCTCAGTCTGGTTACAAATTTACAATTTTGTCTGTCGTCCACTACCAGAATTTGCGGCAACTTTATATTACCTATAAAGAAACTTCCTGCAGTAGTAGGTTTGGAAGTCCGTGCTTTCATTCGTTTTCAAGAGGAAGAGTGTGGCTATGCCCTGACACGCAGCTTTTCGCCTTTTCTACTGTTTTATTCTGACCTTATCCATGTGTTATTTATTTTTTAAGTATTGATGCACTATCTCTTAGGCTTCCCTTTTCAGTATGTAACATATTCAGTCGTACTCGACTTGACCATCCCAAACTGACGACGCTGTAGCACATGCCAGTGATGCCACAAAGCAACGGCCCGCCAGTGCACGGGGGCGGAACGGCGCGGAGTACATTAAACCATAAATGGCCTTTTCCCCACACAGTCAAATCAAACTATTGGCCACAAGCCCCAGCATACAAAAAGCTGTCTATTCTAGAACGATGATTGGACTGATTGCAAAGCCCAGCTTGTAATGTCCAGATCTTGATTTTTTGATAGTACGTACTATGTAGTTCTACAGACTATGGATTAGTAGAAGAGTAAAAGAGCGTTATTTCTGGGATATCTTGCACAACTACCTCTCCCACTCGCTTGTGTTCATAACAAGTTCTTCTGGACGCCCGATTTCAAGAAGGTTCAGTGAAAAAACAACATGCTTGAACTATTGTTATGCTTTCATCAGTTGGCACCTTAATAAGCTTGAGGAATCTTTAATGATCCGTTAATAAACTCATCAGAATGAACGGTTTAAAGTTGAATTCATCAGTTCGTATAGAAGGTGATCAATCCAGCCCTAGTGATTTTCGTTTGTTACAGAACTTTAAACAGGGTTGCATCAATTAAAGTCAAGCCCTTACCTATCTAGGAAATTTTTCAGTGTTTCGAAATATCAAATCTCGTATATACCTTATCCCTCTGGTCATACTACACAGATATTGTATAATTACGGATATATGGCCGGGGTATTCTGTTGATACCTCATACACTATACTACAGTACCCTTTCTGTTCTCTGCTGTTCAGAGAACTTCTAAAGAGAAGTCTAACCTAGTTCATACAATCATCATGGTTTGATGCCTCGATAGCTTGAGTAGTGGGTTTGCCGACGAGTAGATGTAACGTCAGCCCTAGGCATGAAACCTAGGCTCTCACATTGGTCCAGTTTCACATCTGTCCTTGGAATATGTGTGTGTAAGTTAATAATGACTGGACTAAATTTACCACAGCCTTTCAAGTATTTTTATAGATGAGGTATAAAAGCCAGTCTTATGAGTATCAATTGGCACTAACTGCTATTGATGTCATTTGTGTGGCTAATATTGTGCCCATCTGTCACTCGACGGTTTCTCGAGTCTTCAATCTCTCTCTCAGTCAAGTAAGAGATAAAGCACAAATGAAGGGAATTACTTTAGCTACTGCGGCTGTTCCGCTTCTTCTCAGTGTGGGAGTTGCAGCTTACAAGCTGCAATGGGATGTTACTTCTAGCAACTTTCTGGACCATTTCGTTTTTGATACCGTTAGTATTACCGCTTTTTCTGTGCTATTTCTTGGTTTGTGTTTGGATCAGCTCATTGTGTAATTCATGGTATAGGAAACTGACCCAAGTAATGGTTTCGTCACCTATGTTGACGAAAGCAGGGCATCTAGTGGAGGCCTCTACAGTACCAGCAACGGCCAAATTTTTCTAGGTGTCGATAATACCACCGTTCTCGACTCATCTGCCACAGGTCGAAACTCGGTCCGTGTCTACAGCCAAAATACCTTTAGCAGCGGCATTCTCATCACAGACTTTAAACATTTGCCTGTTGCGGTTTGTGGTATCTGGCCGGCATAGTAAGGAGCCCATATCAGCCTGGATTCACACCATTACATATAGAAATGTTTATATCTGACTTTATGTTGCTTCTTCGGGAGCGGTTATTACTCGAAAAAAGTTGGACCATCAATAATCTTGCGGACCCTTATGGTGAAATCGACATAATAGAAGCCTACGACGACGTCAGCAACGCCTACACTTCCCTGCACACGAGCAGTAATTGCACTGTCTCGGATACGGACTTCACTGGAACCGATGTTCGTACTGACTGTACATTGAGCACGTCTGCTAGTGGCTGTGGAGTTGAAAGTACAGCGTCACAGTTTGGAGCCGGATTCAACTCTGCTGGAGGTGGAGTCTGGGTTCTCTCTCTCTCAGACTCGCTTCAGATCTGGGTATTTACAAGAGACAATATCCCGGCTGACATCACAGATGGTAGCCCTAATCCATCCGGCTGGGGCACCCCATTATTCGAGTTTGATTCTACCAGTGATTGCGGGGTTTCTAGCAACTTTCTTAATCAGACTGTGGTATGTGTGGCTCTTTATTCCGCTGAAATCTAGATCTAATAATTCTAGATCTTCAACATCGATTTCTGCGGTGAAGAAGATGCAGGCGGCAAGGAGTGGGCAACCTGGACGGATTGTTTGGCCACAACAGGTGTATCGACGTGCAATGCTTACGTCGCTGCTAATCCGGCGACATACTCAGAAACCAACTTTGTGATCAACTCGATCAAGCTGTATCAATGATATGGCTGTTTCAAGGAGTATTAGTTGGTTGCTTTGCTTATTGTACAATATGCCGGTTTGGAGGTCCAGAGCTCGTAATTTATTTGCTGTATGCACCTAGATACTCAAAGTATGTGTCGAGGGTCTCAAAATGTAGACCCTTACTTCTCCAGGAATCCGCTCACTCTTTCTGATCCCAGGATCGTTTAGACATCGGTATAATACCAGTCGATAGCGGCGATATCGTTGAATCTTCCCAGCCTCATCCTGCTTCCTCTTTGTTCTGACCCTCCATATGGTTAAGATTCATCGTTAAAGATCTCACGATCTGTAGCGTAACCCTGCAAGTATCTCTTTTCCTAGTCGGGTTGCAATGAACTCTCATCCATGAACCGATTGGCACCTTCTGAAAGAGGGAATATTAGAGTAGACACAGCTCCATCAGTATGGCTGACATTTAATTAATAAAACGTAATAGCAAAAGAAGCTTAGCAGACACACATAATCAATAGCCCCAGGCCCGATCCTGAAGTTTCGTTCTTTTTTTCGTCTTACTACTTGTACATACATAGGCTTCGGCCAGGTCATTTTTGAATCACTGTAAAACAACCAATTTATGCAAACGCCATAAATATTAGTATCTCATTATCAAATATAGGAATGCAAGGGTCTGCGCTGAATCAGACACTCTCATGAGTCTCAAATGCAGCATCTTTCAGAGTGATACCGTAGCGGCAGACTTCCCTCCTTGCAGAACGCCTTTTATCTCATCATTTTCTCTGCGAGTCCAACTCCACTGGCCCACCGACTCCCATCTCCGACAATACTTGGGGTTGAGTATATTGTTGTTGCTGAGCTTGCTGGTAGGGTCCGGCATCCGTGTACCTGGGCTGGTTTTGAGGGGGCACCATGCCGTATGAGTTATCTTGTTTTGGTTCCGGGACAGATGATGCCGCGATATTTCCGGCCTGGAAGCGATGCAACTTTCGCCGCTCCCATAGCGCCCAGGCAATAGAAGCGAGTGCAATGACGCCAAGAGGCACACCGACGCCTGCTCCAATAGCGGTATCATGGTTGCTGGAAGACTTGGTCGAATTGGAAGTTTCGTTGGCCAAGACATAGTCCGCGAGGAGATCATAGCCTGGAATGATGGTTGCATCTGGGATTTGAAATGTCGTGTAATTGTAGGCGCAGATAGCACTATCATCTTCGGCATCGATATTATTACAGCAATACTCGGCGGTGCTATCAAGGTATGAATAGAGGACTATCGAACAGCCGGATTTGTTGAAAGATGAATCTGAAAGCAGGGCCAAGTATTAATGCGTCTGTCCCTATAACAAGCAAATATGCGTTACTCACCTTGAAGGCAATAATTCGGACAGTTACCGCTCGTCCATGACTGGTCTGTGCATGATGATCTGGCTAGTGTGAAGGGCTGGAAAACGTCCATGCATAGACCATTCGACAGGCAAACGGCGCCCTCGCCACAACAGGCGACATGTGTCCCATTTCCGCAAGGAATATCGCTGGAGGCTATCGATTTATCGGGGTAGTAGCAAGTTTGAGTCGCGGCCGCCAAAGGTGAGAGGATGCCAGTAGCGATTGAAAGCGAGAGGGACACCCTCCCAAGACTGACGGTGGAAAACATTCCGTATGGACAGCAACCAGATCAGGGATATTGGCTGAGAGCGCTAACCACCCAGAAGGTGATGTGAGTATATGTACGGATATGGCAAAAGAGAAAATAGTCAAAATTGTATGGAAGTCAAACGGGGGCTTTCAGCTATTTAACCAGGCAACTTAGTAACATTACCAGTATGGGGACCTTAACAATCCCCACTTGGCAGCGTTGAGTCAAGCCGCAGGAAATTGCGATAGATATTCTTGGTTAGATGTTACTATGGCAGCTTGCTTGGTGCTACATTAAGATTTTGCGGGTACCTCGGATACATAGAGACTAGTTGTGGTACATAGTCAGTACAATTGCATGGTTTCATCGAGTCTCTGCCTTACGGCTTAAGCCCTACAAAGTTGTTCGTTCGCAATGTTCATGGGCTGGCACTCCGTAGCGCTAAATGTAAAGATTCCTAGTGCTGATTCCGCATGGGAGCTGGAGAAAGCAGTGGAGCCAATTTGGCCAGCTGGATATAGTCTATCATACTAGGGATTGTCCGCAGCCGAGCCCTGGCTCTGAGTGTGTTGGGAGGGGCCCTGTGGACCCGCATTGTTCCTAGAAAAATAGTGCTCGATGCCTGTAAAAAACTTCTGCAGCAATCGAGCCACGAGCGAGGACCGGAGCAGACGGTAGAATACTCCAGCATACTCCGTATATGCTCCGGAGAAAATCTTCGAGTATCAACAGCAAGTCGTTAACCAGAGATGATGCTGAAACATAAGCGCTACACTAGCGTTAAGTCAGTGGGACTCGCTCTCAGGCTTCGACTCTTGGTTGGAGGCTTGGGGCCTTTAAAGCTTACCCCCTTCTTCTTTCGGATTACGGCTGATAAAATATACCTTAAGAGGTATAGGCTGGCAGTGATTTCAAACATAAAGCCTCCTTTTCTAATAATAGTTCCTACATCGCCTAGGACTTGTACTCTTCAGTATCTGATATGCTATACTCCGTGTATATATAGAGAGTAAACATAACATGAAAGAGCCAACTGAGGCTGTATCTAGGTAGGTAGAGACTCTACAGTCGGCATCTTCCGGGGACCTAGCTTGACTATGCATTTATATAAAGAAACACGTAAGTGCTGCTAACTTAAGTAGGCATGAGCATTAAATAAAGTAATTCAGCTGATCCACCGAGATCCACACCGGTCACTGGCAGCCTTAAGAGTTACGTATCTTGTAAAATGAGACCGACCGCGTGCTTGATATCACGGTCGAAGAGTACGCACGGGCTGGGTACGGAGTATACATAGCAAGAATTCGTAGTACTAGGTACATTTTACGCAAACTCCTCGACTTTCAAAAATCAGTAGTCTGGGTGTCAGATGGTGGTGATTAGCTGAGAAAAATTCAAACTCGGTGAGGTGAGAATTTAGCGCAGCGCCATTGGTGCCCATTCCTAAGTATATATATTGACGGGATTGGCTCCGATTGAAAGTTTTATTTTTTTTCCGCCTTGGCTATTCTCGAATGCGTTTTCCGGTGCCTACCGTTTTCTCTTTCTATTTATCTATGGAGTAGTATTCACATGTGATTTGTGTGCTAAATAGTAGAAACACGGAGTTGTTTCAGTGCTCTCTCACATTCGCAGTAACAGCCTCTTGCTCATCGCTTCAATACGGAGGACTCACAGCTCACGGGGTGTTGGAAGGTTTAGCATTAAAAGTGGATCGGAGAAATTTAAGTCTTCGCAAGATAGACTTACCTAATTCTTATTTCTAGAATAACTTCAGGTATTATTTCGTAGTTAGTAGTGTCACAAGCAGTATTTTATAGTCTTATTAATTTTGAAAGAAAAAAAAAAATTGCAAAGAATTAACCACAAGTAATGGTAGTTTTCTACAGACTACACGGATACACTATAACTTGATCATGGTGCATAGCTACCTAGGTAGAAAGGCTGAAATCCATGGATAAGAATACTCTCAACAAGCAAGCTTGGAAAGGCTAACAATATGGAAGAGGGTAGGGCTCTTGTATAAGATCTCCGGGTCCATACCCTGCCCTGATTATACTTTCATGTACGATCTTTTGTTCGTAGTCCGTCCAGAGATAATCTGCGATTGCACCGGCACGTTTCTGGAGAAACTCCATAACACCTTTATGAACATAGTCGCCGAAAATATGAAAAGGAAACGACAGACTTATCCCTTGCAGATGCATGGAAAACTTCGAATCCACAAAGGGGGCGACCCCTGTGAAAGTTTTCGACACAGAACCATCATGTGAAACGCGCCAAAGACCGCATTTCAATGTATAAGATGGACAAGGAAGATCAGAAGCGTTTTCGCGACAGTTCTCTCGATTTATCAACCATACCGATGTCAAGATTTCGCCCATAACAGAAGGATTCAGTTCTGTCTTTTCTATTTGGAAGATTTGGGTAGCGACTTGATCAGAGCTTTCAAACAATCTGCAGTCGATACCATTTGTCCACAGCTCCTTCACATTTGGGCCGTCAACCTCATCAGCTTCAACAAGAATCACGAGCTTCACACGTCCATTGCTACCGTATAACCATTGCTTGACATTGTCGAGCAACTCCATACGTGTCTCCTTGGCACTAGCGTGCACTATGACTGAAGGACGAATGTTCCTAGAACTGATCAGCCCAGCTAGGGGTCGTTTAACAATGCCGTCGTAATGGCCAGTGAGAAGGTAGGCTATGGCTTTGGTCAGTATCACGTCGACATGAAATTGTTGCCGGGCGATAATCTTACCGCTATCATGCTGTAAGGACCATCCATTTGGATTATCATTACCAAGGCCCTTTACAAGAGTACGAATCCAGTGAACAATAGCCCCGAAAGCCTCGAGTGATGGGTGGGTTAGGTGCGGCCGGAGTAGTAAACAGGCTTGACGAGAATCATATTCCACTCCTTGCAAGCTTTCCTGCGGCTGTTTCTTTTCCCATTCCTGATATTTGCTCAGACTAATCTTGAGGTATACGTTAAGAAACATTCAGGTGGCTGACAAAGAAAAAGGAGCGTACTGGAAATCCTGGAATAGCGAGCGGGCGTGAAATACGGGATCGAAGAGACTGGATGAGATCGATAGTGATATCCTCCATACAGTCAATGTTTGCAACATCAGCTTCGATATCTTGAAGAATACCGATGAGAAAGCCATCGGTTGGGAAACGAGCACTGGCCATCATGGGCTGCTTTTATCTGTGTTTCGACCGAGGAAAGGGCGTAGGCCTCGGAAGGTTTTGATGCGTGTAAAGGAAATTCGGTATATATGAAAAGCTGGCTCAAAATAATCAACGAATGAATATCAATGTGTATAAGCAGACTGGAGGGAAGAAGAAGGAGAAAAAGGAGAAACAGTAGGCGTTGTGCTTTGATGGCGTCAGGAAGGAAGGAGGCACTGCCAGTGGTCAACGAGCATACTCCAATAATACTCTCAATGCATTTGTAGTTTACAAGTCCTTTCATGAAAAAAGATAAATACAAAAAAAAAAAAAAAAAAAACGATACTGACCGTTGTCTGGTCCGTTTTATTCCGCTTCTATCATGCTCTCGCTGTCAAGTTTACTGTCGAGAATGTAATCGAACCGACTCTAGTTTCATACTCGTAATAACCCAACTCGTTGATCATGATTGAAGGGGAAAAGAAATAGTAAAATTCTGCAATATTATGGTCTTAGGAATACAAGGCAGAAATACTACGATGTGGCATCTGATAGATTCGTCGCCGGTGGCTGCGGTGAGTATAACTGAAATGAGTCAAACGCCGACGACACATCACTCTGCATACCTTCTTCATTCAGAATATATATTATCCCGCTATAAAATAAATCAAAAGCTAATCTAGCTATAGCTACGAAACACATGGTATTGAGATTCAGTACGAAACATGACTTTACCCGGCATTATTATCGTCTTCATAGGAATAGGTTGCTTGGTTCACGGTATAATCACCCTTTGGTTTGTTATAGGTCGATATATATATTCTACTTGTTGCTAACAAACCCACGTAAAAGGCCTCGCCGTCTCCTGGACCACAGACACCAACGACGAGTCATCCGCCAATGTCACAATCGATCTCTTCCTTCAAGAAACTTTTTACATTATCTTGACATCGGGAGAGGATAAAAACGCCGTGCCCATCACAGATCTTAGTTATACATTCCAATATACCCCAGACAAGTCCTACATCGCCGCGCAGAAGGGGTACATTATCCGTATGTACGACGGTTCTGCGTCTGATTTCAAGAGCGACGAATTTGAAATTTTCAACACTCATGATTATGTCACGTCTGTACCAACCACCGCAATTCCTACATGTACGGGGAGAAACTCAGGCGGAAGACTGAAGTCCTCTTCAACATCGGCACCGTTCAGAAATCTATCGACACCTACTTCTAATACCCCATCTGCTTCCCCAAATGCGGCGAGTGGACTCACCCGTGGGGATATCAGGGCCGATACCATAGCTCTTTTTACTATTACGGCTCCACTTGTTTATACATTGGTTCTACTGTGTGTGCGGGGAGGACATGTCTTTTGAGTCGAATTACGTTATTTCCATTAGTGCATGCAAGTCCTATATTACCATTGCCTCTTGATTGTCGTCCTACTGCCACTAATATCTTTTGGTTAAGTGTCTCAAATGTTTCTGGCCTTGCGGATCCGGGGCTTGTCGGCGAGATCTTCTCACATAATAGCATATCTGCGTGTAGCAAGCGAGCAACGTCAAGGGCCGAATGCTGTAGCAGACCCTAGAGAAATATGTAGATCCTAAAATTAATGCTATAATAGGGCAGTACTAGAGAGAGTTATTAAGATTTTCCTGCACTGCCCAAAGGAGAAAAATCTCGGGGTTGGAGAATCCGCGAGCAGCTCGTATTCGGGGTCTCGGGCATTATCGATCTATACTTCCTCGCATTCTCCGTACTCAAATAAATAAAATCAAGGCGATACCTTGAGCGTCATCACTTCGTCCAGACGTTCCCTCTGAACTCCATCTACATCGACAATGACGGCAACATGTCCTCCACTCATACGGAAGAATTGTCGAGAGATGGCTACTCGCGCCATTCGACCTCAAGCACTGCAGATCCAGCACCCACTGCTGTACAATCAGCAAAGGCAGTAGATACAGCTATTAAGCCTGTTGAAGAGGCGCCCAAGGAACCCAATGCTCTCGGCGAGGCTACCTTCAACGGCTCCTGCGAAAAGCCTGCGATCAAGCAAGATCCGCCTAAGATACCCTCGGCACCGTCTTAATCGTGGTAAGAGCGCTTGCGGGAGTGGGCCCTGCTGGTATCTTTGCAGGAACCGTCAGTGGCCCCAAAAGTGTCAAGCTCCTTGCTGGTGCGCACGTATGATGCTAAATATGTCGTCTACAGATTATAAGCATGGTCTTCCTCATCCCCTTAAGCCACCGCCCCAAGACCCAAGGCCTCTGGAGGTGCTACATCCTTGTTGAACGCATTACCTCCTGATCAATATGCCAAAGCGCTGGGGGGCTATGACTTAGCAGTACGTCAGGCATTTATGATTGGCTTGATCTTGTGTGCTATAACCGTTCCTTGTCTTGCTGCTATGGAGTGGAAGAGTGTTAAATAGCGTGGCAAGTGGGAGGACCAGCCTGCCGTAAAAGGCACTGAGCAGAATGTGCCAAAGAAGTGAAAGCTTTACGATAACGTTCACTCTCACTCTGCTGTACATCAGTGCTGCGTTCACTGCCTGTACCTAGGTATAGTGTCGTTTGCAACCTGCCAGATGTAACTATGCATATAAAATTGAGAATGTTGTTGACATATTTCATATAGACTGTATTATTCACAGCCACATATCGTTTCTCTAGCTATCTGGATACAAATTCCATACCAGCAGTTTGCCAGTTATCTAGCTTTTCCATCAAGGAGACGGCATGTAGGCTCTATGTAAACTTAGTTAGGCTTGCTTTTATCTAGATCTGTTAGACTCCTATGCTATACATTTTACGTTGAATCGTTGCTCCATTAAAGAACCAAAGAATAATCGATATCTTGATGTATAACTACTACAAAACTGCTATATTGACTATATTGACTACATTGAAGTTCGAATTCCTTTTATGTATTATTAGCAATGGGCGTTAATTTGTCTAAATTTCACTAGATCATGAGAATTCGGTATTAAACCCTAAGAATAGGATGTAATATTATGAGGCAATTTGCTATAAAAAATTCTGATACAAATAACAAATAACTTTTTGCTTTCAATAAAGAATTAGCGCAGCAAAACCAACATAGTCTCAGGGATGGCACTTCAAACAAAGCCCTAAGAAACAGTGCAGGCGGTCTTGAGACTGGGGGTGAGAAGCCATATAAAGAAGTCTTTCTGTGCAATTTTTTCCTCGTGACTTGTTCCGGCTGTTATCTTTGTGTCTGGCACTGAGAACGAAAATACGACATTGTTCATTTCTCCTGTCAGAGTCTACCGAGTCGTATCTGTGACATTTCTTTCTCCCTTTGTGACTTGCGTCAAATGGAACATACTCCCACTTGCTATAAGATTCACCGTCCAAATACTTCATCGCGTACGGTCACAGTCGCTGCTGGTCTCTCAAATCGTCTGTACATCATCATGCTAAGGAATAACTAATGACTTTCATACGACTCAACGCAACAAGCTTGCCGGAATTCAATCAGTTCTCTTTAGATATTATTGAGGATCTTTTGCGGCTCATATTTATCTGATTTGCATAGCATAAAGCCGGCAGGGTCTTTGAGAGCTTACAATGGCTTCAAAGTCATCTTCCACAAAGATTCTGTATTGCTGAAACCTTCCAGACATCTAAATGCTAGATGTTTGTATCAGATGAAGGTGACAGGCAGGTATCAATCATGGGGTTGGGTATAAGAAAGATGCAAGCCCCCTGCTTTTCTTTTCCTTTTCGGTTCTCCTGCTCCCATACTTAGTATATTCAATATTGTCAATCACTACTTTCAACATTGAAACAAGTTTTTGACAAGTTTACTCAAGATGTCGGCCCATCACGGGGATTACATCTGGGCACAGTCAATCGGCAATGCCACACAAACAGATGTGCGTTACTGGTACGTGACTTCGGTCAACAACGAACAGCTGAGGACTCCAAACAACACGCAAATCAAAGTCCAGAGAGTCGGGTCAACGATTTTCGGCCTCGGGCAATACGATAAAGATCTCAAAGCTCGACCTATGAACAAATCGATGAACAAGATACGGTATGAAGTTGTTAGAGAGGTCGACGGAAAATCCACTTCCACTCCCGTGAAAGGAGAAATGGACGTTATATTCGAGAACAACAAGGCTCATGTGAAACTTGAACTCAATCCAGCCGGCGAATACACAGTGACATTAGGTCGAAGCAAAATGGTGATACTGGTGGGCGAAGACATCCGAAAGCCCGATCCGGCCGTCACGACAACCTCTAAGAAGAACAAGAACGCGGGAACTGGGGTGCCCAGGGCTTAGGAGATGGACAGCCATACCTCATCACACTCGATTTTCCTTGACATTTGTCGTACTTACCCCTAGCAACTGGTGGCTGAATGGGACTTACTCACAGTATCAAGCCTATACTAGCCGGTTAGCATGTTGGTAGTTAGTTTGACTTCGGCCTGAATACACATATCCTTTCTCTCACTAAGTCTGTGCTTTAAGATTAGGTATACGACATAAAGAAGTTGGCGTAAAGTAAAAAGCGAGAGCGTTGATGACTGAGCAAGTCCAAGGGAATTTGATTGGTCAATGAATCGATAAGCGATAACAGCATCGATGATGGGCGCTAGACCCAAACGGGTCCCTCGCCAAGATTTTCGCTTAGGTCAGCCCACAATCGGCTGCAAAACACCCGCGGATAATAAGATTTCGAGAGACTTCGTTACTTCAACACCTCGACGACTACTAACGACAACAGGGTCAAGATGTGAGTGTGCCGCCATCAATGCATGGGTTTTTTGCATATTGCGAACTGTTTCACTGACGATTGTTTGTCTTTTCAGGAGTCACCGCAAGTACGAAGCGCCCAGGCACGGTTCGTCTCACCCAACTCCTCGTCCCCGACTCGGATACAGATTTTTGTCGATGATGTGCGATGGACTGACAAAATAACCTACAGGCTCCCTAGCCTACTTGCCACGCAAGCGTGCCGCCCGTCACCGTGGAAAGGTCAAGAGGTGAGTGAAACAATTGAAACAATAAAATCTTTTTTGGAAGTTGGAACACGCCGCTAAGATGTGTTGCGACAGCTTCCCCAAGGATGACCCCAAGAAGCCCGTCCACTTGACCGCCTCCATGGGCTACAAGGCTGGTATGACCACCATTGTCCGTGATCTCGACCGTCCTGGTGCCAAGATGCACAAGAAGGAGGTTGTTGAGGCTGTCACCGTCATTGAGACTCCTCCTGTAAGTTGAAAAAAATCTCTATTCTGGTGGGGTTTGGGCAGTTACTGATTTGAAACTTTTTTTCTTTCTTGCTACAGCTCGTTGCCGTTGGTGTTGTCGGATACATTGAGACTCCCCGTGGTCTTCGCTCGCTCACTACTGTCTGGGCTGAGCACTTGAGCGACGAGCTCAAGCGTCGGTTCTACAAGAACTGGTACAAGAGCAAGAAGAAGGCTTTCACTCGCTACACCAAGAAGCACACCGAGAGCAGTGCCGCCTCCGTTACCCGTGAGCTCGAGCGCATTAAGAAATACTGCACTGTTGTCCGCCTGCTCGCCCACACTCAGATCCGCCAGACTCCTCTCAAGCAGAAGAAGGCCCACTTGATGGAGATCCAGGTCAACGGTGGCTCTATCCCCGACAAGGTCGACTTCGCCCACGGTCTGTTCGAGAAGACCATCGACATCGACACCATCTTCGAGCAGAACGAGGTTATTGATGTCATTGCCGTCACCAAGGGTCACGGTTTCAACGGTGTCACTTCCCGTTGGGGCACCAAGAAGCTTCCTCGCAAGACACACAAGGGTCTCCGTAAGGTTGCTTGTATCGGTGCCTGGCACCCTAACCACGTCCAGTGGACTGTTGCCCGTGCCGGTCAGATGGGTTACCACCACCGTACCTCGGTTAACCACAAGATCTACCGTATCGGCAAGGGAAGCGACGAGGGCAATGCCTCGACTGAATTCGATGTTTCCAAGAAGACTATTACCCCGTATGTCTACTTCCCTCCATTCTGATTGCTAGGACGACGTGCTAACATTTTTTGCTTTTACAACAGTCTTGGTGGCTTCGTCCGCTACGGTGAGGTTAAGAACGACTTCGTTATCGTTAAGGGCTCCATTCCTGGTGTTAAGAAGCGTGTCATGACTCTGCGCAAGACCCTCTACCCACAGATCAGCCGAAAGGCCAACGAGAAGATCGAGCTTAAATGGATCGATACCTCGTCCGAGTTCGGTCACGGTGCTTACCAGACCCCTGCTGAGAAGCGTGCTTTCGTTGGTACCCTCAAGAAGGACCTCGTTACCACTGTCTAAAAAAAATATTTTATTTTCTTCTGTCTTGTGGTTCTGGGCTGGTGTAGCGCGATGCATGAATTTTCTATGTCTAAAATGAATACCTTATTTTTCTTCACAAATCAAAAATTAGGGTACATGCGTTCTCGTTAATAGTAGAGGACATTTTTAATATTCACATTTTGACGTATCATAGACTGTTAGTTCGTAAGTCTAAATAGTAAAATAAAGCAGCAAATCAAATCCTTCCAGGCAGCCTTTCGTGGCCATTCATTGCGTCACTCCTCCCGCTCCCAGACTTTCTCCCCGCAGAAGCAAACCAGCACAATCAATGTCACATCTTGCAAAGACATCCAGAAGGCCTTTTGTTTCCTTGAGTCTGTCACGAAATTCGAAATCGCTTACACGACAACCGCTCGCATTCCCACAGCCCACGAGCTGGTTCCTCTCACCATCACCACCCTACCTGACCTCCCGTATACCCAGTGCGCTACGAACAATGGCTTCGGATTCGGACTATATGGCCTTTCTGGATAAGGCTAATCGGCAGCGTGATGCTGGAAGTAGTCAGGTCGATACACAATCAGTTTCTCAGCAACTACGTACGGAGACGGTTGAAACTGGCGTCACAGTGCCCCGAGTGTTGAAGACCGTCAACGCGTTCTACATCTCAGAAACAGACGAACCTTTTGAGCCTGTGGCGCTTAGCTGGCCTGGCGCATCAAAAGGGAAGTGGCCAGGAAATGGTATGTGTCTTTGCTTTTGGCTCTCGTGTGTGTGCCGTTCGTTCAATGCTGATTGATGATGATGTGTGTCCAGATGAATTCGCATCTCTTATAACCGGCTCCAAATCTACCGCGTCGAATATTTCCAGCTCTATTGAGACATACTCCGAGACATCGTTCGATCCTCAAAATCAATATAGTAGCGTGATCAAGGCAGTGCGTGCTGCGGCTGCGGCGTCAGACCCCAATGGCGATGAGAGCAGCGTCGACGTCAAGATTTACAGAGTTGAGGTTGGTCATTCCCGGGCAGAGTACTGGATTGTTGCACTGGACGCAGCTGAGGGGAAGATTGTTGGATTGAGAGCTAAAGCTATTGAGTCGTGATGTTGGATTAATTGATATAGCTAGCTACTTGGCTTTGGAAATGGAATCTTTATAAAATTCTTTTTTGCTGATTCAATGCCAAACTTCCAAGGTTGTAATTCCTAGCGCACTCGACATCAGCTATATATCACCTGGTGCAACATCAGATACTTGGGTACCTAAGTTATATCTATCTATCTATATATATATATCCATCCCTTAGGCCCACGGGTACGTCCTACGTACCTAGGTAGTTCTCCACAAACCAATGAAGTATGTAACTGTCTAACTAGATACTTAATTACTTCGTCTATATATTATGATATTCAACTACCCAGTATATTCAATGACTACCCTGGCCGCAAACCGAGAAACGTGTGTCTAATTGAGATGATAAGCCAGGCCGAGACCGGCGGCGAGACGTTGAGTCACCGCCCAAGGAAAATTTCCCCACCCAAAAAGGCATTGAAGCGCTGCGTTCTTTCACTTGACCGACATTTCTCAGTCTTCTCCAACAGTGAAAAATTTTGTACCGCGACCTCTTCTGTTTATTCTTTCCATTTCAATTGTCTCTACCCAACCTATATTTCACAATGGCTAAGCCTAAGGTCTGTTTGGCTTACTCTGGAGGACTCGACACCAGTGAGTACTTGCCGATGCGCCGGGAGAATGAAGAAGAAAAAGTCCTCGTCTTAACACTCCTCGCTGCCAGGTGTCATCCTCAAATGGCTCATTGAGCAGGGATACGACGTCGTTGCTTTCATGGTATGTCTCTTTCTGCGCGCGGCCAGTGGGCCCTTCTCACGTTTCCATCTCTTTCTTCGTCTATTGAATTTCAACCCACTCCATGTCTGTGCTTTTCTGCAATCTGTCTTGCGCAAACCAGCTGATTAAATGATGCTCTCAAGGCCGACGTCGGACAAAACGAAGACTTCGGTGCTGCTGAAAAGAAGGCCCTCGCCATCGGCGCCGTCAAGTTTGTTGTCGAGGATCTCAAGCGCGAATTCGTCGAAGAACTATGCTTCCGAGCTATCCAATGCAATGCCATTTTCGAAGACCAATACCTGCTCGGAACATCATTGGCTCGTCCGGTCATTGCCCGTGCTCAGTACGTACAGCAATCTTGCAGTTATTTATTGATTGAGTTTACTGACCATTGATCGCAGGATGCGCGTGGCTCAGCAGAACGAATGTATTGCCGTGTCGCATGGCTGCACCGGCAAGGGAAATGACCAGGTCCGATTCGAGTTGGCGTTCTATGCTATCCAGGTGAGAGAATTTGCTTCATCAACAGAAAATCTGGAAATTGTGACAAGCTAACGGGGGACAACAATAGCCAACCATCAAAGTCATTGCTCCATGGCGACTGCCAGAATTTTTCGAGCGTTTCGCTGGCCGAAATGACTTGCTTGATTACTCTGCCAAAGTCGGTATTCCTGTGACATCCACCAAGGCCAAGCCCTGGAGTATGGACGAGAACCTGGCACACTGCTCATACGAAGCCGGTATTCTGGTAAGATCGACCAACCCTAGAAAAATTAAGATGCAAAGAAGAGAAAAATAGAAGCATAAGCAAGCTCACAATATTACATATAGGAAGATCCGAACATCACTCCCCCAGCTGACATGTGGAAATTGACCGATTCTCCTCTCGACGCTCCTAACACTCCCGAGGAATTCACCCTCTCTTTCGAGAAGGGTATCCCATCCAAACTCGTCACTTCCTCCGGCCAGACCGTCACTGGATCTCTGGATATCTTCACAACATTGAACGCTGTCGGCCGCAAGCACGGTATTGGCCGGGTGGACATTGTCGAGAACCGCTTCATCGGCATCAAATCGCGAGGCTGCTACGACTCGCCTGCGATGACCATCCTCCGTGCCGCACACGTTGACCTGGAAGGATTGGTGTTGGACCGTGAAGTCCGCTCCCTGCGTGACCAGTTCGTGACCTTTACCTGGTCCAAGCTCCTGTACAACGGACTCTACTTCTCTCCCGAGCGTGAGTTCATTGAGAAGAGCGTGGTTGCTAGTCAGGACACAGTCAACGGAACCGTCCGCCTTTGCGCCTACAAGGGCGCAGTCTCTGTCCTTGGTCGCTTCAGTGAGACTGAGAAGCTATACAGCGCCGAGGAGAGCAGCATGGACACCTTGACCGATTTCAGCCCCGTCGACACCACTGGTTTCATCGGCATTTCCAAGATCCGTCTCGCCAAGTACGGTCAGGCCAAAGCCGATGCTGGCGAGAGCTTGAGCCGGGCATAGATTATTTTTTCGTGTCCTGTCTGACTATTATCATTTTCTTTTCTTCTTATAATATGGACCCGGAGTTTAGATGTACTTCGTATGTGTGACAATAGGAGGAACGTGTACATGCGTTTGGACTCGGTAATGATGATTAAAATGGATTAAATGAAACGTTTAATCATGGAATTTTCCTTGCTCATACAAATGAGCGCCAGTAACCTCCGTACAAATTTTTGATTATTCGTTTCAGCAATGTAACTAACTACCTACGCATTGGCATGTGTATATAATATTTTGAAGGTCCGAAGTACTTCCAAGTAAAAACAGTAAAGCAGCGAAAACCGGAGGTCACTACAATTAGCCGGCCGAGCGTCGCTCGGACTTCCAGCCACATACTGTTGTTGTCTTGGGGTATGTATAAAGAGGCCAGCATTGAGGGAAGCTTGCAATTGAAGACAACAAAAATAACTAAAGAGATCAAATGAAGCTTTTATCATCGAGTCTTGTCATCTGCCGCCAAGTCACTGGGCGCGCTGTCAACTTCGAGCGCCTCCCCGCCTTTCGGCAAGCTTCCCGAACATCATCAACACACTGTACCTCGAGACGAATGGCATCCACCACCGCTCCGCCTGACAGTGGCACTAAAGACTGGAATGCAGCGCAGTACCTGAAATTCGAGGAAGAGCGTACGCGGCCTGTGCGAGACCTCCTTGCTCAGATCCCGGTCCACTCTCCCCGACGCGTGGTCGATTTGGGATGTGGCCCCGGAAACTCCACGAGCGTGCTATTAGCACGATGGCCCAATGCCCATATCACCGGCATGGACTCGTCGCCGGACATGATCAGAACGGCTCGTCAGACCCTGCCACAGCTGGACTTTGAGCTGGCCGATTTGGCTACCTGGACTCCGTCATATCTGTCCTCGTCATCCCCCGTGGAGGAGGATGGGCAGGTTGACGTGTTCTTCTCCAATGCCGTTTTCCAGTGGATACCTCATGAGCAAAGACTGCCACTTATGACCCGGTTCATCGAAATGCAGGCATCGGGTGGTATTTTCGCCATCCAGATACCGGACAATTTCCTCGAGCCATCGCACGTGCTGATGCGGGAAACGGCGGGTGATGGAGGCCCATGGACGTCGATTCTGAAAGATCGTCAGCCAGCTCGTGCACAATTCCAGTCTGTGCAGGAAATCTATGATCATCTGATTCCTCTCTGCCAGAGTGTGAATATCTGGCATACGCATTACTATCACGTCCTGGACAGCCATGAAGCGGTCGTTGAATGGGTCAAGGGCACCGGGTTGAGGCCGTTCATTGATCCGTTATCGGAAGATGATAGGGCAGGGTTTATTGCGCGGTATCTGGAAAGGCTGAAACGGGTATATCCGGTCTCTGTGGATGGCAAAGTGATACTGAGGTATCCGAGATTATTCGTTGTTGCGACTAGAAAGTGACATTTCCGTACCGTCGCCATATTAATTGGTTGCTGCTGCTGCTAGTAGTTGCTTTAGCACATGAAACTGCGACATATATGATAGTAATACTATATACTACCACGCTAACTATATCATTATGTGCTAATCTAATACGGAGAGGCACGAACGAATAAGTGTTGCTGGGTGGACAGACGTCCAGTATCTAAAGAGACTAGTTCACAGATAGATAAGCCTTCCACTCCTCCATACGGAGTACTCTGTACCGAACTGAATACTTGCGATAGTACTTATATAGTACTACATACTATATACGTGGTAGCTTTGTCGGATGAGGGTCTAACGCACGTACTATCGTTTTAGAACCTTCCTAGCCTCTCTATTTAGGTGACAGTTATGTATGGAGATGGAGCCCGGAGAATGGGCTATGCTCATTATGCTGTCGGTCAAACAGTACTATAATTTGACAACGGTTATGGCGTAGTATTCTGTCCTCAGCACATAATCATTAATATTGGATTCAGTCACTTCGTGCATATTTGGAAGTTTAGTGCTTAGATAATTATACGTTACATGCAACACACAGTCTCCCCAGAGTCCCCGCTGGCTGTCTCGTACGTACTTCTAAGTTCTCACAGATGGCGATGAGCACTGCGTAGATCAGCCAGATCTACTGAGGCTTGCCCGATCGGGCAATTGAGACAGAAGTTGGCAACCCCGGCCGTGTGATTGACTCCTCACCAGTGCGCTGCTCTCAGTAAGAGGTATCGTGTTCCTATCATACTGCACAGAAAAAAAAAAGATTCGCCAAATTACTTGACCGCGCTAGGAACAATTCGGACACAAGTGCTATATTTAATTCTTACGAAATTATCCAAATATCTTATCTGCCTGAGATCTAAGGGGCGGGCTAGATCTAGCTGCTTCTGATTGGTCGGCTGTCTCTCCCCTTGGAAAAAGGTTGCACCAATCAACGGGACGGCATCTGCAGAGGGCAAACGGCTGCTCACAGCCTCTTAGCCAATCGGGACGGTGGAAACGCCCAGCTAAACATTTAGCGGCCATCCTTCAATTTGAAGCCTAAGGCAAGACTACTCGGTCTCTCGAGTTTAAAATATTGAATGTGAGTACGTGGTGTCGAATCGTTGATTTGTAAGTATGGAGCAGTTGGGAATTAGTGCTGCGTATAATCTATTGGGCGTGCTGATAAGTTCAGCGGACGCAAGGAGAGGGGAAGCGATAACCTTACTACACTGTACAGTGCACACCGTCTCAGCTTGATGTGTATGGGTTCTCAACAGCATTGCACATCATGACAGATGAACTAATAACTACATATGTACTATGTGGTTATATAATATATAGCGTGCAGTGTGTAGTATTGTACAGCACTGCACGGCCATGCACAAAAGCCACAAGCACTGCATAACGATGAGCTGGACAAAAATTATGCGATCGGGTGCACATATTCAGACTTTCCGAGTTCAGGTGTTGATCGGCCCGAAAAGAGACCAATGACATTCCTCTGCGAGTAAGCGGTGTCTGGCCGAAATCGTCTAAGCAAAGCCGAAGAAATCTACTGCAATTCCGACTGATGTCATCCCGGCTCCGCAGCGGGGGCATATGCAGCCACACATCGTCGCTGTCCACTTGGTCCCTCTCCTAACGCGGCTGTGCGGGGGTAGGCCCACTGCTACGCCTGCTGTGTTTCGCTGACCTGGAGGACGGCCCCGCCTGGCTGAAGTATAATGCTGTGTTCGTCTATCGCTAAATCAGAATGCATCTCCCGTAGAACTAGGGTAGAGTACTACTGTGTATAGAATTTTTAGGTGATTGTCCTCGCGGGGGAAAACAAAAGAAATTCGGAAAGAGATGTTGGAGAATGTGGCGGCGCTTAGATATATATAGGGCGCACATGCACCCTCAGTCCATTCCTTTTTCCACTTGCATTCTCCATTATTTACGCACAACTTCATATTTCGACCTTCACTCCTCCCATGTTTGTCCTCGCTTATCCCTATTACCATCAGAGGTAGAGGACATCGAGTTTTTACACGGGAGTCTCCAATCACCGCACCAAATCCAGCAGCCATGGCTCCCACATATGCTGGTTTGTCGGGCAAACGCCTGTCCATGGCCATCAGCGCTGTCAGCACCTTGGGTTTCCTGCTCTTCGGTTATGACCAGGGTCTCATGTCTGGTATTATTAGCAACACTCATTTTGAAGATGTATTTACCGCTACCAGAAACAACGCGACTATGCAGGCTCTGGTTACGTCTGTTTACGAACTGGGTTGTTTTGCCGGTGCAATCTTCACCTTGATATATGGTGACACCCTTGGTCGTCGCCTCATTATTATTATTGGTGCCTCTATCATGATTATCGGCGTCATCATCCAGGTCACTTCGTTTCCCGGCCACATCCCACTGCTGCAGTTTTTCGTCGGTCGAGTCGTGACTGGAATCGGTAATGGCATGAACACCTCCACTATCCCTACATACCAGGCTGAATGTTCCCACACAACCAACCGTGGTCTGCTAATTTGCATTGAAGGGGGTACCATTGCCATTGGTACGGCGATCGCCTATTGGATCGACTTCGGTTGCCATTTTGGTCCTCCTGACCTTGTGTGGCGATTCCCCATTGCTTTCCAGGTTGTCTTCGGTATCATGATTATTGTTGGAATGTGGCATTTGCCTGACTCCCCTCGTTACTTGATTACCCGCGGCAAGGTAGATGAAGGCGAGTACGTGCTGGCCGCGCTTTCTGGTAAGGAAGTCGATGACCACGAAACTATAATCCAGAAACAGTTGGTCCTTGACTCTATCCGTGCCTCGGGCGCTATGGATAATGTTAAATACAAAGATCTGCTCACTGGTGGTCCTTCGCAACACTTGCGTCGTATGCTGATTGGTGCTTCGTCTCAAATCATTCAACAACTCGGTGGTTGCAATGCTGTCATTTACTACTTGCCCGTCCTTTTGCAGAACTCACTTGGAGAGTCCCAAGAAAAAGCACTCCTTATTGGTGGTATTAATATGATTTGCTATGCCGTCTTTGCCACTTTTTCGTGGTTCTTTATCGAAAAGATCGGTCGTCGCAAGTTATTCTTGGGTGGTACCATGGGCCAGTGTGTTGCCATGGTGATTACTTTCGCCTGTTTGATTCCCAAAAAGAAAAACGTATATGACGGGGCCGTCTTCGGTCTTTTTCTATACATGTGCTTCTTTGGTGCTACCATGCTCCCACTTCCTTGGTTATACCCTGCAGAGATCTCTCCCATCAAGACTCGTGCTAAGGCCAACGCTGTGTCTACCTGCAGTAACTGGATTTTCAACTTCGCTGTTGTCATGATCACCCCCGTTATGGTCGCCCATATTGGATGGGGCACTTACTGCTTCTTCGCCGCCATGAATCTCCTCTTCATTCCTCTCATCTGGTTTTTCTACCCAGAGACAGCCGGTCGCAGTCTTGAGGAAATCGATCTGATTTTCGCCAAGGGTTTCATTGAGGATATGAGCTACGTTAAGGCCTCTCACGTCATGCCCAAGCTCAATGATGATGAGGTTGATGCTCAAGCGGCCGAATACGGTCTCAACAGAAGCTCGGATGACGAGGGTTCTCAAGAACAGGAGAAGCATATTGAGAGGAGACAATCTAACTCACCGCAGTGAAACCGCTTTTGAATACTTTTTTCCACTTTTCCTTTTCATGGATAACAAAATTATCCTTTATGATGACTGTTTTTGCTCGCTTTTATGAAACGAACGCATATTTGATACCATGAATTGCATATAGATGGCTTTTTGTTAGTGTTGATTGGCATGGAATAATCCTGCCGTTGTTTCTATCGGATTTCGATGCATCGATTCATTAAATATTTCAATGAGAAAAGTGCAATATGTGATTTTCCTCGTGTATACCCCTTTTTGTGATACCTGGATGATACCGATGATTTTCCTGGGTAGGGTTATGACTATGTGAATGAAATGGGCGGCTGCCTTTGCTTATTCCTCACAACTTCATACCGCTTTTGCTATAGCTCCTATGATGAGCTGCAACTGATTTAATTTTCCCTCACCAGTTTATAAGCAATTTGGCGTAAGACAAGACAAGGAGCGAATCATCTCGGAATTGACCAGGCCCTCGAGTTTCTGACGGTCCATGAAAAGAACTTGAAAAAGTCCCATTTGGTGCAACCTATTCGCTTTTCAGGAGAAAGATCAGAAAAGAATGGAAATGCACACGTCGAATGATTATTCGGTTGTGGCGGGCTTTGGCTCGTAAACGCGGCTGCGGGTGCGGGTGCGGCCATCTGGATGTCTTGCTTATTTATTCCTGACTTCATTTTCCAGCCTCACTTCTGAATTGTCCAATCTGTGCTCCCACCGGACCCCCATGCGCATTTGGCAACCGTGAAAATGCATCGAACCGGATTTGTTGGTCATTCCTTCTGCCGTTCAAGACGAGCATGGAATGCACGGAGACCCGTGATGCTCACGTAATCGTGTTGTTGTGACAAATCTATAACGCAGAATACTCGATGGCAGTGATTGATTGTTACACGGGATGGAATACTTAGGTAGCAGACACGTAAATATAAATAGCCCTAGCCTTCGCCCTCTCTGCTTTTGACCAAGGCACATTCGGTCCCTTGACTTGAATGCCCCCACAAACTCGCACCCTCATCATAATTATGGCTTCAGAAACTCCGCTGATTCCTCCAAACACTGGATCAACAGTGGAGGTGTCTATAATACACGGTGGTCGAACCTCGGCGCCAACTGCGTGGATGGTCAAAAGCCCTGTTCCCGGGCATGAGTTGATGCACATTCCTTGCTACAGTTTCTTGATTGAGCACAAAACACAAGGGAAAAAGATCCTTTATGACCTTGGTTTCATGAAAGCCTGGAAAGAAAAAACCCCACCGGCGAGTAAGTGCAGATTTTCGATGTTGAGCGTGGTTAAGGCCATCTAATTAAACTATTGCAAAGTCCTGAACCAGATTGAGTCTACACCGGAGGTAATTGTTGACATTTCAAAGGATGTGGCCGATCAGCTCCACGATGGGGGCATTGCTCTTGAATCCATTAATGCCATTATCTGGTCTCACCACCATGTCGACCATACTGGAGACCCTTCGCTATTCCCCCGGTCTACCTCGCTGATTGTTGGTCCTGGGTTCAAAAGTAACAAGGCCACCTACCCCGGTTACCCCAAAAACCAGAATGCCTTAGTTGCAGATGATGCGTTCCACGGCCGTGAGCTGATCGAACTCGACTTTTCTACCGCTAGTAGTATTGGCAGATTCCCAGCCATTGACTACTTCAATGACGGCAGCTTTTACATATTGCAATCTTTGGGACACAGTAAGTGACATCCTAATTAGTGTCTGCCAGCACCATTATCTTACATGCTGAGTTTCCATGCTAGCCCACGATCATCTCAGTGCTCTAGCGCGCACCTCCGAGAATAAGTTTATCTTTCTCGGCGGCGATGTCGCCCATCACCCTGGTGAATTCCGACCAACGACCTCCCTTCCTCTCCCTGCTCAGCTTGATCCGTCAGTACTTGGCAAACCGCAGACGGCGTCCCTGTGCCCTGGGTCTATTTTCGAGGATATCCATCCCGGCAGGGAAAATGGTAGGGACTACAGAACTACCCCTTTCTACGAACTTAATGCAATGGGGAACGCATCTCTACCAGATGCAGAAGCTTCTATTGCCAAGATGCAGAATTTTGATGGATCTCTCGAGGTCTTTGTCGTCATCGCTCATGACGCCAGCCTGCTGGATATTCTGCCTTTTTTTCCAGAGAAGATAAGCAATTGGGACTCGCATGGTTACAAGGATAGGGGTACGTGGACTTTTTTGAAGGATTTCGTGCAATGAATCGTTCGTTATATGGGCTTTTTATACCTAGGTATCTAGAACAGCCTGCTTTAAGCAATTTATCCAAGGTTATCTTATATAATCAAGAACCACAGCGTAACTAAATACAACGCTAACTAAATAAAGTAAAATCAAGCATTCAATCATCCAGTCTAGTACGGAACTTGACTGTATGTATCCTCAACAATCTCCTTCTCCCTTTCGAGAAACTCCGAAAATGAATTCAAAGGTATTTTCCACGCATTCAGTTTCTCCATATCCGCAAATTGAACCATATCACGTAAAACCTTTTGCCATGAAGCCGGCGAATTATTCGCTGCCTCCACTTCAAACTCCTCGTCCGATAAAAAGTATGCCGTTATCTTCTTACCCGTTGCCTTGCTCAATCCACTCATGATCTCATCTACTGTGAGAAGCTCCGATGCTATGTGAATAGCTTGTGTATGAAATCGCGCCGGATCCAATAAAGCCGCAGCACCGAACTTGCCAATATCGTCGTGATCAACCATTGGGATGATGTTTTCCTTTTGAAATGACGTGCGAAAAATGCCGCTCATTTCCAGACCACGGTACGCCAATAGGATTTTCGGTTTAAGAAAGTTAGCCATGAAGTTACCAGGCCGCAGGATGGTCCAGTATTCAAATCCGCCGTTGCGGACGAGTTCTTCGATGATTTGCTTGGGTCGAAGGATCATGGCAATTGCGCCGTTGGGGTCCCAAGCTGCGAGTCTTTCGGGATGGTCGGTAGAAAAAGAGGTTGAGCATACGACATGTATGATAGTGCCGGTATCTTTGGCGGCTGCTAGTATGTGTTTGCAGTAGTCGACTGCTGTGAGTGGGCTTGGGGGCACGTTGAGAAATATGCCTGTACAGCCCTTCATGCCGGATCGGAGGACTTCTTCGTTGTCGAGTTCTCCGGTAAACAGTTTGACGCCTAGGGAACTTAGGTCTACGGCGGTAGAAGAGTTAGGGTTGCGTGTGATTGCATGCACGGTGCAGCCTTTGCTGAGGAGATGGCGAGTGACTGCATTGCCTTGGGGGCCTGTGGCGCCGGTTATGAAGAAGGTAGGTCCGGGCATCTTTTGCAATTTTGAATGTATGATTGAGTGGAGAGGTATATATTGAGAAAAGATCACTCTGAGGAAGGCTTTTGACAATGTCAATGACAACTATGATTGTGAGGAGATAACCAGGAAAATCGTCTCTCTTTATAGCTGAGCTTCTGCACTACTTTCATGGAACGAATTTTTCTCACAAGACCTATAAAGAACTTCATAGAAGCTAATTAAATTATTTTCATGTTATTGATTGGTTCAGCCCTAACGTACTGCCTCTAGCAGGGTGGAATTCCTCCATTGCCATGAGTCACTATCATTTCAACCAGATGAAAATGTTACTAGCCGGCCTAGAGGACCTCTTTATATCCAATCATGGTGTACCACCTGCAGATATCTCGGGCTATACCTCGAAGCAGGCTCGTTTGATATGAGATTGTCTGTATAGTAACGATTTAGCTCTGGAACATTGGCGGAATTCCGCCGCCCCACATCGACTAGTTTTGCACGCTAAATTCCACCGTCTCTGAGTCTCTATTCAGTCTCGCAGAAGCATCAAAACAATTCTACCAAGTCTAGGGGAGTATTAACTGATTAAAATTTGTGCTGACTAAGAACCAACACCGTGTGCAAGCGAGCTCTTTAACTAGGTATTGGCGCTACCACCAATCCGAGCCGGAGAATAGATGTCGGTGGTACAGGCTCCTGTCGCATACAAAGAAAGAAATGGCTCCATCCCACGGCGCAAGGCATGCACGGCGTGTGCTAAAGCTAGAAGACGGTGCGACCTCTTCCTGCCGACTTGCTCGCGATGCAGCCAGCGGGGACTGAATTGCGAGTATCCTTTGCTAGCGGCTGCAAACTTGCCTGTCAACCAGCTAGTAACGTTGCATCTGCCACCGTCTTTTCTGAAACCATATGAGTATGAAGTCGGCGAAAAATTACTATCTACTCCAGTAAGACTTGCGCCGTGGTCCTCGGCAGCCATGGCTCGAATGCAGGTCACTCTGGATGTGTTTCAAAACGCGCATAGGACAATGGTGCTGGACAATGAGACGCCGTGGAGCCATCCATTACTGTATCGGAACTTCATGCCGCGATCCATGCAAGGTGCGTGCTCCAATTTACCGCTTCTTTTGACTGATACGGAAGGCAAGGCGCTATTCTTGCAATGTATAGTAACCGTCAATACTTACCCAGATGCCTATGCATGTTGCTCTTTGTACATGAACAGGAACGCAACGAATTTTAAAAACATACTATCAATAATCGAAAACCGTGTAGCCGACCTTCTAGCATCGGAACAGCCAACCAGTGCTATAGAGTGTCTAGCACGCTTACAGGCGCTGATAATTTACCAAACAATAAGACTCTTTGATGACGACACATCGGCTCGCTTGGCCGCCGCCATGACCATGCCGGCCCTGCGCTCTTCGTTGACTTATTTCCTACAAAATGTGTATGTGGATGACACTTTAGCGTTCGGAAATCCCCCCATCAGTTCTCTTCTCGAGGAACCGTCATCTTCGTCAGCTGCCGATCACGGCCTCAGCAGGGACTTTTGGCAGACCTGGATCTTTGAAGAATCAGCGCGTCGCACAATATTCCTAGCATACCTCTTGATTCGCATCTGGGAAGTCATGTACATTTTCAGCAACAACAACGACAAAGCCGAGCAGGAGAAAAAACAGCAAATGAGGAAAAATCATAAGTGTGACGGTCGACTAGGCTCGTCGCATTGCTGGTACTTGTCATCACACTTATGGCAAGCTCGGACCCGATATGAATTTGCATTGGCGTACGCGGAGAAGAATCGATTCCTGATCCGAGACTTGGATTTTACGGAATTTTTGGCGTTTGGTTATCCAGATGATGTTGACATGTTTGGGAAAATGGTCTTGTCGGCTTCGATGGGGATAGAAGCCTTTCAGAATTGGTGTTCGGCTAGAGGGGGAATGTGAGCGGACTGTGTATTTGATGTGTGTTCAAACAAGGCTGCTTTCTTTTATAAGATTTTGTTTTACTAGTGATTCAGTTTTTGCATGGATGTACTAGTTTATTCCGAGATTGAAGCCCGGCTCGATTATTGCGCAATTCAGAAGGAATGTCCCAATTCAGTAATTGTCCCTGAATGCTCTCTTGGGCCCCATTTCCCTCATATACTTCTGGAAATGGGGAAGAACTCTATGTTAAAGGGAATATCAATCATTTCTTCCAACTTACTGATATGGGTTCGTTCTCCGCTGAAAGTAAGGAATAATGACATTTCCGTTGTTCCACATGAAATAACCAAACGGTTTGCCCTCAAAAGACGTTGCGTACATAGGGGCTTTCTTCTTAGAGGCGTGGAGGATTATCGCGTAAATGACCGACTACCCCAGACATCCCAAAAATCGACCCTTGTTTCGACAAATATCAAGACAAGGGAACACATAATTGAAATACTTAGTAGTTCTGTAAGATAACTAGCAGATTAGGCAAAAGCCAAAGAAAATACTTGTTCTCACTTAGATATTGTCTCTTTTAGTCAAGGCCATAATTAAAATATCGTAAAAGCAATAAGGTCACAGTTATTATTGGTTTCTTTTAACCAACTTTGCATGCATGATAATGGAATTCTTCGTCAATACTTGCGGTTCAAAATAGCTGACTCATACATCACTCCCCATGAAAACAAACGATCATCAAGCAAAGTGGATATCAATCTTCCAATGCCATGCCGCCTAGACAGCCATGCCCTCGTCCAATTCATGCAGAATTCTGCAGATGCGCTGTCGATTTATCAAGCCCAGTGATTCCTCACACATGCGTTCAGCACGCAGACATAGATATTGCCAATCCAAAGGAGTGGCTTTTTCATTGATGGAATTAAGTTCCCAGATGATATCACGCGGAGCTCGCCGTCGCCAGTACGGCCATGGGACATGAAGCTTCGTTGCAATCAAAAAGGCCTCAACCTCGGAGTGGTGAAGTTGATCGAGGATAGTCATCAAAGACTCCTGGGGAAACGTGTTAAAGCTGTGACCTGTATTGCTGACAGTCACGCCACCCTCAGTAACCCATTCGTCGTCGAGTCTGTCATGATTCGGTTCTTCCATCATGACTGTATAGCGGCGTGCACCCTCGGCAACCATTTCTTCGACTTCCTCTACATAAAGCGGGTCATTCATAGCCACGAGCATGCGGTTGACATCATACTGGCTACGGTCTGTCATGAGTGACGCAATGTCAGTGTACCATGCACGCATACCGTAGTTATCGCCTCTTTCATTGACGATCCAATCCGCAATCTGGCGACTCCCAGTTACCGTACTGCCATCATCCCAGCGCGCCCGGAGTGCAGCTAGAAACGAATTCAAGTTCGCCTCGATTTTGTCGGCACCAATGACACTTGCAGCCATTTTCCAGCAGTTTTCGTGGATTGGAAACCCATGAGGGAACAAATTCTGATTGTTTTCGTCGTGGAAATGGCATGGATACACACTAATCCGTTTGACAAGTTCCTTCTGGGTAGTGTTTTTCTTTTGCGTTTCGGGGAGCTGCTTGTTGTAGAAATGACAGCGATCAATTAGGGCATCTTCCTTGTTGATGGGGACAGTCAAAATTGGCTCGCCAGCTTCATAGCTGCATTTGTTGTACATCTTGCGAGCTTTGGGGTCGCTATCCCAGAGATGATATCGACCGACTCCGGATACGTAATAAGTTGGAGTCTGATGTCCGGGTTCCATTTTCTTCTTCTGACGGATGACTTTGGGACATTATATCAGCATCAAGCTTTGATCCCTTAATCTAGATGATATATGAAAGATAGCAGAACTCACCAGCGCGGTACAGTCCTGTCCAGCCAGGCTTAGGCATCACACCAAATTTTCTTTCATTTGCCCGGTAGCAGTCAGAATCAGTATCACCCTGCTGCAATTCCTCGAATTCCACGTTCCCGGCATCAGCATGCTGCACCGTACCAGGTCCTGTGGTAGTGTATCGATTGACAGTCCATGATACAGCCTGCTCATCCTCGAGAGTGATGCACATGCCACATATGCCACAAAACGTATTCTGCTTGTCATGAATGAACATCGGGCCAGCATGCTTGTCAATAGGATATTCATTCATGTAACTAGGCCACAGCTGGTCTTCTGTATTCCCATCATCCTGGGAGGAGAACAATGCATAGAGACCAGCTAAATCCTCGCCATCACCAGCAGGAGTGCGTGTTTGCGTTGCTGAAGCCTGTAGCTCAGCAGGGCTGGGTCGATAGACGAGCTTCATTTTAATACCACTCATACCCATCAGCTTTTCGATGAGTTGAAGGAAGAGGAAAAGGAGAAACTAAAAGAATGGGATTGACAATAATTTTTGACCATCTCTTCGTCAGTATTACCGCCTGAAAATTCAAGAGTACTGGTGTATTTGGGACGGAAAGTTCTGGCATCCGAGTGTGAGCGTCACCATGCTCTAGGCAACACTGTCACCGTAATAGACACCTAACTCTCCTCAATTAGAAAAGAATAAGACATAGCTTAGCAATGGCCACGTCGAAATTAAATTTCTACAGCGATCAAACTAATGCGTCCCCTTATTCTTTCTTTGAAAAATTTGCGTCATTATGAATTTTTTTCGTGTCATTGAATATGCCCTCGTTCATCGCCAATCGCACGTAGTGTCAAGTTGCTTATCTTTTTCAAGAGAATCGGATGACCCGGGGATTGGCGGTCACAGCTGCGATCACTAGGGTTGGAGCGGATTCTGGTGAGAAGGTAGACGCCAAAAAGAGGTTTCAATGCTGGTAACGACAAGGCAATGAGAGTGGCGCCTATTTCTGACATCTCAATCGCAAGTTGTGGATCGTAATACCATGTGCTGTCTTTTGACCACTGGCCCATGCAGACCAGATAAATGCGAGCGAGGGATATACCGAGGACTCTGTGCCATTTCAATCAGTGCTCTTTCTATAGAAATTGTTTTCTAGCGGGGTAACTCACAGGACACCGGGGAACATGACAAAGGCAAGTCCCAGCTTTCTTCTCCACGGGACATGTAGAAGATGAATCAACATTGTCGGAATGACAAACATGATGATGTCGCAGACAAAAGATAGACATGAAATTGTGATGTAGACTGCACCCCAGGATATGCACTTATATTGGATGAAATCGGGCTGCCATGAATACGGCCATTTGCCCGTGACCGGAATGCAGTGAAAGAGGAGGAGGAAGAATTGAGCCAGGAAGAGGACAACGAAGATAACCCAGCAAACACGAAGAGTAATGTAGAGCTTGACGTGAGCGTCGGAGAGTCGACTATAAAAGGCGAGTCCAGACATGCGACAGGTGAAGAGGGCGACGATGTAGAGGAAATGTAAGATGATATCCAATTCTTCTCCGTGGTCCGTCCGAGCATTATTGAGCGACATGACATATTCAACGTAGACACCGCGCCTACCGTTCCCATTGTTTATTACCAAAACACATAGCGGCACCAAGGGTATATATAGAACCTGTTATTCGTTTGTCTCGTCAGTCACTGGCTATACCGAGCGGGTACTCATGCCAGGGAAAAGTGAAAAAGACTGAGAGAATGGATGGTAAATGTCGACGTACAAAGGTAACACACGCTAGCCAATCGTCTAGACCAAACTTTCGAACAACGAATATTCTTGAATAGCACCGCAGAAGCAAGAACACAAATGTTAAAGTAAACACAAAATATATGCCGATCTTGGTAGGGCCATCGCGAGAATCTAGCAAAAGCGACACTGGCACACCAGGAGGAACATTGCCGACAGCAATGGCGTGGGCAATATCAGATGGTATAAAGTCGTCATGAACCATTGTTGTTTTGTACAGCTGGTGGAGTTCTGAAGGCCGCCCTGGTCATGGTCCTCCAGAGATATGATATTCAATAGGCTTGCTGCAGCTGTATAGCCGGACAAACGGCTTCCTCTTAGGTTTTGTTCTCGTCGATTGAACGAGACAAAGCAAACGCGAGGACTTCACGCTCTTTGTAATGAGTGTAGTTAATCGGATGCCTGCACACTCCTCTTTTTCGTTGATCCTCTTCCGTCAAGTACTAGTAGCGGCGGCGGCCAGACATTGCGCTCACAGGATGAAAGTGATTACAACCAGAGCAAATGTGCTATCCCGGCGACAAATTCTCCAAAGCAAACAGACTAGCGGTGCAATACAAGTAATTGACATCTAGTGTTATCTACCGTTGTGTCGGGGCGCCCGCCGCGACAGAATTGCTGCGATTGGCTGTCGCTTCCCGACATTGCGGGTAGCCCTAACGCCTTGAAGTCGCATTCTGCAGTCAGCTAGAGCCAAGTGGAACTATAATTCTTAGTTTCGCATATGTTCGGCATTTGGTTGCTTTGCATTTTGTCGTATGCAAGTTAGTCTTCTTGGGGGTGCCGCGATGCTAGTTTCAAGCCAGCTTCTCTTCCTTCACTACGAAATACGCAAAGCAACGGCTGACTTGTAGCACTTATACTGCTACTAAAATTGATGAACAGAAGCACAATCGTCATGACAGCCAGTCTATGATCGCCTTAGCTCGAGCCTTGTAGCGGCATTGACTAGTTAGCCCGTGACCAGTGGCATTGGCCCCTGGGGCCGTCAGCAGTCACGGATAGCTGCTTCAGATTTGTCCCCTGTTTTTACGGTGTACATTTCAGAAGCTCACACCGCACGAGTACTCTGTTTAATGGCGTTATCAAGCTTCAATAGTTGCCATAATTTCATAGGCAGAGAATCTATGAATAAATGTGTGTGTGTGGCCTCGCGATTGGCCGGGCATTCCCCACGGGAACGGGCCGATACGCTTCTTGGCTCTTTTATTTCAACACCCAAAGCTCGACTGCATCATGGAAGGATTGACGTGAGGCTTTCCTAGCGCAAGCCACAAGTGTTGCACTGCAGCATCACGGCACGGGCAAGGTAAGCAGCCGCCTCTCTACTAACTACGTAGTTAGGCTTTATATAAGTATGTCAACTGGACCAAGACGCGTACCGCTCCGATCGACCTTTCCACTTACCATCTTCAAATGCACGATGTGAAGTGTCGTACATAGTACACTATATACCTGGGAGTTGGGACATCCTAAATCCCAAGGTTTGATTGTCTTACTCGCAGAATCGCTCATTGGCCATTTTATGGCCTGTGCGACCGCTAGTTTAATCATCAATTATCTAGTGAATAACGCGAAGAACGCCAACATATCGCAAACAAACCTTGTAGAGTTAGGGGGGTTTGCCTCGTTTTAGCGTCTATTTTCGTGCTCAAAACATACATCATACGGCGTATAGCCTTGCACAGTTTCCTAACTCGTTTCCTCTCCGCTTTTGCTTCCAGCGGGATATGATATATTCACTATCAGTACCTAGGCATTGGCTTACTGGGCGGCGTTGCAATGACTACCTAAATACGGACTAAACTCTAAAACAAACCATTGAGTCGATCATCGTTGGTGACTTATCCACATTGCCAAGTGGCATACATACCTAATCTGGACAGGCTAGCAGCAAGTCTCTGAACTTTGAATTCAGTTGACAACTCTAGAGTGGTTCTTTGAGTCTGTAGTGACTAGTCCGCACTTCAGAACATAACTCTGATAAATAAGAGAGAGAAATTGAGATTAAGTAATCCAGGAAACTAATCAACATAGGGGACCAGCATGACAATCATTTTAATCTGAAACGCGCTCGGTAAAAAGAAGCTGCAGCTTCCCACACACCAAAGTAAACACGTCCTGCTGTCCCTGATAAAATGCCTCGTGGGTTTGGCCCTTTGCAAAAGAAACGTCATATCGAGAGAGAAGGTCAACCGTGACACGCCGGATCTCCATTAGTGCAAGCTGTTTGCCGGCGCATGAAAACGGTCCTGTTTTATGGTATCCATTCATCAGTCAAAGCCCGTCATATCTATATTTGATGGAGCTAGAATGAGACCCTACCAAGTCCAAATGGAATATAGACGGATGCATCCTTAATAAGGTCTTGCCTGTCCGTCCATCGCTGTGGAATGAACTGATTAGGCTGAGCAAAGCAACGTTCGTCTACGTGTTGATTAGCCAAGCAATCAAAGTAAGAGAGGGAATTAAAAATCTATTACCTCTAAACAGTGAATAAAGAGGCATCTGCACTAAACACTCGCCTGGAATATAGGTATCGTCGATCTGGACGCCTTTCTTGGGAGTCACACGCTGCATTCCCGAAGGTATAGCTGGATGCAAGCGCAATGTTTCCTCAATGGCGGCATTGAGTAATTTCATCTGGGACAACTCTTGATATGTCTTTTCCTTAACCGAGTCTATTTCAGACTGAAGCATGCGAGTAAATTCAGGTGAGCTGGCTAGCTCATAAAATAGATTGGTTAGAGTTGATGCCGTCGTGTCACTGGATTTATGTCAGATGTCAGCCTTGCTATATCTCTAGACACATACAACAGATAACTGACCTCCCAGCAATAACAGCCACGTTGACATCTCCATGGAAATGCAATCGGTCTTTCTCTGTCTTCGCTCCAGCCTGAAACTCTCTCGAAAGTTGTGTGAAGACATCCGGTTTCTCGGGCTCATTCTAACATTCGATTTTAGCAGAAATTACTTTCTTCCTGGGAAATACAATATCTATAAGTCAAAATTACCTTCGTTCGGATATCGACTTGCGCATTGAGCCATTTGCAATATGTTAGGTAGCTCTTGTTTAGTATAGGTATCTTCTTGAAAAGAGGGAGAATCCACATTGCATGAAGAAAAGGTCCCATGGATTGCATATCCTTATGCAAGGTTTCGAGCATGTAGGCATCCTTTCCAGTTACGAGCATTTCAAACGATTTTCCAAATGTCAAATCCCCCATGACATCGAAACTGTAGTAATTGAACCAGCGAGCCATGTCGATGGGCCGACTAACGTTCTCTGCAATCGCCGACAGTAGCTGCGCACTATATCTTGACACGCGATGCTCATAGTCACGGAGAGCTAGGTATTCATTGTTTTAGACAGAAGTCACTCTGATGGCACGATAAACATCTGAATCAAACGAAACACACGTACATCTGAAGCTGAAAGCACGATCCCACGCCTTACGACGTCGGGCATGCTCCAGTTTATTTCTTGTGGTATGAACCGATATGTATGGCTCACCGCCATCATAGAAGGGTCCTTTCGTTGTTTTCGACGCAGGACCATATATAAACGGTACAGCTCGCGGGTCTGCTATCGACAGTTCCCGGGGACCTAGACGCATGTAGTCGCCATACTTTCGGTGTAATTTTCCCACTTCTTCGAATTTGTTAAGCCTCTTGGCCGGCAGGAAACTGGCATATAAAGCTGTTACGGCAGCAGCAAGGGGGCCTGGAAATTTGCGTAGACGGTGGAAAAATACACGGTATACGATGATGCTTCCGTAGAGACCGACGAAGTGGCATGAAAGAAGTTGGAAAGCACTCTGATCTTTTACACCCGTCACCAACTCAGCGAGATTTTTCACATTCAGAATAGTGAAAACCACTAGATAAGAAATCAAAATATTGGGTGCACTGCCGTCCCATTCTCCGTGTCTGAACAGCGTAACATGCGCCGCAACACCGGTTGCTGCACTGTAAAGCCACGGGGGGGAAGGGATAATTGATGACATATTTATAATTCCTGACATTTCAGATCAAGGTCGATAAAAGAAAAATTGCTGGTAGGTTTGCATAGAATCTGAAAGGAGGGGAAGAGCAATCTATCTCATCTAAATTCTTGGAGCACATTCTAGCCTGGGGAGAAGCAGGCTTATATAGCTTCCTGACGATCAGACAATTTCTACAGGCATTCGAAAGTTGTCAGACAATTGGCTGCTTTCCTGATCCTCTTTTCGAATCATTCATGTTACTCAGAGGTAAACTCAAAGTGTTAAGGCCTTGCAAAAGCTATTTCCGATATGCCAAGTTGAGATCTCATTGCTTTTTCTATACTATATAGTTCGTATCGTGAACCCCACGAACTATGCAAGAAGTGGAGCTACATAGGTAATCGATCTCACAGATTAGTCCGGAGTAAGATCCGAGTGATGCCGAAAGTATTAGTTAGTGCGTAATTGTTTTTTTGCGAGGTACCAAAAAGTTGGGGTTAGGGATTACTTGTCACATCGCACAATACCAAGTCCAGGGCTCCGGGACTCTCGGCTTGATCAATCACTGGATGCGCTTTCAGCACTGATCGACTGCTTTCTTGTTTCGGTATAGAACTGTCCTACCTTATTCAAATCCTTTCGCATCGTATCTCTGATGATGCGTACACCGTCTTTTAGATGCATGTTTTTGAAGACCGGTTCGCGACATGTATGAAAGCCTTTGCCTGTTGTAGAAAAAGATACACAAGGTATTTCCGTCTTTGTCATTTCAAAGTAGACCGCATGATGTCCAGGGAATTTCGAGAAGTCGCTCATCCGACGTTGGCTGTGTCACGTAATACCAAATCTCAACCGCACTTTCAAGAGTGACTTGAGGGTATGTGGTTAGGCTTCCCAGTAACATGAAATTCTGTGAGCAAGATGTGTCCATAAACGGTAGGTTGTGCTAGAACTTGGTCTAGCCTCTGGTCTTTCCAGGTTTTCAAAAGCCCCGTAGATACCGCTTCCGAAGACTCCGGTACAAAGTATTCGTCGAGAACGTGTCGAGAAGTACGCAGCCTGTCAACCATCAGCTGGTGAACTTTGTCCAATCTTCTTAATGGGGATTTTCGGATGTTTGGTTATGCGAGGATTAAGTGTTCCGAGCAGAATCATATGTATGTGTCACATAACAGTCACATTGACAAGGGCTTAAAGCCACTGTACTTCTTCGTGACTCGTCAGAGAGCACTAAATAGAAGAACGAACATTCTATTTTTAAATCTATTTGAATGTGTTTTTATTAGTAGCCTGAAGACTCATCATTGCTAGCGACATTTGAAATCACGGTAGTGGCATGTGAACAATCCACACAAATGCGACTTTGGCCTTTGTTCTTTTCATTTTTCCTTTGTTTGAAAAAGTTGTTTGGGCGTGTTGAAACGTGTACACAGAAATAGCATCTACATGCATTAGTCGCAATCTCGATGCAGACGGTGGCACAATCTAATGCTGCTAGTGTCTACTCCGGCGCGTACTCAGACACAGCCATTGTACGGCAGCCTATTCGTATAACCTTGCCAAAATTTATAATATATTAAAATATAATAATACTATAGAAAACAAAATAATATCTATATAACTTACTTACAGCGAGAGCTAATCTATTTATAGATTAATCTACATATATATAGAATTATATAATCTAATTTTATTTCTATATAAAGTCCTTTAATAACTTTAAAATTTATTAACATTATAAATACTCTTATAGATTTTTAGCATATCAAGATATCTCAATTTATAGACTTACTAAGGCCTAATCTAACTTCTTTAGATCTATTAATTTATCTTTCTTTATCTTTTTTATAATCCACTAAAAATTCTCCTCCACTAAATAGAGTAAGCAATATAATATAATTATCTTATTTTAATTAAATTATATTTAGCTTATTAACTTAAAATTAGATTTTAATTTAATTAATTAATTTAAAATACCAAAAATCACTGGTTATTAAGTAATAAATAAGATAATAGATAATTCTTATAATTATATTCTATCTAATTAATAAGATTATTTTTAGATAATCCTTTTTTGAAAGTTAATATATAAATAGAACTCTTTTCTTACTTACACTATTTATTAAAGAAGTAGATATCTATTCTAGATAGTTAGATTAAAAAAAGAGTTTTAAGATATAAGAATTTTAGAATTTTTTTTACAATAATATCTTCTTAGATAACTCTTTTTAAAAACTAATATATAAACAAAATCTTTTTCTTACTTATTCTATCTATTAAAGAAATAGACATTTATTCTAAATAAGTTAAAAAAAAGATTTTAAGATATAAGAATTTTAGAACTCTTTTTATAATAATATTCTAAATAATAAAGAGATTGATAATTAAAAACTGCAATAGTAAAATAAATTTTAATAATATAAAACCTAAAAATCTTGTTAATAATCTTTCTAGATTATTAAAAAATAATCTTAAAATTTTAGATTTATCCTTAGATAGTAAATTATCTAGTCTATCACTAAGTAATAAATTAGATAATAAGATAAATCTTAAGAAGAAGTCTATAGAAAAGATAATAATAGTTTAGAAAAATATTATTTATAAGTTTTTATTATCTTTAAATTTGATTTTTCACTAACATAAAAAATAATAAAAAAAATGTCGGAAACTTCGGTTAATTACCGTCGAGTATAGCTAGGATAGCTATTAACAGGCGAAGTTAATAGGCTTCTGGTATACGAAAATTATAAAGAAACAAGTGAAGTCTTTAAACAAGATAGAATATCCTAATCAATAGAAGATCATATATTCAAGTTATCTCAGTTAATTCAAGATGATAGAAGAAAACTAAATACATAGTAAATGAGCATCCTTATATAGTTTTCCTCTATTATAACTAATATAGCAATAGCTCTATTCGCTCTATTCTAACTAATATAGTCAATATAGCGACGGCTTTACTGGCTTTATTGCCCTAATCTTAAGACTTTATAGATAATCCTTTATTCTAATATATATTAATCTTATAGTGATTAATCTGATCTATTAGCTATAATATTCTAATTCTCTGACAATCCCCTCCTCTGAAAGCTGATGTCTCGACAGCTCAATAAATAGCTTGTGTCCCTTGAAGTATAAATAATTAATCTTAACTTTCTAAATATTTTAAATATGTAATTTTATAATTTTATACTAACTATATCTTTAAAGTAAAACATTAATAAAAATAATTTTATACTATAAATCAAGCAATCTGATATAGAATTGCTTTTATCTTATCTTTATTACTCTTTATTAAATAAGACTTATATAAAATTAGAAATATTATTATACTATAGTAAATATATATAAAATGATTACTATAAATGTATTTCAATAGCTTTATTAGATCTTATATAGAAAAAGCTTCTTCACACTTAAGAGCATTTAGAAGAGGATAGTGATAAAGTAAATACTAAAATTAAGATCCTTCTAGTAAAATATACCTATCTTAATAAATAATAGAAATTATTATAAAAGTGTGCTGGTTAATTCATCCAATCTAATATTAAAGATATTAAAAAATTAGAAAGGTTGGAAAAAGCAGAAGAAGAGGTAAAAGCAAAATAAGTGAAAGAATAATAAGAGGCTGAAGAGCTTCTGGCTATTATTTTATAAAATAATAATCTTATCTTTAATACCAACTTTAATCCTTCTATCTTTCTTAATTATATTTCTATCTCTATTCTTAAATTTTTTTAGGACAATTCAAATATTTAATAGGTTCCTATATATCTTCTTTAGGTCTATATTCTTTCTATCTTATAAGATAATAGATATATCTTTTTTCTAACTTATATTATAATATTCTTTTAATTTTATATTCCTTATTATTTGCTACTTCATCTTTATTTATTAGATTAATAGTTGATTTTAATAATAAAATATGAAATATTAGATGTATTTGCATTCTTGCTAGTAGTTAGAGTTTATAATTATTATTAATAAGTCTTTTTTTAATAATAAATGGCCTAAATTTAACTGTATCAAATTTATTATTTAATCTTATACTTTTAATATTAAAATTTTTTGATTCTGGCATTTATTATAAAAAATAAACTCTCTTTCTTTTTTTAAGTGCTAGCACATCTTTATATTTCTTATTATAATATTTCTTCATTCTTATTTCTGTTTATTTAATATCTTTTAACAGGTTACTATATATTAATTATATATATATTACTTAGATATTTACTTTATTTAATGCTTCTTCTTATTTGATGTTTTTTCAACTCATTCTTAGAATTCTTTCTAGGTTGGTAAAATATAATATTTGTCCTATTAATACATTTATAGTATTATTTATTATAAACTAGATAATTAATAGTAACTCTATCTAATTATCTTAATTCTAATCTAAGTAATATCTTAGATATTATTTAACTACTTAAATCATTTATTTAGTCTAACTATTAGTTTATTAATAATATATAATTAATAGATTATATTTTATTTCATAATTTTTTATAATTATCTGTTAAAATTTAAATATAAATAACTTATCCTTATTAGATATAATTTTACTTAATAATCTAAATATTATAAACATTTCTTATAATATTAGTATTATGTATTATTATACTATTAAATTCTTTAATATTAGTTTTAGAATAATATATTTTATAAGCTTATCTATAATAATAATAGCTTTAATATATATAATTCCTAAAATAAGATTCTTTAATTTTAGTAAGCCTTATATAAAATCTATTATAATTTTCTACCATACTTTTATTAATATTTCTAGAATCTGTATTTTTCTATATAGTTAGTGGTTAATTGGTTTATTATAATTATAACTATCATATTTCTTAATATAGTCTTTAACTAATTTTCTTATTCTTAAAAAATAATATATTTATTATATCTTTTCCACTATTTAATTAATTCTGTGATATCCTTTAATTGGCAAATTATAATTCATTTAAATGACTTCTATAATTATTAAAAATAATATCAATATTAATCCTCTCTAAATAGCT